CAATTCCCACCTGGGAACGGAGCGGAGCCACAGAGCTGGAAAGACGCCTGTTGGCTCGTCGTGATGCCGTCTCGAAGACAAGCGTAGGCTGAATGACAGACCAACGTCCAAGTCGTCGAGGTCGAGACGACTGGGAATAGACTGACAGGACGTTATCCGTCGGAGAGGTCGAGACATGCATTCCACCGGCACGCCGGTCTCGCAGGACCGCAGGGCGAGAGTTCTGCTTCCGCTTCCGCTGCAGCGTCAACTCTATCTTGCTGTCTCGTCTCTCGTACCCTCCACCCCCAGTGTCTCGTCTGTATGTATGTCTCTGCGGATGCGCCCAGTGACGGGAATACTTGCAGTACGTACAGGATATCCCGTATGTAAGTAGGTGAGCATTGCTGTAGGTAGGTCTCCATTTCTGCGGGTTGTGTCTCCGTAGGGTGGGAGCATCGCGTCGCGTTGCGTCGTCGTACAATTGCGACGCTGGAGCGGCGACGACTCGCGCGGCCTGCGCCTTGCCCGAGACGGAAGGTTAAGGTCATGTTGGAGTCGACGTGATTGTTGCGATTCTCGACGAGTGACGACTGGCGATCGACGAGTGACGGACCTCGATGCGACTCTGGACGAGTTTGTCGATGTTGTAACGGTAGGTGGAACATAGCGTACGTCGACGGGGACGTTTCCTTGGGTCAAGTGTTGCCATCAGATCCCTGGGTTGGGGTCGTACGCAGAGCAAGCAGCAGCAGTATTAGTTTGGATACGAACCCGTGATGCTGGGGGAGGCAGCAGATATGGGCGAGACATTGGGCGGATCGAAGTTTTTGGGGGCTTTTCGATGGGCGTTTCCGCCGCGCTGCGAGATCAGAGAGATGCGAAAAAAGAAAGCGGACGAGATACACTTGGAACCTGCAGCGCGAAAGGAGGTCGGTAACAGCCTTGATTGGTGATGTCGCTGGCGATGGCTGCTGTTTAGGCCCGGCTATTTCCACCAGCCAGGTCCTCTGTGAAGTCCAAGTCGGATCTGAGTCTGTCTTGGTCTCTGGTATTTGAGATTGCTTTAGTCGGGACGTGTCTTGGGTCGTAAATGCACATCATCGTATGAAAGTCAGTGTTGGTCTGAGTGAAGTGAAGCAAGTCTCATGAATGAAGACTGGAGGCGGGGAATGAGCGCAGCGTCAACTTGCTGGGACTGGGGAGCATCGACAAGGGCAGGATGACCGATGTCGTACAGAGTACAGGGCGTGAGTGAGACGGCCGGAGAGTTCCAGAGTGCTGGATGCCAATTGCTGTGCAACGAACTTTACCCCAGCGGCGGTCTCACAAATGGACAAACGGCGTCAATTACGGAAGGATTTGCCAGTGCTTGCTTCAATTTCCAAATACAAATATTGCCTGGGCATATTGAATGAGACAGATGAGAAGGGAATGGGAGCCTCGACGGACATGAGTGGCTGGCCGCACGCAAAAGGGTCTTGTAAGGGGTCCTACCAATACAGGTGAAGATGTTCACCGAGGTCACTCAAGTCCAGGAAGAGATGAACGGCGAATGCATCATGCCAAACATCACGGCTCTTGTCAACTCATCTGCCTCTCATGTGTGGGTGGGTGTCGGGAGTTGCGGGCGATCTCACCACTCACCCCAGTTCACTCATTCACGCCAATCTCATACTTGGCCCCATGTTGACACCTCTCTATGGCTCGTCTCATCCCGAAATCCGGCAGCTATGGGAGGTGCGGGATAGGTCGAGGAGGGCGACAATTTTCCAACCACACTCCTTCAGCACGGCTGACCGCATTTCGCCCACTATCCTGATTGATTCCGAATCCCATGCTTCCATCCTGATTTTCGGTCCCGTTGCTCTCCCACACCGGTGCTGCCGTGCCCTCCCTTGCCCTGGGCTCAGAACCTACCTGACAAGACGGACTGTCTCTACCGGCGAGAGGTGCTAGCTGGGTAGGATGGGGTCGGTGGCTGAGGGGTAAAGAGTATGGAGCGGCAGCTTGCTCGCGCCGGTGCATCATGGGGCCGCGCGTGATGGAGGCACGCCACCTGGGCTCTTGGTCTGGGGGTTGATGGTGGTGGTGGTGGTGATGTTGTTGTGGTGGTGAGGGGACGGTGGGCAGGCGAGAGACAAATTGAGGGTCACTGATGCAGGTATTCTGCATCTTGGTCTATCAGGAATACTGCCGACGGGCGGTCGGCGGACATCAATGTTTGCTCGTACGAGAAAAGTGTCTTAGCCACCGCGGAGTGAGGCTCGACTAACACGGCATGCTGTCTGGCTTGGCCGGCAAGGCAAGGAAGGCAATGAGTGCGTGTGGAGGGCAGCAGGGTTGATGTAAAGGTGAGGGGAGGGGCGGACGACGTACAATTAGATAGATGCCTAGCCTGAGCACTCAAGATAGCTACGGACAGGCATGTACTCATGAGCTAGGGTGCACGAAACCGAATACATTACTTTCCTGTGACGTGAGGTATTGCTTCGATGGGGATGTGAGGTTGTGTATGAGAAGACGCAACGAGGGTGAGTCCCTTGACCACCAAGTGAGTGACCCCCATGTTCGTCGATGAGACGCGTGCGTGTTGTAGGACTCACTTATATGATGAGGATGTTCCCGTGTTTACCGGAGCGATACGAAGGATGAATCTCTTCTCAGTCCTATCCCATCCATCCCTATCCCTTTTTTCCCACGGCCAAAGTCGATTTATTAATAGGAGGTACGCCTTCTGCCCCAGCTATCTGGCTAGCCAACCGCCGTTGAAGTGGCCGCCAGTTCCCGTCCGCGCCACGCAATATCTCGACACGGCTCACCTGGGACCAACACAACACCAAGCAAGCTAGGCACACTCGACCCTTCTTTGATAGCTCTCACTCCGTCCCTCGACTCCAAGGCGCCACCAGCCCTGGAAGATGACCCCTGAGCATCGTCGGCCGAGCATCCAACGACAGACCAGCCCCCCACTACCGCGCCCGCTGCCGCTCGCCAGATAGGAAGGCCAAGTACTTCCCTTCCGTCTTCTGTCTAGATATCCGTACAGCAAAGGTGAAGCAAGAACGCAATACCAGGAGGAGAGCATTTCCGTTCTTGGGTACGTACATAATCATTGAGCATCACTGGCGTCCATCATTACCCCAGTCCAGAGCAGCCCAGCAAGATCCCGGCAGCTAAGCGTGCCGGTGCTGCGTGTTACTGGGCCTGACTCTGGCTGGAGCATGAGGGTGGTGAAATGTACGTCGCCTGTCTCGTCCATTTGATCTAATCTCCAACCTCCCAGGTCAAGGCAGGAAGCAGCAAGACGGGCTCAAGACGTGATTCGTCGATTGCCTCATCTGGGGGTATCTTGGTATCAGCTTCCGCCATCATCGACCTCAGTTGCGACCGCGGCCTGGATCAGTTGTTCTCACTTGTCTCCATCATCCATCTCATCTCGACTTTGATTCTTCCACTTTTACACCGCACTCGCGCCACCCGCCAATTCTCGTCGAGATTCGATCATCCCGGAATCCGGCTTATCGCATCTCAATCGTGGCCATAAATCTATATCTTGGTTGGGTATCCCACCCGCCCGTCCGTCCGCACCGTCGTTCCGTCAGCTTCGCCATTACCTGGAGAGGGACTCGGGACATTTACATCACACCAAATCGCGTCATCTCACATACCGCAAGCTTAGCTCTCCTCACGTTAGGCTCACATAGCGGCGCCGAATCGAGTCCATCGCGGCGCTACTTTGTTCTGTTAGTCAAAGGCGTCTTTAACTCGTTGCCGACAGCGCCGTCGCCCCGCCTCTTGTACGAGTCGAGTGCCCCTCTCATAGCGAGGAAGTGTCGGAGTGAGAGTTGAGGCTTGAGTTGGTCGTGGTGGTGCACTTGTTTGTATCGCGTGCTTCCGACTGCCCCTCGCGATCACCCACAGGACCGGATCATCTCATCGCTGCCCGCCGCCGTCATCCAGGCCCGGTCCTCATCTACCTCACTTTACTTTACTTAGGGTACGGGGCCGAGTCCTGACTCGAGACTTGAGAGTGAGACGACGGGTTTCTTCGGTCGCAGCACGGCTTCAGCTCCAGCACCGACCCTGCTTCTGCTTCTGCTTGTTCTTGTTCTTTTCTCTTTATTCATTTCTCACATTTCCCTGCGGTCATCCGTACGAAAGACCACGGCCGTCGCATCTCATCGGCTACCGTGTTTGTTTCCCTCGACGGCAATCACAATCACAATCACATTCATCCACATCTATCTATCTTGTCGCCCGAGCTAAACCCGCGTCTGACCGAGGCGTACCGTGTACCCCGTGTACCGCACCCGCACCACCGCTTTTGCCGCCCGCACAGCGGTGATCGTTCACCTCACTCACCTCATCTCACCCCGGTCGGCTTCCATCCCCTCCGTCATCCTCACACTCACACTCACACTCCCACTCCCACCTTGTCCCTACGCACATTGCCTGCCCAGGTACCGGCGGCGTGGACTGGTCTGGACTGTGTGCCTCTCACAGCTACTGTGCCTCTCACCTAATTGGGACTGCGGACCACCGAGTAGCTATCTTGCTCACTCACATCCGGCTCAGTGTCTCAAGTCAACTCAGGTGCAACACACCTTACCTCACTCAGGGACACCTACCATCACTCGACCGTGGTTTAATTGATTGGATTTCATTCAATCCTCTTCAGGGACCTCACCACGCCTGATTTCGCTTCAGGTCCGGCTCGAATTCGGTGCTCAAACCCAACAGCGAGCGTGCCGGATTCCCATCTCAGCGACCACCTCATCTCCAGCTTTAGGTGCCCTGGCGGCCACAGCGCTGTCTGCCCGCTATCCGCTATCCGCTATCCTTATCGAACACTGAACTGAGGCGCCCCCCCGCCCTCTCTCCCCTCTTCCCGCCTCCCTCACTCTCGGTCGGGTTCCAGGCCTGGCCCTCCTCTCTTTTCCCCTCCTAATTACCCTCCTCAACCTTACTATTTCCTCCTCCTACTCCTACACACTCTCCTCCTCTTCCACCTCCCCAAAATGCCCTCGACCAACGGTCCCGAATATCGCCATATGCGAAGTGGCAGCCTCAACATTCAACACCAGCAAACACCCTCCCAGAATGGTCATTCCAGTCCCATGATGAGCCCAATGCCATCCGTTGCCTCGCCTGCCTCCGGCACCGCCGCGGCCGCCCACAGATTCGACGGCCCGCGCAGTCCACCGAGTACGTCACATTCCATCTTCCCTCGTCACCTTCGGGACCTGCGACTACGACGACTGCGACGACGACGATGACGATGGTGATGCTGTCGCGAACTGCTCTGCCTGACGATGGCATAGCCCTCCGTCAATCATGTCGCCGCAGCTTCGCCTCGTCTTCCGTCGCCTCTTCTGCAACACGTCGCACCGCACCCGTCCTTGAGCAACATTCCTCCCCTCTTCTCGTCCAGATCATGGCTGACTTGTCTTGCCTTTGCACTACAGACACTTCCCACGTTCCATGCAAATTCTTCCGACAAGGCGCCTGCCAGGCCGGCAATGCCTGTCCCTTCTCTCACGACCTCGGCGCCGCCGCCGAGAACATTTGCAAGTACTTTGCCAAGGTGCGTCAAGCCTCCCGGAAAACATCGCGAAAGTGACCAAACATGTCACTCCCTCGCCCGCCGACCCCTCCAATCCCCCCTGCTCTTCCAATCTCGCTCTACCCCTCGGCACGGCACACAGACCGTCTCCCATGTTCGCGCCCGTGCTTTCATCTTGGCGATAACTAGCGACCGTCGTCGACGCATTTGGCTGACGTTCGATCCTTCGTCGCAGGGCAATTGCAAGTTCGGCCCGAAATGCGCCAATATCCACGTTCTCCCCGACGGCAGACGCATCAACTACGGAAAGAACGGCGTGACGATCGGAACCTCTCCCATCGCCCTCGGCGGACGAATCAACCCGACTTCCGCTGCTGCATACCACCCGACGAGCGCCCTCACTTCCGGTCTCTATCGCGAGGGCGCCCCTCCATACGGCTCCGCTTACCCTTACGGCGACGAGAGACAGCACCAACTGGGCCGCCAGCCGAGCGTCGAGAACGGCCTTCCGACCATCGACACCACCTACTCCCACCCCGGCTCCAACTACGGCTCTCCCCGCGACGACGATGCTTCTCGATTCGGCCTCGGCCTTTCCCCGAGTAACGCCAACGGCCTGTCCGTCCTCGATGCGCCGCTCCCCGCCTCGTTCGATTCCCAGGGCATCTCCAACGCCGCTCTTTTCCCCGCCGGCCCCTGGCCCTCGTCCGTCCCCTCCAAATTCGGTCTCGAATCGCCCTCGCCTTCGCTCAACAACGCCAAAGACTCGCGGACTTCCGACACGCTTAAGATGCTGCACACTTCCGCTTTCGGCGGCAGCGAGTACCTGGCCGCCGCCAACGCCACCGCTTCCAGCAGCCCGCCCAGCCAGCCCATGTCCGGCGAGGAATACTACGGCAAGCGCGCCATGCACTCGAGCCGTTACGCGAAGCCCAAGATGCTCAGCTCCAGCATGCCCAAGACGACCGTCGACCACGACTGGGAGGCCGAATTCGCGTTTTTGGAGGAGGACTACGTGCCGCAGAACCTGCAGGAGCTCTTGACGCCCGCCGAGAAGGCCCGCCGGGGTTCTCTCCGTACTGTCGACGGCGAGCCCGGAAGCGAAAACGGCACCAAGTTCGGAAGCCCCATCACCGGCGCAAGCCCGAGCCGATGGGGGCCGCTCTTCCAGCGCCAGAAGGAAGACGAACTCCATAAGCACGGCCCCTCGGCATTTGGGCACGTCGGCAGCCCCCTGCGCAACTCGGTTCTCTCCAACGAGATGGGCAACGGAAGCCTCTCCCGCCCGATCGGATCTCGCGCCGGCAGCGAGTCCATGTCTGCTCTGACCCAGCAGCTTCAGCGAACCCGCCTGGGTGATGATGGCAGCGCCAGCCCGCACCTGCATCCCTTGGCCGCCACCGGGCGCGCTTCGAGCAACGGTGCCGGTCCTATCGGCAAGGAGCGGGAGCGTGTCATGGAGCGTCACGTCTCGAGCGGGTCCATCAGCTCATCGGTCACGGGCCGTTACACGACGCCAATCGACGAGGAGGACCCGGCCTTTGTCTTCAACATGGAGGAGGTGGAAGACCAGTCTCCGGCAAGACTCCGAAAGCGGGGCTCCGCGGGGTTCGGCATCGGAGGCGGATGGAGCTACGCCAACGCTCTCTCCAGCAAGAACGCCGCCCCTGGCTCCAGCCTGGCCAAGGAGCAGCGGGAGCCCTCTGTCAGCGTTGAGACGGTAGGCGGACGTTGAAGCGGCACTCGCGAAACGGATAAAAAAGGGATTATACCATCGGCACTGGAAAAAAGCATAGCGACGGTGTAATGCCACCACTTTGGCGGCGACCATGTTTACTCTCTCAACTCTTTCACACACACACCCTGACGACACTCTACGACTCAATTTCAGTCACGACTATTACATCATGCATCGGCCACAACAAAAAAGCGCCATCGGAAAACGAAAATCACCGGTCTACAAAAGGGACATAGCAAAGGGATCGGATCTACAGGGTGGCTGCTCATTACAACAGGGTAGGGAGTTTGTTGGAGTTTTGTCGTCGTTTTTTTTCTCGCTGCGTAGGCTTACGGATCGAATCTTTGGAGGTTTAATATGATCGGCTCGGTAGTTTGTGTGTGGTCTTTTTTTCTGTTTTTCGTTCGCTGCCCAAAATGGGAGGGTTCCATTGGCTTTGGTGGGAAGGAAGCATGTCACCCTGTCCGTGGGACACGTATTCAGGATCGTACGGGCGGTTGTAAATGCTCTGAAATATGGAACGAGGAGGTAACGGAGGTGGCTAGGTTGGCATACGCATGTGCGAGTCTTTGATTTTCTGAACGTGGAATAGAACATGGCCAGCGTCTTAATTGTCACGGGTCAGCGGGCTGCGACTGGGCACCGCATTAGAGACGTTTGGAAGAGGAAAAGCTGATACCACCGTCTAATTATCGTTCATTATATACAAAAGCTGTCTGCCTTTCACGATGACCGATTCCCGATGATTAATCTCCGCCTGCCTCACCTCGTGTGCATCCATCGGACTTGACCAGCATCGCCGCACTTAGACGCTCCGGCTCTAAGCATTTGGCCACTCTTACGTCGGCATTTCGAACTGGTATCCGGGTTCTATGGCTGCGTATCGGAATTTGATGAATTGAAGCATGAATCCGACACGTGAGCGGCCGGTGTTGGAAGATGGAGCAGACTCGCAGGTCCGGCACGTGAGCGGATGGTGATGGACGGCAGCGGAGCGACTCCCCGCTGTAAGTCGACGAACGGTATAAGAGAGGACGATGGACTAGGTAAGCTGAGACCATAGCCAGGGAGCTTTTGCCGACTATCGCCTGAGCGACCTCGAGAAACCACCAAGCTGGCGACAAAACATCGCAAATTCGCATGACCGGGCGAAGTGAGGCGCATAGGAATGGGTGACGAAAATCTATACACTAATACAAGGCCATATGGCCGGCTCCAGACACGATTGAACATGCGGAGCTGCGTCGCACAGCCGCTTGATGCGCGGGAGGGCGACGCCGTGGGCTACCGTACCGAACCGTCCACGCACCTACACCACGACGAAGCCAAGCCATGTTGCTCTTTTCCCCCATCGATTCGATCCGTCATAAGTTCAAAAGCACAGACGCAGCATGTCTCATGTTGGTCGTCCCCTCCTTTCTAATTGCGAGTGGCGTTGTCGATGTCGGGGGGCAGGTAATTGTACAGACCGCCGGGAGACGGGGTTTAGCGGAAGGAAATGGACAATCGCTTAGTGGGCATCGGGTTGGCTGAGGATGTACTCGACCGCCTTGTCGACTGTGACGAGGTTAGTTTGTGGGTTAGGGATTGAGCGGGAAGGGCGTGACGAACTCGAGTGGATGGTGTCGGCGTCCTTGTCGGGGATCTCGATGCTGAACTCCTCCTCGATGGCCATGACGACCTCGACGGTGTCCAAGCTGTCGAGACCGAGGTCGTTGGCGAAGTGGGCAGTGCTCTTGATCTGTATGTCGTTTGCGGTTAGGTTTCTGCGACTCAATTGGGTCGGAATCGCGGGGTTGGAGGGTGGACGACGTACGTTGCTAGGGTCGTTGACCTTGTCGAAACCCTGGAGGAGGGCGAAGATGCGGCCCTCGACTTCGTCCTTGTTCAGGCCGGTGGCGGCAGAGTAGAAGCGGACGGCGACGGCCTTGGGGGCGGCGCGGGCGAAGACGGCACGGGGCGCGACGAGAGATGAGCGGGCGAGGGGAGCGGACTGGACGGCGGGACGGATGGCGCGCGTGGCGGCGGCCGCGGAACGGAGGACTGCTGTGCGGAACATGTTCGGCGATGTGTGTATGTTCTTATATGTGACTGAAGGAGTCGGAGGAGAGGCTTCGGAAGCTCTGGCGGTCGGGTAGGAGGAGGATTGGGAGATGGATCGTTCGGGGGTGGCAGCTAGGCTGTGTTGATGAGAGCTCTCTGGGGGCGGCGTATGTGGAGGAGGTGCTTGTCGGCCATGATGATAAATTTCTCGTCACCCTCCCGAAGCGTTCCCTGGCTAGCTCCGATGAGGTGCACGTGATAAGTCATGTGATATTGAGTAAAATCTTCATTTCGGTTGCAAACTTCAATACAGCGAAATGCGAAAATACAACAATCCCAAAATGAGGGTATTCATCTAAGAGAAGACTCATAAAAAATGAAAAGACCAATTGAGCAAGAGCGGTCGGTCGCCACTGGCATCATTGTGATGATGAGCTCTTTCCTTCCCGGCCCGGCTCATAGTCGGTATAATCTGGAGTCACGTGACTCCTTTCCAGCCAATGAAATCCCGCCCTTTGTAATCCCGCACCAAAGCTGGGGCCCCCAGTGCCGAAAGTGAGAGGCCGAGAGACACACCTCAGAGGAGAGCGAGCGAGATTATCCATAACGTCAAACTTCAACTCCAAGTTCCCGAACTACCGGCCCGGCCACCTCGATCCTTCGTCGCCACCGTCGAAATCCCCCGCGACCCTCGATCTTCGACCCCTCCCAATCTGCCCGGTCAATTGGAGCCGTCGCGAACCTCCTCGTCGATCGAGAATCCACAGCCCGACAATATGCCTCCAGCGGCGCAGCTCCCCGTCACGGTGCTCCTCGCAGCCTCAAGGCAGGCCGCGAGAAGACCGACCACCGCCTTGGTCAGCCGCCTCATGGCTGCCAACGCCGTCCGCACCTATGCCACCCCCGCCGGCCCCCCGCCCCAGGGCTTCCGCCAGAAGAGATTCGAGACCTGGGACGAGGACAAGGAGTCCACCCTCAACAAGATGGGCAGATATTTCCTCCTGTCCGAGATGGCAAGGGGAATGTACGTGCTCATGGAGCAGTTCTTCCGCGCGCCCTACACCATCTACTACCCCTTCGAGAAGGTGCGTACAAATTTTTATCGTCTTGGTGATGGTGTTAAGGGCAATGGGTACGACGAGGCAGCTTGGACGTCCGGAAGGGAGGCCGGGGATCACGGCACATCGAATTTGCCACGACCAAACAATGGCTCACCACCATCCGCATGCGCAAGAGGAGGAACGCTCAGAGACAGATGCCCTCGACGACGACACGGCTGGAGCAATCTTTGGACCACGATCATAACTAACATACACTCCAGGGCCCCATCTCCCCCCGCTTCCGCGGCGAGCACGCCCTCCGCCGCTACCCCTCCGGCGAGGAGCGCTGCATCGCCTGCAAGCTCTGCGAAGCCATCTGCCCCGCCCAGGCCATCACCATCGAGGCCGAGGAGCGCGCCGACGGCTCCCGCCGCACCACCCGCTACGACATCGACATGACCAAGTGCATCTACTGCGGCTTCTGCCAGGAGTCGTGCCCCGTCGACGCCATCGTCGAGTCCCCCAACGCCGAGTACGCCACCGAGACCCGCGAGGAGCTGCTGTACAACAAGGAGAAGCTGCTGTCCAACGGCGACAAGTGGGAGCCTGAGCTGGCTGCCGTCATCCGCGCCGATGCCCCTTACAGATAAAATCAATGGTCTATGCAATCCGGTGGGAGGGGGTCATAGAGCGAACGAACGAAACTTTTTTTTCCCTGTTTTAATCCTTGAGGAGGACGGGACATGCGGAGGGAGGGAGACGCAGAGCAAAAGAGGCAGCAGCAGCAGCAGTAGCAGCAGCGAGGTTCTGGCATGCCGTGTATGTGTACTACAGACAGGTCGGGATCGGTTAGACTTGTGTAAATAGCTCGCGAAAAGCAACCTTTTCTTTGTCCGTTGCACGGCGTCTGCAGTGTGTTGTGACCAAGCATCATCAGATTTCAATGCGGCGATCTGGATTCCAGGTAGGACACTTCAAACATCAAAACCACATCACGGCCCAGGACAGTTGTGAAGTGTGGAATAATCAACATTAATCTATCTTGCACGTCGCATCAGCTCATGCATATCCTCGCGGATTCAAGCCATGTAAGGGCATATCCAGCCAACGCCTTGCTCAAATCAGAACCAATGTCCAAGAAACGCTTCCGTTCCGTTCCCGTGCTCGCTTTTCCCAGACTCTGTGGTTCGTTACGCCAGTATCATCGTCGTCATGATCCGTCAATTCACAGCAAAAAAGACATCCTAGAAGCTCTTCTCCCAAGCTCCCCACCAGACTCCCATGTTCGCAGCTATCACCAGGTCCAGCATCTTCAGGCCCTCGGGGTAAATGATGAGCTTGCCGAGCTTCGCCCTCTTCCCGCGGTTACCACCGCCCGCCTTCTCCCTACCGAGCCTCAGGTCGAACGGGCTGGGGATGTCGTCCTCGTCGCTGTACTCGCCAGCAGGCCGGTTGCCGATGTTGAGCAGCTTGCTGAAGTGCCCGCTGAGCTGCTCCCGCTTGCCCTCCTGCTTGAACAGCTCCGTCGTCGGCAGGTTGAACCGCAGCTCGCTCACGGGCGCCGAGCTGGACGACGACCCCGACGGCGCGAGCGGGTTGCTCAGACCGCCGGCGTGCGGCAGCACGTGTCTGCACTTGACGCTGCGCCCCGCGTTGCCCGTGCGGAACTCGCAGCGGCCGTCCCAGGGCGATACGAAGACGTAGCCGCGCGGACGGAGGCCGTGGCCGGGCTGCGTGATGATCGGGCCCGAGTCGCTGCCGTTGGACGACGCGGAGCCCGTCGAGTGCGCGCTCAGCTGGCGCGAGTGGCGCTTGGAGCGCGCGGGGGAGGTGCCGTAGGCCGGCCCCGGCGGTTGAGGATCGTCGATGCTGCCGGACCGCGAGCGCGAGTTGAACTTTTCGCGGATGTTGGTCGTCCACGACTTGGTGTACGCCATCACGACCTGTCTGTTGAAGCCGCCCTCCACCGGGTGCTGCAGCGTCTGCTGTTGCTGCTGCTGCTGGTGCCAGTTCATGGCGTCTTCCGAGTTGGCGAAGGGGATCGAGGAGGTCGACGTCCGGGGCATGTCGAGGCTCTGGCGGAGGGGCATGTGTCTGAACTTTGCGTAGCCCGAGGACTCGAGGCGGATGCTGATGGGGGGCTGGGGCGCGTTGGCGCGGCGGCGGTCGTGGGCGGAGAGACCCGCCGAGTCGAAGGAGAAGTACTCGTACTCCTCGCCCGAGTCTTCGAGCTGGTGGGACGAGACGCGGCCGATGTTCCACTGGTTGCCCGTGCTCGGGTCGCGGCGGATGAGGGAGAGGGTGAAGGGGACGGCGGTGGTGTTGTGGAAGCGGTTGGGCGAGGGGGACCGCGAGAGCTGGCGGAGTTGGGATGTTGTCGTCGGCGCGCGGGACCGGGAGCGGCGGTCTTCCTGCGGTATGCGCTGCGGCGAGGCTCCCGGTGATGTTCGACGAGCGTCCGGGGTGTGAGGGGCTTCGTGGTGGTGCTGGTGCTGGTGGTAGTCGGGGGCCGGGGTCGGGATGGCACGGGGGCCGACGGGTTTGCGGACCGGCGCCGGGGGCGAGTAGGACAGGGGTCTCGGAGGCAGGTCCGGCCGCAGCTCGGAGTCCGGGTCGTGGACGTAGCCGTTGCCGTAGCCGCCGGCGGCCGGGTGGGAGCCGGGTAGGGGGTAGGACCGGGCGGGGTCGGCGGGCGGCGAGGGGACCTTGGCGCCGGCGGGCAGGGGCTTCCTCCGGATCTGGTTGCCGCTGCGGGTGCTGTCCATGCTCGACCTGGGGGTGTCCGGGTTGTTGCGGAGGTGGGCTTGCAGGGCGCCCGGCTCGTAGGGGCGGTTGCCCTCGCCGGGGAGTTCTAGGTGGATGTAGTAGAAGGAGTTGGCGACATCTTCGCTGGTGACGTTTTTGGGGTGAGGTTTGGCGGTTGTGAGGATGATGTCTGGGGGGAGGTTAGTGATGCTGGGGGGATGTATGCGCGAAAGGGTCTCACCTCGCGTGCCTGGGACGCGGGAGATGTAGAGAGTCAAGGGATCTTGACGTTCGCCGGCTGGATTGTGAGGGTATTGCGGCGGATTGGCCGCTAGGTAGTTGAGCGAGGCCAGAGACCTAGCCTCGATCTGGGTGGACATTCTGGTGAGAGAAATGGTATTTTTTTTTCGGGCTGGTGGTCGAGGCGGGTAGATTGGTTTTGTTTGTATATATCTGACCGCTGCAGGCTGCAGAATGAGCGAGAGGGTGTGTGAGTTCGGGCGTACGTATCCCGTGTGTGCGTACGTGAGTGGTGTATGTTGTGTGTGAGTGGTCGATAATCTTTTGCGTGAGGTGTGTGAGAGTGTGAGTATATGAAGGCGATGATGGTGAGGGTGAAAAGGGTGGCTGAGCCAAGAGGAGGAGGTGATGTGAGGCGGCAACGTTCACAGCCCACTCTAAATTATCTTCTGCCCAAGGGACCCCAAGGAGCTTCCCAAGTGCCGCGACTGGGGCCGCTCGGGGACGTGGATTCGATTGAATTGGGGGCGGCCGGGGGGCACCAGGAAGCTGGCGCTGTCACCGTCGCAGACTCACAGCTCGATGTGGGGGTTTTGGAGTTTGCCGGGGTGAAATCTTGTGATGATGGTTGAGGGTTGAGTCTGCAGAGTTTGAGGCGGTATTGGAAGTATATTCTGGTGGTGAGATGACGAGATGTCTTCGGGCGTCTGGACCGACCAACGGCACCCGAGGAGAATTGAAATGGCTCGCTCGCGTGGTTGGATTGATCAGAGTCAGAGGTGATCGACGCTGCAGATGAGGTGGTTGGGGGTGTATGAAATGAATTGAGACGAGAAGCGGATGAGCGAGGAAGAGGAGGGACGGGATCTGAGAGAGAAAATGACGAATGGGCGATGAAATAAAATCGTCTGCCGGTGGGTATCTCTTTCTTTCACTCTTTCTGTCAGGTACAAGTGCAGATTATTTGTGACCACGTTTGAGAACATGAAATTCTCAGGCGGCTGGTTGGTTGGTTATGCTGGCGATGAGGCGTCTGAGGTGAGGCAGGTACAGGCAGACGGTATTGGATGATATCAGACCTGAAATTCAAAGAAGAAACGAGGGAGAAAAGAATAAGAAAGGCCAAGCAAGGTCCCCGGATCTGCAAATGGCGACGGAAGACGAGCGGCCTGAGAGGGCGGGAGGGATGAGGGATGCAACGGTGCCTGGCCGGGGTCTCGGCAGCCAGCAATAGGCTAAGAGCATCCAATGCCAATGGCAAAAACGAGTCGTCAGCCGGCTGAGGCTGTGCTGTGTGCTGTTGATCGCTCGCTCGCGCTCTCAAGTGCGATTGCGATTCGAACTGGCGGAAGCAGAGAGAAACAGAGAGAGAGAGAGAAGAAAGTCCGGCGGAGTAGTGGCTCCGAGGTGTTCGCGGAGCGTGGTAGGAGTCCGCGGGCGCCCTTTAATCCGGCTTGTCGTCGAGCTGTTTTCTTCTACCGGCCGTCTTTTTGGTTCATATGACTGACTTATTTTAGGATTAGTGGTGAACAAACAAACGGACTCGACGACGGCTTTCGGGGGCAGCGACGAACAATTTAAAGGGCGGGAGATGAGGGTGGACATTTGGTGGTTTGTGCTTTTCATTACATTAGCCTTGGCGTCAAACAAATGAGAACCGTCAACTCAGACATGAGAGTCTAATTGCCGTCGTCCCCTCTTGTGTCTGACTGTGCACTTTTTGAACGACAGGTTGAGGTCGAGAGAGGAGAGAGAGAGTTGCGATATGCATGTGAGCGGGAGGATTCACGGGAAAGAGGGGGTTTGTGCTATTTTTCGCATGCTTTTTTTTTCCCCCTCTCTCCCCGCGGATGCAAGTTGACCGACTGAGTGAGCCATTTGGGATGGAAAAACACGACACGGAATGAGGGGGCCTGACATGATGGATGGGACGGGATGAGCTCGGGGCGACTGGATGATGCAGCGACGTGCAGCAGCAGCCCTGCATCGTGCCGGGAGCTTCGAGCTCGAGCTGTGAGCTTGACTGAAGATGCCATTCGATCGCTGACTGGACCTCAGCAGTGTCTCGTTCCATACACGGGATGACGATGAAAGGTCTCGGATTGCCCTGGAGCTGATATTTGATGCACTCAAATGCTTGAGACCCCTACTCAATGTAACAGGCCCTGACTGGCTGAACAAATCTGCGTCCATCGCATGGCAATAGCAGCTGAACTCATATGCCTTTATGGGTCGACGATATTGACGTGATGCTGTTGATCGAGGTCGCAACCGGCTCATACAAGGAGAAGCCGAAGGCTCAGAGGCTCGAGCCGCCGTGAGAGCAGGGATGAAGCTGTCAAAAGACATCGGGCTGGACGAATAAGCATATTCGCATGAAGATCAACGTCACCTTGAAGGCATCCACAACCCCTCATCTTGCAGAGTCAGTCATCGCAGGGCGCTATCAGGGGTCCCTCGTCCGTTGTGCAGACTGTCTGGACTCTCGACAACTCACATCGGACTATTCACTACGGAGCTCGCTGCCGACCAACTCATACGTCGACGCATCTCCAAACACAACTCCCTTTGAAAGAAGCAAACTCGAAAGAAACCATTGTCGTCTGGCTGTTGTATACGTCATACCGCGCATTGTGAGACTCGGGCTCATAGGCAACCCAACCCAACGGAGTCTCGGCCCCTTCCCACCGTCCACGTCAACTTCAAGGGTCCAGTCCAGGTCCGCTGTGGCGGCCAGTCCAGTCCAACGACGCACAAGGGGCACCCGCGCATGCCGCGAGACCCTGGAGACGGCGTGTTCCAGGGACCCCGATGTTGCTCTCGTGTGGAACGATTTCACTGGCGAGACATCTGCCCAGCTTAGCCACACTTGCGCCTCTCGCAGGTGAAAGTAACTTGGTTGTTACGGGTGTCCAGTAATGGTCTTTGAAGTCTGCTGCCTCGGAATAAGACACAAGCTTGATGAGCTGGGTCTGTCCCTACCTACCGGCCAGTTGGCAGATGCAGACTTCCCACCCAAAAGCTTGGGTTTCCCGGTGACTTTCACGAACGTGGCTGACTGCCAATCAGTCGGCTTGGAAACGCCGCCGGGCCACTGTCCACGCCAGCCGGCCGTCACATTTCTTGCAACCACCTGAACGCATCTTGGGTGCTGACGACGTTGGAGATGATGCGTCGACGAGATAAAGTTGACACTTCTGTCACGTATCCTGACGAACCGAACGCTCTGAAATAGTAGGCTACTCCAACTCTTTTTCTTTGTGCTATTTTGGAACACGCCAATCACCAAGGATGTTCATCCCTTGCGCGTCCTTTGATCTCACTCGACGAACACCTCCAACACCGTCATCTTCGAGGCGTGGATTGAATAACCAGCAGCTAAAGTCTGTCAGCTGCGACCTTGGCACGTCAGCGATGAGGCTTTGACGATCGCGTGGCTCCCCAAGACCCTGAGGCACCACCGTCGGCTCCGAGCAATCGGGCATTTTACCGGACTGTCGGGCGCTCATCTGCCGGCTTTCCAACGGCGGTGTCGGGTCCTCCGCATGATCAAATCCCCGACGTGACGCCGCGGCGCCAAGTCAGATCGGCAGCTAAGGTGGCCTTTCTTCCGGAGAAGCATGCGTCCGATCGGACCCTCGCTAGACTTCTATTATCCCGGGTCTCCGGGGCGGAAACACCTTCTAAGTCTGCTCATCCTCGCTCTTTTTTAACCGTTGTTGGACGTCCCGGCTATTCTTCCCCTTTCGTCTTCTTCGAGCCCCCTTTTGTTTTACAGAAAGTGTTTCCTTACGTCATCCTGCGGGTGTTCGGCATGGGCCCCGTTGACAAGACCGGACAAGCCCGTCTTTACAGTCTTTACGGTGCCCCTTACCTGTCTGGTTTTAATTCAGGGGCCCGGGCTTGAGGTATGGGAGGAAAGCGAGAGCGAGTTGACTTCTAACTGCAACGCTCACGTACTACCTTATTTCAGTAGATATTAACCGCGTATTTACACGTATTTCAGAGCCAAAGGTTATTTGAGCAATATCAAAACCTAAGCGTCAATCGGGTCAGATCCCGAGTCCTGGCCCATGCTGACCTGGGATGCTCGCTACCACTGGTGGGAGAATGCCAACCACGGCTAACTGGCATCACATCGTGACATCGTGGTTCGGACCATCTACCGACTTGGCAATCTAGTGATCCCACGCGGGCACCAATGGCCCCTACGTCTTTTGATCTTTTGTATTGTTGATCACGGCTGTTCGGAAGAGTCGTTGTCAACGGATAGGAAGCCCGATATATGTCCAATCTTTCAAGGCAAGATCCTCCACCCACAACCCGACGTTGAAACTTTCCTCGTCCGTACGGATACAGACCTTCAATTTCCCGCCTATCGTGAGGGCCATCACGGTTAACCGACGGGTGTCCCAGCGAGCCGGGAGCTATATCAGCCTCACATAAGACTCCGTTTTCTAGACTCGGCCGAGGGTGGCCAGGCCTTTGACTCGGCTAGTGTTTCCAACAAACGAGCTCACAACGCCATTTTGGCCCCTCTTTCGCGGTTAGCGACCAACGAGAAGATTCTTCCGTCGAATACAACGGCATCCCACCTGGCCTCCGGGATTAACTACCCCATATTCTTGTCATCCGAACCGGTCCGCCTTGTCTCTTCCGTCCCCCTATCGTGGAATTTTCTTTCTGGACCCCGGACCTCGTGGGCAAACAGACCATGGGCTGTTCCTTTAGAGCCTGGTAGCGCCCAAATGGAGGACTCCTCCGTCCCTGCGAATGCTGGGCGGGCCAGAACGTCGTCTCCCGTTTTGGGCATTGCTACGTTGTATCGGCCTCCTCTCATTTCGCACCCTACTCGCACCCTACGACCTGGGGCCGGGGTCGGTTGGTTCGTGAAAGTCATGTATATAAACGTCGGTTCTTGACCTCCCGGCTTGACGTCTCGATCCCTTCAGTCCATACGTTCGCTTCTCTGTCCATCCCGTTCTCTACTTTACCTTTACATTCGTTCCGACATTTAGTCCTTCACTTACACAATCCGCCGCCACCATGCAGCTCTCTACCCTTCTCATGGCCGTCCTCCCGGCCTCCGTCATGGCCCTTCCCGGCTTCATCCCCATCGAGGGCCCCTCCAAGGCCGGTCTCGCCAAGCGCGATTCTTGGGGCGGCGCCGTCTCCCTCGGTCCCGCCAAGTCCACCATCGTCAAGGCCGTCACCACCCTGACCCCCGGCGCCGCGCCCCCGACCCAGGCCGGCGTGCTCTTCCTCTGGCCCGGCATGTCCAACGGCACCGGCGACCTGATCCAGACCACGCTCGAGTCGTGGCCCGACAACAGCTGGTGCGGCGCCACGAGCGGCCAGTGGTGCGTCCGCGCCTCCGTCTTCGGCTCCTTCGGCCAGATCGACTCGGAGAAGTCGGCCCCCGTCAAGGGCGACCAGGCCATCAAGATCGAGTACGTCCTGCAGTCCGACCAGGACACCTGGCGCCAGACCGTCACCGACGTCGCCTCCGGCAAGGTCATCAGCTCCCTCGACCACAAGTCCGGCCCCTTCATGCGCGGCTACGGGACCGGCACCGAGTGCAACAACGGCTGCACCGGCACCATCGCCGAGCAGACCTACTCCAACACCGTCATCACCCTCTCCAACCCGGACACCACCTTCGGCAGCACCATCGGCTCCAGCCAGGGCGCCAAGTACACCGGTCTCACCAGCAGCGAGGGAGGCAAGGTCTGGACCATCGCCTCCATCAAGGTTCCCAAGATGCAGTAGATACTGTCAGCTGCTCGAGGGATATGACGAGCTTTTCACTGTACATATGGTCTTTGACAGACTATGAAGACGGGGCCATGTCTTCGTTAGTTTAGTAATTAAGCCTTTTGCCCCTATGATGACGTCGCGTAGACTGTGAGCAGACACGAGAAGACTTTGTGATTGTTTGGCCCGATGGACGTTCTGTGATTTTTCTTACAGTTTGGAAGCTTGTTTCTACGGACAAGCGGCAGCAAAAAGTGACGAGAAAATAGGGTCGACAAAGTGAATTGGTCAACTTACTTGAGACAGAGAGTCGCTGGTGCTCAATTGTTTCTTTTCTCTAAGTCCAAAATTCATATTGCGGATCTGAGGCCATTATCATCTTTGGATGCGAGCCCCAACAAGTTAGGTTTACAGAGCAAAACTTGAATAGACGCCGACGGTGAATTCACGATGCATGTCACCTCTGCACGAATGAACTGCGATACTGGCCATGTTGCTGTAGATCAGAGAATTCGTTGACTTCAAGGCTGCCCTCACCTGGCTTTGGTAGGATGATTCTGAGCTGCGAATCCCTTGAAGTGGGCAGCTCAACATCCCGAAACCACGAGACCGAGGCAACTAGGTATTGTTTTCACGGAGACTTCAACTTCTCTGGTCTTGGTCCCAGCGTTGAGCCATGGAAAGCCCGAGTGCCCGTGACGATTCTCAAAGCAACAATAAGGTACTCAGCTAGACATCAGTTTCCATACCTGACCTATTCTCTGGTAGATATCCATTCCTGAGTTGTTGTCAAAGACGACGTTGGTAAAACTGGCAACGTAAACACGAACACCCGCCAGCCAATTCCCACAGCATTGGTCCAAAGACACGAAATAGATTTTTTTCTTTTCTTTTTTTTTTTTTTTTTCCTTCTTTTTTTTAGCTCAGAGTCTTATATCACATAGCGTTTCAATATGTTCAGCGCATAAGAAGCTGCGTACAAAACACTTTAGCGTAGTGGTTATGCACACTGGAGATGCAGCTACTGGAATTTCAATGCCAAGACAGCACCTAGAGCCACGCGATCCCACGGGACGATGAAGGCTCGAATGACGAATATAACCCTCCCAAACGCTTAAAAGTAGTTGGTGTATGTATAAGGCGTCGTTGAATATGCCTTTGAATTTGACAAGTAGGTTCAATGAGCATTGGGTGAGTTCAAGTTTTCCAGGTACCTAGGTAGGGAGGCTGATGTGGGCTGTTTGTATAACCCTACTAATGAAACTGTGGTTTTTTCATGAAGAAACAAAATGCTGGAACCTCAATATTACCGATTCGGTAAAGTAAAATCGGCTTTAATGAAGGATTTCTTAAGTATACAGCGCACTATCTACCGTAGCATAGGATGGCGCGAAGTTGTCCCTCACCACCTAGGTGGGCTTTTGGCTAATTCGACAATATATCGGTGCCTTGAGCCATCAGAAAGATGGTCAATGACAGAGAAAATGTTTTTTTTTCTTTCGAGATGGTCGTTGCCATATTTCATTCCAGCAATTGGGCCCAGGACAGAGAGAGGAAACCTGACGCTTCGGCTGTGGCTCTCCGGCTGATAGGGATGATTTGATGCAATGAAGAGGAAACCAGTATCTCAAGCTCTCAAAGTCATGAGTGTAGTATGGACTGGGACCTGGACCACGGTGATGTTGAAGATTTTGGTGCGTGCATCCCCTGGGTCTCCAAGCTTTCGATACTAGATGACCAAGTGACATCCTTAGGCAGAGTACTAGGTTACCTACAACATTACCGAATGCCAGTCAAGCAGCCCTGTCGGTTTACTGGACCTGACTTGATATTAAACATGCTGTGGACGGTACAGAAGGTCTAGCGCTGTTGGCTGGAAACGCACCCCTGGTTAAACGTGAAGTTAACTGGCATGAGTACAAACTTCAAGTAAGGCATTCGACCAAGTGGCCGATTGCTGACGGAACGTATCTTGAAGACTGGTTGAAAGCAAATAAAACTTTGAAATGAGAAGGCTGTCTGACTTTGGCCTGAAGAGTTGGCATCTTTGAGACGTTGAGGGCAGTCTGCCAGTATCACCGTGTGTAGAAATAGCTTGTAGTAAGCCCGATAACCAAAGATCAGCTCAAAGTTACTAGTACTCACGAACAGAATTTCCTGAATCGGAGAAGATTCCAGACACACGATGCCAGGCTGCGAATAATGTAATGTATTTCGGTAACTGCTCTCTCGGTCCTCGGTGCAGATCTCGGTGTCTCGGTGAAGAATTGCGTCAGGGAGTACGTACCGTTTTCCTGACGTCTCCAAGCACCGCAGTCTCCACACCCCGCGATTTCGGACGCAGCAGACTGCAACAGCATGTGCCTGCACGTCAAGCTTCGCTCTCCAAAAAAAAAAAATCTCCAACAAAAAAAGGGCTCCCAGCAGCAGCCATAACTCCCTTCGACAACCCGCTGACCACGCTCCACGATGTCGACCGCGATGCCCGCCCCCGCGGTGACCAAGGATGAGTCGCAGCCCGTCAAGAAGGGAGGCCCGACGGTCCTGCGATCCATCATCGCTGGATCCACGGCCGGCGCCCTGGAGATTGGTGAGTCAAGACGAAGACGGGGCGCAGTTCCGCGTGAGAGCAGAGTGCTAACACCTGAGAAACAGCCATCACATACCCTGCCGAGTGTAAGAAACCTGCACGATCGAGCGACTCCGCCCGTCGAATTGCCTCTGACCCGTCGCGATAGTTGCCAAGACTCGGTCACAACTGAACCGCCAATTGGCCGATGGCAAGAAGCTGCCCTGGCCGCCATTCGGCGCGCAGTGGTACGCCGGATGCACGACGCTGATTATCGGCAACTCCCTGAAGGCGGGAATCCGTACGTGGAAGGATATGGCATGGACGTCTGGACCGGCGGTGGCTAATGGCGTCGATTGACAGGATTCGTTGCATTCGACCAGTACAAGACGCTCCTCGCCGACGCCGACGGAAAGATCTCGGGCCCCAAGACGGTCATTGCCGGCTTCGGCGCCGGCGTGACCGAGTCCGCGCTGGCCGTGACGCCGTTCGAGAGCATCAAGACGACGCTGTACGTTGGCCCGCGTGACCGCCTTTTCCGTCGCCGCTAACGTCAGATACCCAGGATCGACGACAGAAAGTCACCGAAGCCGCGGATGCGCGGCTTCCTACACGCCGTGCCCATCATCGCGCGCGAGCGCGGCCTCCGCGGCTTCTTCCAGGGCTTCGTGCCGACGACGGCGCGCCAGGCGGCCAACAGCGCGGTGCGGTTCGGCGCGTACAACATGCTCAAGCAGCTCGCCGAGTCCTACACGGCTCCCGGCGAGAAGCTGGGGGCGGTCGGCACGTTCGCCATGGGCGGCATCGCGGGCCTGATCACGGTGTACGCCACGCAGCCGCTGGACACGATCAAGACGCGGATGCAGAGCATCCAGGCGCGGACGCAGTACGGCAACTCGTTCCGGTGCGCGGCCATGATCTTCAAGCAGGAGGGTCTGTTGACGTTCTGGAGCGGCGCGCTGCCGAGGTTGGCCCGTCTGATTGTGAGCGGCGGGTTGGTCTTTACCATGTACGAGAAGAGCATGGACTTTATGGAGAAGGTAGACCCGGAGGGACGATACATCTGAGGAACGGCCTATTGCTTCAAAATACGATGGCGTTAAGGGGTCTTCTAGTTTTTTGGTATAGATATGCTATACAGGGTACAGATGTTGTACAAGATACTGTACATAGGGTATGGGCTATTTCGCCTCCCAAGAGGATATGGCTTTGTTTGCCATGGTGCGTTTCGCGGGGTATTTATTGTGTGATGTGTGATGGTACGTGTCTGATGTCCTCTATCTCCGTTATTGGAATCTGAACATTCCGCTCAGCTTCTTGGACATGTTCTGCAGCCAGCCTCTCGTAGGGGCCTCCTCGAGTTCTCTCAGCAAGTCGTTGAAGTATGTAGGCTGGCTCTTGGGCTCAAGCAGTTCGCCGTTCAAGGGAAACTATGTCGGTAAGCTGGCTGTTACAGTAGATCGGGCGCGGATAAGGTGTGCGGTACCTGCTTCTTGAACCTGTCGTCGGCCAGGGCGTACAATGCGTTGGCCTGCTTGAGCTCCTTCAGCTCGTCGACAGCGGGGTTGGCGAACCTCTTGTCGAGACCCCGGGCGGCGAATTCGGGGAACTGGACCCCGGGGCGCAGGTTATCCTTGGGCCATAATGACAAGGCACGCTGGAAGTGCTTGTAGGCTTGCTGTGCAGAGGGACATGTCAGCGATGCTGAGTGGAATGACGACGGGATATGGGCGCAGAGGAGGGAGTGCTCACACTTGTTGACCGGGCCATTTTGGTAATATCGGAGACTGAAAAAAGACAACTGGAAAAGTTGAAGTTGGACGGACGTCACCGTTCTACCATTCCGTCGTCTCGCCGCGGGGAAAGATCCTGGGTCGGCGGGGTGCGTGGCTGTTTGCGACGGGCAGGCGAGGTCGGAGTCGAGGAGCCGTCGTCGACGTCAAGGATTTCGCACCGGCTGGCGGATGTCGAAGAATTAATTTCTGGAGCTAAGAATTGGACTGCGCCGGAGCTTGCCGTGCTGGGAATCTGCAATTCTGGGATGTCGATTGGGTGGATTATTGTAAAAGTCGTGATTGGACGATGACATCTTTGATGGTCAGGGGACTGAGATACGTACCGGATGACATTTTCGGCCGGTACGTACTTTATTACATAAGACAGATGGCTCATGCGCATGAAAATATTGCCTAAGGCATTCCAGAAGATTCCCGTCCCCCCCTCGCTCGCTGAGGCAGCCGTTCGCGTGTCTCGTGCCCCCGCTCCAGCTCATTCGGCCCTGGTCATTCGCGAAAGTTCCCTGTATCATCTCACGCCTTCGGCTTAGCGCAGGAGGTGTCTCCAGAGATACGTAACCCCGAGACCCCCGATGAAGTGCCTGTCAGAACGCCAAAGGGGCCTCCACCTCCACTGCCACAGGGGCTTTCTCCAGGCATTTCGGCGCCCTTTATTGCCCCTAAAATCTCATGTCCGCCCAGGCCCGCCCAAGCCCGGGATTATGTAAGTCAGTGCAACAGCGTGCGCCTGGTCGTGCGACGGTCCTTTGGCCCTTCTGTCCAGTGTCCAGCGTCCTTCCCCCCAAAAACGCACCGAGCCAACCGCCGTAGACTGCAACTGGAGATTCCCTGAAGGCGTCTCCGTAAGCCTCTGTCGCCTGTTCTTCTGTTTCTCGCCGTCCGCTTTTCTTCCTTCCTTGCATTATTCTTTAGCAGAATCATTCAACACAACAAATCCCCGTCATTCCTTTTGTCGCCTTTTTTCCTCGCCGACGTCTCCTACGATATCCGACCGACGATCCATCTTCTCCTTTTTTTTTTCTTCGACCGTTTCTGTTCCTTTGTCCTGCGACACTTTCGACTCGATCGACCTCTGTCTGCCTCCTCATTTGACCATTCCTACCAACGCCTGGTAGTTGTTTCGTCCGCCGTGGCGAAAGGGGCAACTCGATTCCTACATTTCCAAGACACCCAAAAAACAACAGAGCATTCGTCACGATGGCTGGAGGCTACGAGAGGGTACGTTTCTTGAAATTCTCGTTATCGCCACCGTTAGACTGACACTTCATTTCCTCCAGGTGAATGCCCACGACCATGACGACGACGACTTCGACGCACCCAACTCCGCACCGCCAAGACAGCCGCAACCCGTTCCCAACTCACCACCACCCTCCTTCCACTCGAGAGCGTCGTCGCGCGAACGTAGAGGAGTCGACCCGACACTCGCCGACGCATTCGATACCGATGGTGACGATAGCGATGACGACGCCGATGACCGACAGCGCCTGGTCCGCGCCGACTCCACCCTCGCATCCCGCGACCCATCTCGCAACCCGTCCTCCGAGTCAAGACCCCAGCCCGAGAGAAACGTCACCCAGCTTCCGCCCGCAACAGCGACCACCGCCGGCGGCCCCACGACGCCCTTCCGCATCTACGGCAGCGGCATCCAGAATGAGGGTGTCTTCTCTAATCTGACGGCGAAGCCCGAGCGCGGAGGGCAGGTTAAGGAAGAGCAACCTCCGGTATGTGCACCCGATATGGAGGAACGATGTTGCCGTCGACCGAACAAACGCTAACATTATCTAGACGTACGAGCAAGCCGCAGCCGATTCCGCGCCGCCCTACTGGGAAACAACGATCCTCGCCCCTGGATTCGGCGGTCCCGACGAAGTCTACATCGACGGCATGCCCGTGGGCTCTCTCTTCAGCTTCGTCTGGAACGGCATGATCTCCATGTCTTTCCAGATTGTCGGCTTCATCCTCACCTACCTCCTCCACTCCACGCACGCCGCCAAGAACGGATCACGCGCCGGCCTTGGTATCACCCTGATCCAGTATGGCTTCTACATGAAGGGCAGCACCGAAGGCGACCGCCCGCCCAAAATGAACGGCCAGGACGGATACGCGGCGCCACCGGACCCGAACACGCACAACTTCGACCCCAACGCCGTGACTGGCGACAACGGCGGCGGCGTGGCGGACATTACTGGGCAGGAGTGGATCGCGTATATCTTGATGGTTGTCGGATGGTTTGTCCTCATCAGATCCGTCAGCGACTATCTCAAGGCCAGACGCCACGAGCAGCTGGTGCTCCAGAGCCCCGACCGTGGTCTGCCCGTGCCCATTATCGCCGAGGGCGAGTCGTCCGAGAGAGTGGTATAGCGTTGGCAGGTCATCAACTTTTTCGCGTTACACGGTTACACGGCACGTAACGATGTGCCGTGTGTCATGTGGTTATTGGACTGAGAGTCTATGACAAGGACATCTGTTGTTTCTTTGCGTCGTGTTCTGGTGCTAATGGGATGGGAATTCAAGGCGTAGGGTAATCTATACATATGGTCATGGGGGCAAGGAGCCCACCTCGGTTTAACCTGGAGATTTGAACATGACTGGCTTCAAAGATGTGATTGACACACGTCCACAGTTCGATATGTCGCATCGACAATATCCGTCGTGGTCGACGATGACCGCTCCAAGGGGGTCATAGGAGCAGTGACATTCAATTTAGTGGTTGCAGCGGGATGATCCGCTAGGCGGGGTCTGGAGTTTAGCGCTCGGAGTGCTTTGGGGTCTCCTGGGGCCGCCGGAACGCTTATCAACAGGGTTCCGAGAGGCCCTGGCGACAACGGCGCACCACTGCGACGGCGACGGTCCGGCAAGGTTGCCCCTCATTTTCGGGAAGCTGGAGCTTGACGGGACGTGAAGTTGCATCATTCCTCGCAAATCATCAGTCATCGGCTTCTTCTCTCGCCTCTACAACCGATGGGCACCGCTTTCGATTGTATAGCAAGATTAACCCCAAGAAACTCACTCAGTTAAGCTCGTCTGCAAGCATCCGCCCGCGCAAGATAATAACACAGACATCTTACAGACGAAGACGCCGCCACCACGATTCCCCGATCCTCCTCCGTCCGGAGAGCTTTCAAGCTCCTCCCGAGCTTTATCTTGAGGCCGACCGCCCGCCGACTACACGAGTCGCCCTCTCCCAACTTCAAAATGGCCTGGCGAAGCTCCGGCGCATCCAACAGAGACCTCGTCGAGAACATGTGGCGGCATGGCCTCATCAAGGACCAACGGGTCAAGGATGCCTTTCTAAAGGTAACTTCTTTCCAAATCCCCGGGGACGGAAAGGTACTGAGACGATTCTCCCCAGGTCGACCGCGCAGACTACGCCCCCGCCGCGCCGTACGAGGACTCGCCCCAGTCCATCGGCCACAAGGCGACGATATCCGCGCCGCACATGCACGCCACCGCCGCCGAATCCCTCCTCCCGCACATCCTCCCGTCCGAGGCGCGGCCTGCCCCGCGCGTGCTCGACATCGGCTCCGGGTCCGGCTACCTCACGCACCTCCTCGCCGAGCTCGTGGGGGACGCGGGGCTGGTCGTCGGGCTGGAGCATATCCGGGCGCTGCGGGATCTCGGGGAGAGGAATATGGGGAAGAGCGCGGAGGGGAGGGCGTTGTTGGAGAGCGGGCGGGTGAGGTTCCGCGTTGGCGATGGGAGGGAGGGGTGGGTTGAGAAGCCGAGGGAGGGGGAGGAGGAGAGGGGGGAGGGGTGGGATGCGATTCACGTCGGGGCCGCGGCTGTGGAGTTGCATCAGGAGTTGGTGGATCAGCTTCGGGCGCCGGGGAGGTGAGTTGACTTCATTCCGTTCAGGCTGGTGTTCTGACTGACGGGGTTAGGATGTTCATCCCCGTGGAGGATGATAACGGGTACGACCAGTACGTCTGGGCCATCGACAAGAAGGAGGACGGGTCGATCGTCAAGGAGAAGTTGTTCGGGGTGCGCTACGTACCGTTGACCGACGCGCCCAAGGCTTGAGGGAGAATGGGATTTTGATGTCTGAGAATGGAGGGAATGATGCGCGGGCGCGGGGCGTGAGACATTGTTGACGAGGGAACGAGATCGAGGCTAGTGTTTAGCTGCGGGAAATGTGTATACCCCCTTTTTCGATATACGAAGTAACGTACATTTGTGGAATTGAATGCTGTTGGATTGTTGATTGTGATATTGGATCCTGGGGAGTGACGCTGTTTGTTCTCGTTCTTTCAAGTCTTGAGCTCACTGGTAGGCCACCTTGGAACACCAACTTTCTTACGTTTCGATTGAGGCAGAGTTGTGAGGGTTTGATGCTACTACTTGCTGTCCTCGACTTGGATAGTGCTGATCTCGGTGTTTCTCGAATCCAGTTGGAACATCACTTCACTACTGAGAACTGTATTGGCAGCAAAATCATGTAATAATCGAGTGTAACAATAAATAACTAGTATTGGATATATCGTGCTAACACATGCGAGGGCAGGTTCCCAGACCATCCACCTCTCAACCATGGCGCAGAGAACGCCGCCCGCCCGAGAAGAACAAAAAAACGCCTCATAAGTCATGTACATCATCTCAGATCTGGTTCTGCTCTTCCTCTTTGACGGCCTCCGCGTGTCTAGATTCCATGTCTCCGTCTAGCTTCGTGTACTCTATCACCACGTTGGCTATCCGCGGCAGGTGCTTGATGCTGAGAAACGCCTGCCCGTGGTCCATGCCGGCCAGGTACATGAGCTCCAGCTCGCCCTGCCCGGACCACCGGTCCGGCGTCGTCGACCACTCGTGCTTGTCGGCGCGGCTGTAGTTCATGTCGCCGAAGTAGACGTAGCTGGCGACGGCGTCCGGGTCCGTGACGCAGTCCTCGCCTCCCAGCACGACGGTCGTGCGCTTCCCCTGCAGCTCGGGCGTCCAGAGGATGAAGTCCTGCCAGCGGAAGCGCCGCGCCAGGGTGTGGGCGATCATGGCGTCCGTGGCCACGAACCAGATCTCCCACTCGTTGCCCCACCGCGGCTTGCGCCTGGTGAAGTTGTAGGCGACGGCGGGTAGGTGGAGGAGCAGGGACACGGGGTCGATGAGGACGATGGAGTTGATGCGTCTTGCGAGGTCGGGCTTCTTGAGGAGCGGGGCGGCGAAGAGAGTTCCGAAGGAGTTGCCTACGAAGACGAAGTCGTTGTAGCCTTGTTGCTGGATGATGGCGTCCATACCGGCGACGAGTTCGTCGGTCGGTGGGAGAGGCGGGCATATACGCGAAGAGACTGGGAGGATCTCCACGCACAGCACGCCGACGTCCTTGGGTATGGTCCAGAGCCAGTAGAGGTAGGGCAGGAGACCTACGCCGACGCCGTGGACGAAAAGAACAGGGCGCTGCGTCTTGGAAGTGTGTGGCCGGCAGAAGTAGCTTAGTTGCGAGCTGTTGGACTCGTTGGGCGCGAAGAGAGTCATCGGACGCAAGGGAAAGACCGAGAAGAAGGTCTTGCGGGGCTGGCGGTAGAACTTGAAGCCCCTGATGGCGAGAACGATCCATACCAAGACGTCGAGGCTTCCCACTATCTGTGGGCGTGGGTTAGTCAATGGCACCGTCGATAGATGAATGGATGCTTACCATGTAGAAGAAAAGACTTCGATGCCGGATGTCGATAGGGTCGAAGCTGAGGCGCATCGGCTTTGCGTCTCCGTAGCCTTTCTTAATCGTGACTTCCGCGCGCTCCTCGGCATCGTTGATGTACTCCTCGAGTTCATCGTCATGCTCCCCCGGGTTTCCTTCCTTGTCGAACAACGCCCACATCAGCCAGTCCTTCACATTCTCCCTCCGGATGTCGCCGATCTGGGCGTTGCAATGCCATTTCCGGATGTATTGCTCGATGTCCGGCGCGTGGTCCAGACCCTTTTGAAAGAATTGTCTGCGTTCCGGAGCGGTGAGTTGTTTCACTTCGAAACCTGGCTTCTGAAGGCGAGAGCGATAGGGCAGGTAGAAGGCGAAGTAAAAGAGGATTTCGATGGCACCGACGACTTCGACGAAGATGGAGAAGGGGTGCGCGATTCCGGGTACTCCTGCGAGGGCGAAGATGAACCAGAAGTAGAGGAAACAGAGAAACCCCAGATACTGGAAGAAGATCACCATGGACCTCACCAGGATGAGCTCCGGGACCGACTTTCCCACGAGCATTTTGAAGACGTCGATACAATCAGTCGGTAGTTCGGTTGTCAAGTCGCTTGGCGTTCACGAGAACTGTCAAGTCGCCCATAGCGGCCACGCAGCGGCATGCTACCATCTTTAATGTGGACAGCAACAAAGTCAAGTTGTTCGAGGCCCGCGTCAGAGATCTGCGAAACGGCATGGATGCAGCCTGGAGAGGCAGTACCCGGCCGAGGAAATTTCCCTTGTCCCAACGCTTGTGATTTGTTATTCGGTAACGTGCTCACAAGAAGCTTCAAGTGCGTTCCCTGCGTTGCTGGATTTGCAGAGTAGGTTGCGACCGGCATCAGACGAAAGTAAAACGGCACTGTGGTGACCAAGCTGGCGGGCAGAGATCGTGGCTTGAGTTGCGTGTTGGGCCCAAGGTGGAATGCTCCTCTGGGCCGTAGCGAAACGTTACGGTCCGTGCTGTGCTTTACTGAGTTGACTTTTTGGGGTAAAGGGCAGCGAGCTGATGCAGGGAACTGCTTGCCTCGCAAGCGTTTGTGACGCCCGCGTGGTCGAGTGCGATGTCGACGAAGTATTCGGGATCAGGGAATGACCTCAGGGTCGAAGCCAATTACCCGATCAAGACGCAAATGATGCGAAGAAAGAGGGACCGGTGGGGTTGCTCTCTGGCGATGGAGGGTGTCCGGGCTGCCACGTCGGGTCGACATGTGCCATCTGGAGAGGTTGACAAGTGGGAGAGGCGTGACGAAGACGAAGACGGCTTCTGGTTCGTTTCATCTTGTCGAAGTGCACAGAAGCACGGAGTAGCGGGTTGGAACGCTTCAGCAAGGCGATTCGATGATGATCAGAAGTTCGGAATAATGACTCGGCAGAGAAAGCTTGTGGAAGGAGCCTTCGAGAGTTATGCCTTTGCGAGGGCGCTGGGTATGGAGAACTTGTTGAGCTTCATCGTGTGAGGCGCAGGGTTTCGGTCATGGGGAGAGATTGGCCGACGGACGTTGACTTGGATGTCGTTTCGTGAAGTTGTGAAGCTTGAAGAAACATGAGTAGCAGCAACGACCATGCAGCATCCAACGATGCCCCTGCCCGATCCGGAGGGAAGATCCACCCGGTGTTTAGCCGTCGGGGTGCTCTGGGGCCGCTAACTTATATTAGGACTAGTCGCAAGCCACGTTCCACTAATCGACCCATCTGACCGATAAGGTGCTGGGGGCTTGATCCACACTTCTTATCTCGGTCTCCGATTGGACGCCTCCAGCCAGAACGGAGCTGGGCGGGGGAATATTCCAACCGGATTCCTGCTGTTCGTCCGCCCACCAACATCTCGTTGTCGGACTTACCTGACACAAAAACACCATTCCTGGCGCGGGAGGCTTGATTCCACGCCGTTGACGTGCAGCCATGTAAGCCACAAGTCGTAATTCGGGTCAACTTCCAGCCTTTGGAGGCCGTGATGTCGGACTTTTCCAAAGTAGCAATGTTGCCTTAAGCAGTTGCTGTGGCCTTTTGAGGTAGGATAAAAGGCGAACTTTTCCTCGCTTTGAAAGGTGAAATGAAGCCTTCATGATCATCACCACTCCCGGTCCTAAACATATCACAACCAAGCTTTATCACCTGCCTTTTTGGTGCTCCGTTCTAAATCGGGCGCTTCCATCTCATCTTACCCGACCCCGGACGCTTCCATCAGACTTTCACTGCCTGCCTCCAGCATCCGATCCAGTCGGCCCCGATCCCTTAGCCCGCACTCGCATATCGCATCCGTAATCGGGTCATCCCATCTCAGTCCCCCACCACAGACCGTCAGCATGCATTCCGCAAAGACCATCCTATTTCTTGGAGCCACCGGTGGCTGTGGCTTGTCCGCCCTCCGCCGCTCTCTCGATGCCGGCTTCACGTGCATCGCCCTGTGCCGCACTCCGTCCAAGTTGACCTCCGTCCTCTCCGCAGAGACATACCCCGAATTACACGTCGTCCAAGGCAACGCACACGACGCCGAGGCCATTGCCAAATGCCTCGTCTTGCCTCATGACGCAACCCGCTTCGTGGACGTCGTCGTGTCCACCATCGGCGCCTGGTTCGAGATGAGCAAGATGAACCTGGAGGATGCCCACGTCTGTGAAAAGGGCATGGCTGTTCTTCTCGACACCATTAAGAAGCTTCGCGCCGAGAAGAATGTTACTGGAAACCCCCGTATTATTGGCCAGAGCAGCACCGGCATCTCCAAGTTCGGGAGGGACACGCCGCTTGTCATTTACCCTCTCTACAAGGGTCTTCTGCACACACCACACGAGGACAAGCGCGCTTTGGAAGAGCTCCTGTTCAACTGCGATGAGGACTGGACTGTGCTACGGGCCAGCTTCCTCACCAACGGCCCAGAAGTACAGGGGTACGCAATCAAGGTCGGCGTAGAGGACCCCGTCGATGGCGTCGAAGAGTTGGCTATTGGCTACACCATTTCTCGAGAGGATGTAGGCAAGTGGATGTTTGAGAATATCTTGAACAAAGATGGAAAGGATCGGTACGTTCGCAAGGTTGCAACTATCACCTACTGAGCGCGGTAGCATGGGTTTTCTTTTTTCATTATAGACGTAAACGTTTCCAAATACCCGTTTTCCTTGCAATAACCTAGCACTGAATTGCATCTCTTTACCAAGCAAAATTCCACCTTTCTGATGCTGTGTTGCCTCCTTACGGGATTCACCTGCCCAAGTCTCTGCTCTGGCAGTCGTGTCGATATCACCGCAGCGGCCCGCCCATGGTTCTCGAGAAGAAACTAGCCAGGTCGTCGATACCCTGTGGCTCGTTGAACCAGTGGCCACCAGACTCATATTCATGCCATTCAACCTCTGTCCCCAGAACCTCGCTTAGACAATCTCGCAAGACTCGCCCGTTTTCCACCGGAACGACATCGTCATCGACGGAGTGGCTGAGGAAGACAGGCGTCGTCCGCCACACCGTCATGGTCGAGCCCACATGCAGCTCAGGGCTGAAAGCCTCTTGAAGACGTCGGTAGGTCTCGTCGACGGAACTGTCACCGTCCAATCTAATGGAGGACAGAGCCGGAAGTGCCCAGCTAGACGAGCCGATGAGCCCTGCGAATCCCCCGCCACCACAGACGAAGGCCGCGACTGCCGTGGCAAAGCCCTGACTGATGCCACCCAGCCAGATCTTATTCCGAGGAACGTAGGCGGATTCCTGTTCGACGATGTCGAGTACGAACTGGACGCTGTCCGACAGTCCTGGTTGTTGCAGCTCCGGCCGCTGGTCCGGGTTCTCAACTGACCACATGTCGAACCACTGAGAGAGCGGCGTGTCGAATCGTTCTGAAGGGATGGGGCGTGCCCCGGGGAAGACCCATTTGAAGTTTGGGAAGAGGTCCTTGAGGCTTTGTGGGCTGCCCGACGTCTCGCTCTCGAAGAACTCGGCGCCGAACTCGTGGCACTCGCTGTCTCGGCCATGGAGCAAGATGACTGTGTGGGTGTGTATGCTGCCTACGACGGGGCCGACGGTGCATGACGTGAACCCCATCTTGGCCTCGAGTTGATTGTTGTAGTTGTTTCTTGAGATCAAACGTGATCTCGCGGTCTGGGTAAGCTGACAGCTGAGCGGCATGACCCCAATTCTAGGCAGCAGTTTGGAGCTTAAAATGAGTCTGGGATTTTGCCAACAGCACCTGGAGAGCACACGGGTTGTGGGTCATGTCTCCGCAAGACTTCTGCATATATCCAACCTGGTAGTCAAACTTTGGAATATCCACGGCACCTTGTATGTTCTCGAAGCCTGGATAAACTGACTGACCTTTATTAATGTTCATTGACCGAATTCTGCAATAACAAGCAAGAAAACAGTCTCCATAGTCTCAGTTGGAAGAGCGTCAGTCTCATACCATACGTGGCAGAGGTAGCTGAAGGTCGCCAGTTCGAGCTTGGCCGGTGACACATTTCTTTTTGGTCTTTTGGTAAACCCTTATTAGTAGTGTGCGGTGACATAGTTTGCGATTTCCGTTCCGTTTTTGAAGTTTGGCGTCCTCTTTAAGTTAAAAATTCGCAGTCAACACTTTACAATCGCTACTAGGACTTTCTCACTTCTCTTATTCGACTTTATAACAACCACATTCTAACGATCACATTTAGATACAAGTACAACATCCGGTTGAGTTTTTCCATTAAACCTTCCCAAAATACATCATCTCAGACAAAACCAATCACTCCTATTCTCGTGATTTACATCATGTCCAATCTGCACAGCGAGTATCGGACATGAGCTTGATTTTACTTTAAACAGCCTCCGTGTTACCGCAAAAGTTCGATAAAGCGAAATAGCACGGTCTGGATCTGCGTCCATATCATCTCAACCTATTCGAGCCGAGGAGAGTTGGTGTGAGCCATTGTAGCTGCATATGACAGGATGTCTGTACACGAATGGCTTGAGATCCTGGTGAAAAGGCTTCAGACCTCTTTGGCCTCGGCCGTGTGGGAGTCGTAATTTTCTTAAAATCGCAGCTACGTTAGACCACACTTCAAAAACACCGTACCTTATGCATCTGGCCGTACTGTACCTCACTCTCATGCGGCTGACCATACTCGAGCAGGTGATCTGTGTTTCTCTGCAATATACGAGGTTGCCTGAAACGGAACGTCGAAGTTGAGGAAGGCCCATGTGGCTCTAGACCGATTACCTAGACGTCATACTGGAATAATCTCATTCGTTGCTTTCCCTCGTGTCCTGCATACGCTAAACAGTGATGGCCAGTTGGAATCTTTTGCTATTGGCTCGACCTCACTCTGAAGGATTACGGGATGTAATTCCGCGCCCTTCGACCACCCTTTGGACATGCGTCATTACTAATTGGGCATATCTTGCTTTTGACTACTTCAACTAATCAAGAACAAGGCCAGGCACTCGATTCTTGGCATCTTCTTTACACCAAGCACGATCTGCCCTTTGCACATGAGACTTGAACATCGCCAATCATGTCAACCCCATTCAAAGCTGTGTTCTTCGATTTCATGGGAACGTGTCTTGATTGGCACTCCAGCGTCGTCAAGTCTTGGCCTTCATCGGTTCCTCAAGATGAAGCCTCCAAGCTCACTTTAGAATGGCGCAGACAATATTTCATCGAAAATGACAAGCGCTTTCGCCAGGGCCTTGCCCCGGAGGACATTGACGTGACGCTCGCGCGCGTTCTAGAAGGGGTACTCAGCCAGTCGCCAGACCACGCCTCTGTCCTCGATGCAGATACGAAAAAGAGGATGGTCCAGTCGTGGCACTCTCAACCCGCATGGCCTGAAGTTGGAAAAGCCATTGAGAGTGTTCGCAAGGACCTCGACCTCGAGGTGTTCGTTCATGCGAACGGTACCACTCGGTTGCAACTCGATCTCACCAGGTCTTCGGGGTTGAGCTTCAACATGCTGTTCTCCAGCCAGCTGCTGGGACTTTACAAGCCTAATCTCGACGCTTACAAGAAAGCGTTGGAGCTTGTCAAGCTACAGGCGGAGGAAGTAGTCATGGTTGCAGCGCATGCGTACGACTTGCGTGCCGCTAAAACGTTGGGGATGAAGACTGTTTACATCCATCGGTGGACTGACGACATAGATGAGGACATGGAGAAGGTCAAGAAGGAGTTTGATGCGTTTTTGGAGGGTATGGAGGAGTTGCCTGCTGTGATTAAGAAGCTTTCACACTGAGGTTGCGGCCCAGAACCGCAGCTTTCATCAGTTATCTTAGGATTCTAGCTGTTCGTGGTGTGTTATTGAAATATGCAATCCTCCAAGAATCCATCCCGCTCTATGTTTTTGACTGTCTCATAGTCTCTACTGCCCCTTAGGGTTGGCAACAATGTCAGCGATGACGGTGTCTAAATCCTCGTCCTCCAGGCCAAGTGCTTTCATTGCAAATTCAGGGCGCTTCGTCCAGTCGGCATCCAGTGTACCAACCGCAAACACAAGGTCCTCGATCGCTTCGTGATCGCCTGCATCGGCCTTCTTCTTGTGCTCCTCGATGAACGTATCAGAGTTGAGGTCGTTGACCTTCCACTTCGACCCCGTTGCCTTCTCCAGGCTCTTGATGAGCTCTTGCTGGGTAATGCAGAAACTTTGAATAAACAAAGTCTTGTTCTTCGTCTCCTCCGTGACACCCTTCTGCAGTATGCGCACGACGGCCTCACCTACCCTCGGCAGCGTCGCAGCGGATGCCTTCAAGTTGCCCCCATCGATGATGTCAATCTCTTTTCTGTCCAAGTACGCGTGCAAAAAGCCCTCCCTGACGCCCCAGTCGAAGAAATGGCCGCACACGATGCCCGTCCAGGCGAATTTGTCGTTCTTGTCGGCCAGCTCTTGCGCCTTGATCCGCACGGCGAGCTTGTTGCGGTACAGCGGGATGAGCTCCCGGGCGCGGGGGTTATCGGCGTCGATGCTGCCGAAATCGGCGGGCATGAAGTGCTTCACGCCAGCGGCCTCGGCCGCCTCAGCGATGCGCAGGTGCTGGTCGAGGTCGCGCAGGCGGAAGCTGACGATGACGACATCCTGGCCTGTGAAGGCCTTCTTTAATCCTTCAAAGGAGAGCTCGTCGTCGACTTCGATGACTTGTACTTGGTCTGCGGGGTACGAGATGGTGCTCTGAGACCCGGCGCGCTTCAGGGCGCTAAGTTTGAATGACTTCGATGCAACCAGGGCGTCCAGGATTTTGGCTCCCAGAGTGCCGTTGGCGCCAACAATGAGGACCGATTTTGTTGTCATGACGGCCGGGGTGAAGGTATGATTATTAGATGCTTGGTGGCCAGAAAGAAGTTAGGACAGAGTCATCAAGGTAACTTGTGTTGTTGATGGTGTGAACATGAGAACAAGCAATGACTTGACGTAGATTGTGTGCTGATTTGACCAGTCGGGAACACTTTCCGAATTCCCCTTTGCAGTCGATGTTACGGCAGGTAGCCCGCGGGATGCAGCCCGGATTTTAGTGCTGTCAATCTTATCGCAGCCTCCATCACATCTGCTGGTGATCTGTTAGTGGAGTTAAGACATACCTATTCTGTCACTTACACTCCGACTTCTCGCCGGCATTAGCGGTCCTAACATGTCTTAACATGGTAAGTTTCCCAACGGCGACTTCTCCCTCTCCGACGGCTTTAAACACTAGTTTGTGGCTTGAAAGTTATCGACTTTCTCCTCTGCGGTTGAATCCTTTGGCATCGCATGGCTGAGACACGGTTGACTGGTGAGTGCTACCCGCATGTGTTGTGTTTACCTAGGCCACGATAGGCATGTTCGGTGCTTCGTGCGTCGCTGGAGTCCCCAGAAGCCTAAATCCGGGCGCGAGCCAACAAACATACCACGACACGCGGGGAAAACAGGCTCGCTTGCGATTGTTGTCGAGCTGGAAAGGGACTTTGGGAGAATTACGGGTATAAAAGTCTCTGGAATCCATCTGACGTTTGATTTTGGCATCTTCTCACACTCATCTTGACTCAGTCCTCAAGTCAGCCCAACTACTCCATCACAACATTATCTTCGCTGTTGAACATGTCGTCTAAGCGCATCGTCTTCATTACCGGAGCCAACACGGGAATTGGCCTCGAGACTATCAAGTTCCTCCTGCAATCATCAAAGCCGTACCATGTCATCCTAGGAGCCAGGTCTGCTGAGAAGGGGGAGGAAGCCATCGCCCAGCTCAAGAAGGAATATTCTTCTACACAGAGCTCATTGGAGTTCCTGGAAATCGACGTCACCAGTGACGACGCCATCCAGAGCGCATTTGACACCATCAGCAAGAAGCATGGGCTCATTGATGTCCTGGTCAACAATGCTGGTAAGAATCGACATTGATAGAAGCTTTCGCTTTTTATCTAACTCCAATTACAGGTGCCACATTCGACGGCTTCGTCGTATCTCGTCCCGATGATATCGCCAGCGTTCGAGAGGCCTTCAACAAGGCATACGACGTCAACACCTCCAGCGCGCATGTCATGACACACGTGTTCGCGCCTCTCCTGTTGAAGTCCTCCGATCCCCGTCTCCTCTTCGTCACCAGCGGTCTCTCCAACCTGAATGACATGGCCGAACATGGTCTCATGCCCCACCTCGGGAAGGTCACCACCCCTGCCGGGTGGCCGAAGAACCCTACGCCGATGGGCTACCGTTCAAGCAAGGTCGCGCTCAACATGGTCATGCTGAGCTGGCACTGGCTGTTTGAGGAAGACGGTGTCAAGGTCTGGTGTATTTCGCCTGGATTCCTGGCTACTGGTCTTGGAGGTAACCCCGAGGTGCTCAAGAAGATGGGTGCTGGCGAGCCCAGTCAAGGCGGAGAGCTGATCAAGAAGGTGATTGAGGGTGAACGAGATGCTGATGTGGGCAAAATCGTTGGCCAGAATGGCATTCAGACATGGTAGAACGCCTTTCAAAAAGTTGATAACTCAGACTACATAAGATATGAATCTTGATTTCCCGTCCTAGACAATCTACTGAGCTCGATTTCATTCAAGAACATGATCGTATCATTGATCCTCAACACCATCCTCTCCTTTGCATCCGGGTAGAAGTGAAGAATATGAGCCAAGCGTTCTAGAACAAAGCTTAATCGAAGGATCAAAGGATCGAGAGTGTCGGACACGGCGCGGACCTAAATGATGCAGGAATTCCGGGGATCGGCCCGGCCATTGGCACCAAGCCGGGCGCTAACTCGGAATTCTCGCCGGAGCACCGTCATTACCCCTGACTATTCCCCCAGTTTTTCGATTGTCCAAGTTGCATTTTTGCCAGGGTAGCTCCAACAATCAGCGCCAGCATTGGCTATTTTCGCACCAACGGACCCAGCTCAATGCGCCACGTCGCGGCTCCTGAGACAATGAAGAGCTGGGTTGGGATGTGCGAAGCTGGTGTCGAGCTGTGCTTCGACACCATGTCCTCGACACCCGTTCGAACTTTCAAACCAGAGCTCCCCGGAGCATTGAAGCTTAACGCCTGCGGCCACCCACGAACACCCCTCCTCGACATGACAACATGGCCAATCGACGACAGCGGCGCACAATAGTGATCGCCGTCTTCATATTCGGTTTCTTCCTCTTCAACTTTCTGCGATCATCGAGTCCCGACCGCCAACCGAAGCCCAAACATGCGGACGTGCCCGTCATCAAGAGTAGCTACGACTGGGCGAACCATCCACACAAGTATGCCATAGATCCAGAATCGATGCATCGGCTGCCCGCCGAACCGACCGAAGACCTTCCCCGAGTCCAATTCAAGCCCAGCGCGAAGCGCGGCCGCGAGAACGATGCGACGTCCGAGTCTCGACGAGCCGCGGTACGAGAGACGTTCGTCAGGAGCTGGAACAGCTATAAGAAATATGCTTGGGGGTACGACGAGCTCGCGCCCGTCTCTGCCAAGGGCAAGAACACGTTTGGAGGCTACGCCGCGACCCTCGTGGATGCCCTCGATACGCTGTGGATAATGGACCTGCATGAGGAGTTTGGGCTGGCCTTGTCGGTCGTTGCGAAGATGGATTGGGATGACACGGTGGAAACGTCCGTTAACGTCTTCGAAACCACCATTCGCCACCTCGGTGGACTTCTGAGCGCCTACGATCTCAGCAGCGAGCCTGTCCTCCTGGCGAAAGCAATTGAGCTGGGAGACATGCTGTATGCCGCCTTCGACACCCCGAATCGCATGCCCCCGTTTTGGCTGGACTTCAAGCTGGCAAAGAGCGGAGGACTCGAGGCAGGAACCAACGATCCGTCCGCGTCGCCTTGCAGTTTGTCGCTCGAGTTCACGAGGCTATCGCAGTTGACGGGGAACCCCAAGTACTTCGACGCGATCGAGAGGGTCAAGCTCTTCCTGGAGAGAACGCAGCACGAGACTCAGCTTCCCGGCATGTGGCCGGCGCTCATCAACTTCCGCGACGAATCTGTCGTCAACCACAACGAGTTCACCCTGGGTGCGCTTGCCGATTCACTGTACGAATACCTCCCCAAAATGCATGCCTTGCTGGGTGGAACGGATCCCGCGTACGAAAAGATGTACCGCGAAGCCATGAAAGTGGTCCAGCAGCATCTCCTGTTTCGACCGATGCTCCCCGACAGCGCGGATGTTCTCTTCTCCGGGACGGCGTTCGCCGACAACAGTGTGCGGCGCAACCCGGAAAGCCAGCACCTGACCTGCTTTGTCGGCGGCATGTTTGGTCTGGGTGGCAAGTTGTTCGGCATTAAAGAACACGTCGGCTTGGCCAGGAGACTCGCGCGCGGCTGTGGCTGGGCCTACTCGTCTTTTCCCACTGGTCTAATGCCGGAAATCTTCGGCATGGTCACATGTCCGTCGCTGAACAAATGCCCCTGGGACGAGGAACGATGGAAGCGCGAGGGTGACGGTAACTTGAGGAAGGGGTTCTCTCATGCTCGCGACCCTCGATATATCCTTCGACCTGAGGCGATCGAGAGTATATTCCTGTTGTATAGAATGACGGGCGACCGCGACTATCAGGAAATCGCGTGGACAATGTTCCAGTCCATCGTGAAGGCCACTGAAACGCAGTATGCCAATTCCGCTATTGGCGACGTTACCAAGGAGGGTGAGACGGAGAAATTGGATTCAATGGAGGTAAGCTGATCTGCTTGGGGATGACGGAGATGACAATTGCTGACCTTTCTAACAGAGCTTCTGGCTGTCGGAGACGCTGAAGTATTTCTATCTCATCTTCTCGCCCCCGGATGTTATCAGCCTTGACGAGTATGTCTTGAATACAGAGGCGCATCCTCTCAAAAGGAAGAAGGCCGTTAAAGAAAGTAAATCTTTCTTCTGAAGAGAAGAGAGAAGGATTATACCCCAGCATCCACATTATACTTAGAGCAGTATCCATCAATTTCTCACGGATCTCATCACACGTCGCATCGCTCAGTCGGCATGTCTCGAGTCGAATCAGATCCAGGGGTCATTCAAAGTCACGATGACGGTCAAAGGAGGCCAGCTTCAATCGACGTACCGACATTGGGAGGCGTCGGAGCGCAACCATCTGGTAGTCCATCAAAAAGATAGACTCATCACTAGATAATAGAACACTACGGCAAGCCGTGGATCATCAATGCATCATGTCATAACTGTCTACCTGATCCTACGAATACTAGTGATACTGGTCCTGCCAGCCCATCTCCCTTGCGGGTCCCAACTCTGCGTCCATTAAATCGTTCCACATCATGTGCAAGTTCGTAGATGGTTCACGTAGAATTCTTTCTAATGCGGAGTGCGAATCTCGGTCGCTCAGGCCTTCCATCTCAACAGAGTAACGGAAGCCTTCACGAAATCATAGGGACCCTTGCCGTCCCACTTGCTCTCAGCGATACCAACCGGGTTCTGGTCGCCCTTGTTGACGACGGATACACTCTCCCCAGTGACTGTGTAGACGGTGACTTCGGCGCCGGAGGCGATGCCGTTCAGGTCCACGGAGAAGTTCTTGGTCTCGTGGACGTTGACGACAGCCAGGTTGACGAAGCCGTTATCGTCAATGGTGGCGCTGACATCAAGGTAAGGGGTCTCAATGGCGCCCCTGATCCAGTTGGGCTCCGTGGGGCCCTCGTACTCGGGAGAGCGAACGTTGGTCGCAATGACCTGGCCTCTCATGTACTTGCTGAAGAGCAGCAGAGGCCACCAGGTGGTCTGCTTGGTGATGCCCTCCTTGGTGGTCATCAAGGGGGAGATAACGTTGACGGACTGTGCGATGTTGGCCATGCCAATGTACTTGGCCTGGCGGACAAAGACGTTCAGCCAGACTCCCACAGCGAGAGCGTCGGAGAGTGTGTATCTTTGATCAGGGTTAGCACTACGCGGTGTTCAGCAGAGAGAACCTCGACTTACGACTCCTCACCGCCCTCTTCACCAGGAGCCCGGACAGGATCCCAAACATTCCACTCGTCGAAGCAGATCTTTTGTCTCTTGCACGTAGGGGGCACCTTGTTCTCGATACGGGCCAGGTCGATAAGGCCTCCCGTAATCTCAATGGCCCTCTCGGCGGCTCGAGGGGCTGTATAAGAGTCAATACCATGATCGACACACAACGATACAGAAGACGGCGCAACTCACCGGTGGCGTTCTTGAGGTGGTCGTTCGACGCAGTGTACAGATGAATGCTGTGCATGTCGATCAAGGAGGCGGTGGTGCTGCCACCCAGGCCGTGCATGCTCCACGTGATGCACTCCTTGATGACATACGTATCCCAGCTGCTGAAGCCGGTCTCACCACACAGAATGAGCTCGATTGAGGGATCCAACAGCTTCAAGGCCTTCGCCCATTGGTAAGCCTGCTTGGCGTAGTCCTCCTTGGTCATTTGGCCGACCTGCCAGGGACCCCACATCTCGTTGCCCAGGGCCCAGTACTTGACCTGATATCAGGTGAGCGGCTGCGCGTGTACGGCGAATGATGTGACTTACATTGTAAGGCTTCTCGCGGCCGTTTTGGCGGCGCAGGTTGGCGTAGTACGTGTCCCTGTCAGAGTTGCAGTACTCGAGCCACGCGAGCGCTGAGAGTAGAAATTCTGTCAGAAACGTCCTGTTCCTGGGAACCGATTCCGGGGAAAGGGGGGTTGGTTGACTAACCTTCGTCGAGCGTGCCGGTGCCGAAGTTGAGGGCCAGGTAGGGCTCCGCGCCAACGACCTCACACCACTTCATAAACTCGTCTGTTCCGAATTCATTGGACTCGACGCCGATCCAGGCCAGCTCGGGTCTAACGTCGGTTGCGCATTAGCCACCACTGCAACCAAGCGCGGGCCGCTCACACCAATATTCCGGACCCCGAAGGATTTGGGGTCCGCGGTCATGGGGGTTCTAGATCTTTGTGAGACGGAACTTTTGGCTTACCTCTTGGGGCGCTTCTCTCTGGGACCAACACCGTCAATCCAGTGGTAAGTGGCACAGAAGTTTCCGCCTGGGTAGCGCATAACAGGGCAGTTCAGCTCTTTAACAGCCTCGATAACATCCTTGCGGTAGCCGTTCTCATCTGAGAGAGGGTTGCCAGGGTCGTAGATGCCACCATAAATGCATCGTCCCATGTGCCTGTAGCGTGTCTTAGTAAAGATTTGGGCGAGGGCACGGTGAGCGAGACTTACTCGGTGAAGCCGCCGTAGGTGTTGTCATCGATGCGGGCGATGGGGTGGGAGGGGTTCACCGAGATGCTAGGGCGGGCATCCTCCGCGATCTTTGTGAATGTGGCCATGGTGTGTGTCTGTGTGTCTGTGTGTCTGTTTGTGTGTGTTCACTGAATCGAACCGTGTGCGTTTGGGAGTGTGCTGATGGTCCTTACGCGTGGCTGACAATTTTATGCAAAAAGAACAGCCGGTCGATGAGTGGTGGAAATGGACGTGACCTGGCTACTTGACGACGACGACGGCGCCGGATCGAGGCCGAATTTGAACTCGTCAGGGGCGGGGGCAAGCGGTGAGACGACGGGGACGGAGAGTCGAGTGGCAGAAAAGAAACGGAGGAGGATATTGGGCCGGCAGTGGAGGGATTGCGGACTTGCCGCCTGACGACGCGGGTTTTCGATCTGTTTCCCGCGACAGTCGCTTGTTGGCACGGGTTGAAGGTCTTGGAGATTGGGGCCCCCGGGGTGGGTGAGAGCTGGGGTGGGGGGCTGGAGCGGAGAGGAGGGGTCGTCCCCGATTCGGCCAGGATTCGGGTGTGGACATTGTTGACAGATGTTATTAAGCGCACAGAGAGGGAGCCTGGAGGAGGAGGAGGAGTGCGAGTGCGGCTCTGAACGTCGAGGAGCGTTGCAACAGGCGCACGAATCATAGACGATACCATGCGGAGAATGTCGACGATAATGCGGGTGCCAGGACCTCGGGGTGGGGTAGTCGGCTCCGAGAGGCACAGCAACAGGTGGGTGTGGTGGGTTGATGGGATGAGAGATGCTTATGAGAGAATGTAGGATGTGTTGGTGGATGGGGAATTAGGTATCCGGACCGAAAAGGCAGTCTGAGGATTCTCACCATGTTGTCTTGATACAGCAATGGTGGCATATGGACGCAGGGAGAACGCCAATGTAAGGTGTTGGTATCATGTGTCTGTCATCTGTAAGAGGCGGGAATGAGAGGGGCATTGGGACGTAACGGATTCCTATCTGGCGTGAGAATTGCTGTCTTTCTTCATCGCTGCAGAAAACCTTCATAAACTAAGGCACGAAGATGGAGACGCTTGCATTGCGACCAAATATTATTTGCTAAACTTGATCAGGCCAGAACCCGTTTCAGGCGCGTGTAGCAACTTGGCACAGTCAGACCGGCGCAAATGAAATCCAAAAGTGATTCCCAGGTTGAAGGATTATTGACACCCATGGAGAAGAACTTGCGAAGTTTGCTGACGACAAGGACCAGAGTCGGAAGCCAAATGAGGACAGCTGAAGTTGTCGATGAGGACCTGGACTTGGAGCTGCGAGGTCCCTGGTTCGTCCGGTTGCTGGCGGGCAGAAAAAGCACAAAAAGACCGGCGCGTCGCGGAAACGGTCGAGAGGGGACCGATGAAAAGAAGCGCGTGGGTGCTGGAGAAAGATTGGGCGAGGAACCTGGAGATGCGGGAGACGGCGGCGAGTCTCGCCAAGTCCCGAGAATGAAAGTGGATGAGGCCGGACCCATGCACCGGTTGTGGGGTCGGGACGGACCTCGGCAGCCGGTGATTGGCGCGCATACCGCTACGGCCAAAGCTTGATTCTCCTCCAATCTCATCCGAGTGACGACATTGGCTGTATTAAGCGGGTCTTTATGGGTCTTATGAGCACTTGTCCAATGATCTTGAATCTTGGAAGTACGTACCTTTACTTCAAAAAGTACGTACTCTTTCATAGAAAGTACGTACTCTTTCATAGAAAGTACGTACTCTTTCATAGAAAGTACGTACCTCCGACCTCCGGATCCAATATTCCACGGCGAGAGATCCTCATGAGGTTGGTTGCGATGGAAACCTAGCCGAGCAAGAAAAAGACACGGAAGAACTAATATCAGGAAGATAAATTCCGACAGAAGATGATGGCCGAGCATCTGTTATTATTCTGGTCATGGCGTGTCGTCTTTCGCAAAAGAGCCTATCTTGCGGGTTTCCTGTGGACACTACTCCGTATAATGGATCGTGATGTGAGGGTTCCCCCGCTTGGAAAATCCTCCCAGCCAACAGACTTTCATGAATCGCAAACTTCATGACGGTCTAGAGGCCTCACCGCACCCCAAAAGAGGATACGAAAACACTTTTTCATTTACCATGTGACTCGTCTGCCGCGTCTGGCCCATTCATCGACGTGTCGGATGGTCGAACCACATGCAGTTTGGCAACACATTGGGCGCTTGTTTTCAGTCCACAGTCGGCCTTGATGAACCGAACCACCATCCCACTCACACTCCACAGCCTCCATCCCGGCAGCTTTCCCCGCGTGCCCGCGTTTCCAAAAGTATGGAGATTGGAGAAAGCCCAGGTACCAACTTCGACGCCGCCCGCGCCTCTCCAACCCGAGTCGACTCTGGAAGTGGAAGAGTACAGAGTACCTGACACACGTCTGCCATCCCCAGATCAGACCGACGCGCGCCAGAACCAGCACCAGCGAACTGGCTCAACTCAAATCCCGGCACAACCTGGGGCATGGGGTACAGGGCCGGGGCAACCGTCCCCGATGGCGGCCTTCGAACGGGTTGGCAGCTCCCGGAAATGCGCTGCCAGGGGTCTTTCTCTCTCTCCACCTGCATCACTCCCACCCTGGCTGCCTTTGCTCGCACCAACCGAACGCACCACGCCAACATTACCTTGCCATTCGTTGCGCCAGGCAGCCTCTGCCATGAACCCATGTTCCCATGCCTTGGGACTCAAAAAGTGCCTGGCTTCGATGCTGCCAAACGGTACCACCCTCGGGACAAAGTGGATACGGGGAAGCATGGGGTCACCCGAACATTGACATTCTATAAAGACGCGACGATCCCTTCTGCTGCTGCAACGTGAGACGGTTCCATTGCAGCTCGACGAGTTGGTTCGGTCCTGGCCCTCGAAGACCCTCAAAAAGACGCTCGGAAATCTTGCGACTCGAGTTTCGCGACACACTGACAACCGACTGCGAGCCTCTCTTCTCCGCTCAAGCAGCACATCGCCCACCATGGCTCTTCCTCCCAAGTGGTACCAGTTCCTTGTGAGCGTCTTCGCTTCACTTGGTTCTCTCAACTACGGTTATGATTTGGGTGTCATTGCCTCCGCCATTGCTTCCCAGTCCTTCAAGACAAAGTTCGGCGAGGACCCCAAGGAGATGTATGTGGACCTCTGAGCTGTGTCTGACATGACAATTCAAACTAACTCTTTCCAAGCGGTGCAGTTGTATCATGCTTCACCGGTGGCGCCTTCATCGGTGCCGGTTGCGCCGGTCCCACTGGTGACAGACTTGGTCGTAAGATGACCATTCTCATCGGTGGTGTCATCTTCGTCCTCGGCGGTGCTTTCCAGGCCGCCGCTCAAAACCTTGGTTACCTCTATGCTGGTCGTGCCCTCGCTGGTGTCGGGTATGTGAAAACAACAGTCCGAATCCCATCAGAACATGTTCGCTGACTCTGTTGTCTACAGTATCGGTTTCTTAACTATGATCATCCCTCTGTACCAGGCCGAGCTTTGCCACCCCAGTATCCGTGGACGAGTCACTTCTCTGCAACAATTCATGCTGGGTGTTGGTGCTCTGGCTGCTGCATGGATCTCATACGGTACTTACATCGGCTTTGCTCCTACCGACAACAACCAATGGCGTGTCAGTCTGGGTATCCAGTGTATCCCTGGCGGTATTCTGGCTCTGCTCATTCTGTTCTTCCCCGAGTCTCCCCGTTGGCTTATTGACCACGGCCGTGTCGACGAGGGTCTCCAGACTCTGGCCAAGCTCCACGCTCACGGCGACGTCAACGACGCCTGGGTTCGCGCCGAGTTCGACCAGATTCAGGACTCCATTGCCACTGAGCACGAGGGATCCGCCAAGTCCTACAAGGAGCTCTTCACCGACAAGTCGTGCTTCCGCCGTCTCTTCCTTGCTTGCGCTCTTCAGGCCTCTATTCAGATGACCGGTGTCAGGTGAGTTTTCGTGGCGTGTTGTCAAGTATATCCGCAGTGAGACTAACTTTTCCCAGCGCCATCCAGTACTACTCCGTCGCGATTTACGAGAAGATCGGCATTGCCGGCGACGAGACCCTGCGTTACCAGGCCATCTCCTCCGTCATCGCTCTCGTCGCCCAGTTCCTCTGCATGATGTTCATCGACAAGACCGGTCGCCGCTGGCCCCTCATCTTCGGAAACCTTGGCAACTGCATCACCTTCATCATCGCGACCATCCTTCTTGCCAAGTTCCCTCCTGGTTCCGAGAACGCCAGCGGAAGCGCCGCTTGGGGATTCATCGCCATGACCTGGCTGTACAACTTCAGCTTCAGCGCTACCTGCGGTCCCCTCTCGTGGATTATTCCCGCCGAGATCTTTGACATGAAGACTCGCTCCAAGGGTGTTTCCATTGCCACCATGACCTCTTTTGCCTTCAACACTCTTATCGGCCAGACGACCTCTGTTGCCCTGGACGACAAGAGCGGTATCGGCTGGCGCTGGTACATCCTCTTCATCGTAAGTGCCCTTGCTACCACGCTCTCTATCTTACAATGCTAACATGTGTTCTCGCAGGTGTGCAACTTCACCAACGCTCTCTTCTTCTGGTGCTTCCTCCCCGAGACCGCCAAGCGTCCCCTGGAAGAGATGAAGTACCTCTTCACCGAGGCCCCTCTCTTCGTTCCTACCATGGACCGCAGCGCCGTCGATATCCACGATCTCGAGCGCAGAGTCGAGGCCGTCGAGCAGAAGCAGGCCCACGAGACGGAGCACATTTAAGCTGCTCTATACCTTACGAGTCACACACATTGCATAATACCCAAACAGATATAGTACTTAATGTAACATTAAGCGTTAAGTCTTTGTACAGATCCAACGCCTTCATAAAAGAAATCCTAGTTGCCTATTGGGGTATATTGATACAAGCTATTCCTCCATCCTGTTCCGTTGACACCCTCCCCTCCAGTCATTATGACCACCGCGATGCTTCGCTCCCGTTGTTGTTTTGATGTCGGTTAGCGGTAACCGTATGTCGGTTGCGGTTGTGCCACCCCGTGGTGTCCGTGATGGTGTCCGCCTCCGTATCCGGATTCCATCATCTGCGGGACCCCGTTGCGTCGTCTTCCGGGCATGAATCGGCCCAACATGCCGCCACCAGTAGCACCGCCCATAGGTTGTCTCTGCTGGCGCTTCTTTCTGAAGCAGCAGCAATAGCAACAGAGCACCCAGAAAGCAATGAAGATAAAGCCAGCGATGGCAATGCCAACGATTGCGCCCGTTGCGAGGCGTCTTCCTCGTCCGTAAGCCTAGTCGTCCAAGTTAGCAAATCGTTTTCAAGTCGTCGTTCGAATGATGACTGACCATTGGAGGGTGTATATGAAGTGTCTCAGTCGCTGAAATATGTTTCTTTGTTTAATTGGTTTTGACGAAGATTAAGTTGCACTTGTTTCGAACGTCTAGTGCAGGAGAACAGGTCGCTGTGGATGAAGAACTTCTTCACGCAGTCCACAGGAGCTGCTCGCAGGACCTTATACCACTCGCCGGGCCATGAATGTTTCCTCGGCACACGACACTATCCCGTGCTCCAAGGTGCTTCAAGCAGGCATATGCACGTCATGACTATGGCTGAGAGACGCTACGGCCCCGCGGCAGTCAAAACGCGTCAGCCGGGAGAAACGTATTGTGGCGCATTCAAGGCAGTTCCAGCCTGCAGATGCAAGGTTTGACCATCTTGATTGTCTTCAGCCCTAGCCAAACATCCAGGCCGGTTAGCACAAACGTAAACTGCGAACGGTTGTTGTGCCGGATGGCTCCACGGTGACTTCATCGTGGCACTTGGCCCAAGGATGACGCGTGGATGGTGTTTCGGTGGGGCCGGGCCCCGAACGGACACGACGCGGCGCCAAGGTGGGTCGGCTATCCGGCACCGATTTTTTATTTTTGGTTTCTCCGGCTCGGCTGTGCCGAAAGGGACCCTCGGCGGCGATTCCCTGGGCTCGTGATCCAGACTCCCGCTGTTTTCCCGAAGAAGGGTCACCTGATGTGCTCACATGATCGGGCCTTTCATCTGAGCGAGATGGAGAGTCTTTTTCTTTTCGGGCAAGTTCCGTTGGAGAAAATTGCTTCAATTTCGCAGCCCGCAGGGTCCGGGGCGTTTGCGGGGGACTCAATCATGTGGGACAGCAGCAGAACAGCCACAACCAACGTGCTGAGATTGAAATGAAGGCTGAGATCTAAGGTTTAGTAACTGAGCGCCGCAAGCCGCTTTTAAAGTGCGTTTGACAGGATGGTGCCCGGGATGCCCGGAGCGCTATGGACGGAGTGGAAAGTCACGTTTCGACGAGGGGGTTAGCTGCACACGTGCGTCACTGTCACTGGCAACAACATTATGCTTAACACTTGAACGTGCTATGAAGCCACATTCAAGCTACTCCAAGCGCTATGCTGGCAAACGTGGTGTTGGGGAAATCTGTGGCTCAACGGACAAGTTGGAACCAGCCGAATAACTGCTGAGTCCCTTCTGCTAAGCGAGCACATGCGCAATTTCCAGCCCGTTATTGGCCCGCTCGCTTTCATGGAAAAATCGGCCCCTCGAACCTTTCATATACCTATTTGTATGGTGCTGCCGTCCGGTGCGATAACATTCCGGGTTCTGGTCATTGACACCACGGTTGCAGTCGAGGAGTGGTCAAGCGCCATTGTCTGGGGTAATCCACGTCGCTAGCTGCCAGAGAAAAGGCTGTTTATAAGCTTATTATAACGCGTGTCGGGAACTTGTTCAGTCTTCCTCTTGCGCGCATAGTTGACAGCCTAGGTAATCGCCCTTACATCAGCCTCTATTGAGTCAAGTTTTCACAAGTTGCAAATAAGCGCGTTTGTCCATGGCTTTTGTAGCCATCAACTACTCTAGTTTTCTCGTGTCTCAACACGGCTAGAACACAATCAGACCGGTGGGTTTTTATCGCAATCGTCTCACTTCTTTTGTTGGACCCAAATAGGTAAAACCTCCTGCGCAATGGCGGCCGCCTTTAGGCCGATACCCGTTCCGGAGCACGCTTGGCCCATTGCAGGCAAGACTTCGTATTGCTGTTGGTGTAGTTGCTCCGCTTCCGTTCGGCTGGATCCGACAAAAGTTCTCATGAGAGCTCAAATGTCCAATAACGTGAGGTACGCCGCCCCTGGTTTTGTCTGAACCAACTCAGAGGTTCCAGAGGCACTTTAAGCACGGGAAAGTCGCCGTCTATTGTACCTGAAGCATCATCTACGCGAGGGCCTGGACCTGCGAGTCTTACTTCGCCAAGTCCTGCAGCCGTAGGCAGCGGTTGAAGCTCATAGGTAAATCATCAAATCCTTCTCCACAGCCGTTGCCCGACTACATAGGTACCCAGGGCCGTCTCCACACACACCCGAAGCCCAGAACATCAAGATAAGCTTAGGTTGGTTAAAGGGCTTGACAGATCCTACGCAAGGCAAGCCGAACGTTACATGTACGCTGAATTCCATGTGGTATTGAGGGAAGAAGGCTAAATTCCTCGCATTTTGGACGAAACAGACTTCATCCCATTCAAGTTGCAAACCGCTTGTTGAGACAAAGCATCGTAGCTTCAGCTGAAGCCTCATCAGCTTTCTCATTGTTCACCCCACTACCCCCACCGACAACCTCTTTGCCTCCGATCAAACATCCATTTCCAAAAAGACCCCTATGATCTATCGCTTCATGAGGCTACCGCAGGATTCGACCCGCCCGCTTCATCCCTGCCTCTCGGAAGTTGAAGCCGCAATGCGCACAAAGCTTTGCATTTACAGTTGAGTTTGACCGAGGACCAACATGAACACTATGCTTTCCCATGAATATCATGCGTCCCTCGTGTTAGTACGATGAAAACACCTCCCTCAGCCTTAATATGGGCCGTTTTCCCCCAATAAACCCCTTCGCATGGGTTTGTTCGTTCGCCTGGCCTACTACACTTAAACAATCCGGGCACTTGGCAACCGTTTCAAGACTAGCTGAGCTGCCACAATTCGACGATCTCCTATCACAGAGTCCGAGTCGTCGCCGCTATACCCATGCCCAGTCGCTTACGGTATTCTGGTCTTAATCTGACGAGCAGGCCAGCGTTCCTTGGCGGGTCAGCAGCCAGTCAGAAATGATTTGCGGATGACGGAGGTCCCTTAAACTGTTGCCTTCACCAGAAATGACCGTCTGGGGCAATCCGAAGTACCTTCCCCGCGAGAGGCTGGAATGGGTGGCACACGATGTCTCGGGCCTGTATCTTCGAGGCGGCTTCCCGATGATCTTGACTGGCCGAGGCGTTAGGGAAGCCTGTCTCACCCAATGATTCTCTCAGAATGGGTTGGACAAACTCCATCGTAGGCACTCACCCGCATTTGCTCTCTCCGAGCTGCGCCGCAAACCATTTCCATCCATTCCGCTTGACAAACGCACATCAGGCTGACCGACCCTGTGTGACCGACGACACCCACACCCCCAAAGCCTTTTTACCAAGCCATGCCCCCGTTCCTGAACCTTCTCGTGTGGCTCTTCATCTTTTGTCCCACGCTAGGCAGAAAAAAGTTTCACGTCTTCATAGCTTAAACGGCTTTGGCTCACGTTTTCAGCCTATTATCCATCTGAGAAGCTGACCGGCTATCTTTCTTATCTTACTTGAGTATCTACCTACCCGTTACTTCTGTCCCTGCTTCCTCTCCTTCTCCCCTTCTCTCATTCCTGCTTCCCGTCTGGCAGTCACGACTATCACGAGGCCCTAAAGAGGCCGCTCGTCCCGAACGAGGCAAGACAAGACAGAGTCGGAAGAGGAGGACGACAGCAAGGGCTGCCAGCTGTTTAGGATGCAATCAGACAGCAACTATTCTCCAACGAAGGAGTCGACAGAACTTCCCCGTTCGTCATCGACATCGCATTCATCGGTCAGGGCCATGTTCGATACCCAACGGCAATCATTCCTCGACCACAATGTCTTTAAGAATGTCCGACACCATATCCCGGCACGACTCTTCAGCAATCGCCGTCTGGTCTTGGCTCTCTGTGGGACAGTTTTCATCATCATTCTCATCGCCGCCGCCAGTACAGGCTCGCAACCGCCCGTCGTCCTTGCCGTCAGTGCCGCCGCCAATCGCACATTAGGTTTCGGTTCCATCGAGATGATCAACCTTCCCATACGTCAAGACAAGGCAGACGCAGCAACCGTGCAGGGATTCCTTACAGGTATCAACATCAACATCGTCGAAGGTGTTAACGGCACCAAGTTGGGTGAGGTCGGCCTGCCACCCAGCAGTATTCCCGACTCCGAGCCTGGTTTGTCTGGTGGAGAGAAGGGATGCTGGAGATCTCACGCAAATGTTGGTACTCCAAGTCATTAAAAACTCCATTAAACTTGCTGACCCCCAACTCTAGGTCTGGAGCTCCATGCTTCGTGCCAACGCAGAGACGGTGCTTGTGATGGAAGACGATGTCACATGGGATATGCATATCAAAGATGTCATGCGACTCGCCGCGTCTCACTTGCCAGGCCTACTCAACGGTACTGGCTTGCTCGGTCTCAACCCCACGCGAAGCTCCGAAGAACAAGCTCAAGTCGATCCATGGCACAGTAGGTCGTGGGATTTGATCACCTTCGGCCACTGCGGTGACGGCGATCAGTGGAAGTCCGAAAAGGTGAAGTATGATGACCCGTACACGAGCGGAGAGAAGAGCTCGTATTTCGGCATCAGCCTCAAAGAAGGTCGTCGTATGCTGCGGAGAGCTGGTGGAATGACTTGCACGGGAGCCTACGCCGTCAGCGCTCGAGGAGCCGCGAAGCTCCTGCTCCGAAGTGGTTTCGACTTGAACCTGCCCGTCGACGTCATCATGAACGACATGATCAGGAATGGTCAGCTCCGCGCTTACAGCATCTGGCCTCCTCCGGTTGTTCAGTGGCGCTACCGCGATAAGCTGGGCATGTGGGGGTCGATGGGTAGCGACATTCGGGTCGAACACAAGGATAACGACCGCAGTGGATGGGAAGAGGCACACAGGCAGCACGATGTCTGGTTGCTCAAGGGAGACACCAAGGGTCTCAAGGATCCTGCGATCAAGAGTGCGTGGGGTGAATTGATTGGTCATGAAGACGACTAGAGCGACGCGATTTCGACGGGCTATGTGATTACGGCTGTTGGGTCAGTTGAATGGCGTTTGGATATCCTCAAAACCACTGGAGCAATGCATTTTCTGGTAGGTTTATGTAACCTTTGTATAATAATTAGATGAATTCTAAAGGATTACCCTTCAAATACTTGCCGTCATTTTGAGTGGTTTTACTTGCATCTTGTAGAGTTTTCGGCCGTACCTAGTTACACCTGGTGGTAGATCCGTAGAATCTCCCTCTCGTGATTTCAACGTTATGTCCATGCAGCTGAGCTAATGCTGATTTCACAATCATGCGCCCGCACTTGAAGGCCATTTCAAGAATTCAAATCCCAAGTAGGGTACTGTATCCGGGTCTCGAACAGATTTCTGGGCTAAGATATCGTAGCTCTAATGTCTTTGACGCTGTTCTGTCTACTCGCGATGCTAGGCAAAGATGAAAGAAAACCCTCGAACTTGGCTTGATAACAAACTCCATTCCTTAGATTCACTTAGCATAAATCACCACCTGATTCTATGACCCTGCGGTAATTGAGACATCGGCGATATTGAACCTCATAAACTTGAGCTCTCAAATTAGAAATTGGCTTAGCTTTACCCCCCTAATATGCAACAATACTACCGACGGCCTTGTTTCTAAGACATGGTTCAACTTCAGGTTCATATTTCTAATCCCCTTAATCTTTGTAGACTCTTACCTTATAGCCATCTCTCCATTCATCCTCGATTATAACCAGTTGAGACTCCTGTACCTTTTTCAGGTACTTGTCTTCGGGCGTGTCCTTGTAATCATCCCTGTCGATATCCATGAAACCCTCCTTAGCGACTGAACGGGGTGTGATCATCAGAGACCGGCCTTTGACGAGTTAGCAACTCCAGATCAGATGAAGCAAAGCTCATTGGGCTACTTATACTGACCATTGATCGACTTATCGCAAGCGACTCGCATCATGCAGTTTGCAACATCCTCCTGCTCGCCAAATTCGACGCCGTGATCCACCAACCACTTCTCGTACTCAGCAGTACGGATGGCACTTCTGATCCAGCAAGGAGCAACATAGACGATTCTAATACCTTGCTCCCAGCTGGATCGTCTTGCTGTTCTCATAAAGCCGTGAAGTCCGTACTTCGTCGAGGTGTACTCCCAGTTTCCGGGTGAGTCGATCCAGCCAACCATGCTTCCGGTGATGATGAAGCATCTTTCTCGGTCCTCAGTAAGCGGTTGTTTTCTGAAATAGTGGACCGCGAGTTTCCACGTGTAAAGCGAACCGGTCAAGTTGACGTTAACGATATTGAGGTCTGGCTTTGTCGGCTCTCCGTTCGGATCATCTAGATTCCACAGACTGTCACCAGAGCTTCGACTGATGCCTGCGTTTGCGATGACTATGTCTACGCTCTTTTCGGGGCTTCGACTTTTTGCAGTTTCGAACATGGCCTTTTGCTGCTCCCAGTCTCTGATGTCACACTCAACAAATGCGCAATGATCGCCATCGCTGTTGAGCTCTTTCTCAATGTCTTTCCCTCTTGTGTTAACGTCACCGAACGTCACAAATGCGCCAGCTGCAACAAATGCTCGAACACAAGTTTCTCCCATGCCATTGGCGCCGCCGGTAATGATGACTGACTTCCCCTTGACTTTGCTGCGGTCAGGGATGATGGTATGGTCCGTAGGACCGGTGTAAGTGTACCGCGGGAGAGACATTGAAAAAGCGGAGATGCTAGTAGTGATGAAAATGTGAGGATGGCCAAGAGTTTACTATCGAGGGTAAATTTTCTATCTCGCCTGGAAACAGTCGAACTCTGACTCTACTTGATAGCTGTACATGTAGTTTGACACATCGCCATCGTTTCCTCATATCTCCGCTGCCGGCTGTGCATTCCCGAGGATGGGTGCTGAGGGGAAACGTGGGGTTGGTCCCGGATTTCCTCCGCATGACTTCGGCATTACGCTGGCATACCGCTTTGGGATAACCGACAAAGCGCCCTCGTTTTGGACCGAAGACCAGCGAAAGACGGCCGTGACAGGTTCAGTAAGTGATGACCGCGTCGGTAATCCAATAATGTCTAAACCAAATGAGCTGAACACGCAACGGCTTCGATCCTGGTCCTAGTCACGGGCCCGGGAGTTGACTGATGAGGCCATGCACCGGGTGCTGTCGCCATAGCGTATGCCGATTTCAAAGATTGACCATTGGATGAGTGGTATTCAACATCGAATATTGGTGGTTCGATTTCCACGACTCACTTCACTGCCTCCCTGACATAAAGACAGCCGCTTAAACTGTGAGTTCTTGACACCACCATACTTTGTATGATATCCCCGCAGCTTCAACGTCGACGCACTGCAAGTCCGACTGCCGCATTGTCAACAAACCATCTCATTCTGTTCTACTGTTTCACTCATAACAAGCGACGATGACCGTCTCTGTGGAGGCGCCGGCCGCCGCCTTGGTGAACCCCGGACCGGTCGCATCACCACACATCAACGGCAATGCTCCGCGAATGCCATCGGCGGAACTGCCTGAGATCTTCCAAGATGGCAGAGTATTTCCAATCGCCGCCGATGAAAAATCGAGCAGCGTCTCCGAGGACCCTTTCAAGCTCGATTCGAAGTTTGCCTACACTCCTCGAAGACTCAAGGTTTTCACCATTGGCGCTGGCTTCTCCGGCTTGCTCATGGCCCACAAGTTTCAACACAGATTTCCAGAAATGAGAGACATTGTCGATCATACCATTTTCGAGGCCCATTCAGATGTCGGAGGCACTTGGCTCATGAATAACTACCCCGGCGTGCAATGCGACGTGCCAGCCCATATCTATGTGAGACGCATACTGGAAGACGCAGCAAGACATCGAGCTGACCCAACTTTAGGCATTCCCTTTTGACCCCAACCCAAATTGGAGTCGATTTTATGCCAGTGGAGCTGAGATTTTAGAATACATCAAAAGCACTGTCAAGAAGTGGAATCTCGACCGTGACCTTCAGCTCAACACCAAAGTCGTCGGCGCCTACTGGCAGGAGGATCTGGGCCAGTGGAAAGTCACGGTAGAGCATCGAGGAAAACAGCGGGATGAGTTCTGCCACGTTCTTATCTCTGCCCAAGGCGTCTTGGTTCACGAATCTTGGCCCAGTATCCCCGGTCTCAAAGACTTCGAAGGCCACGTCACACATTCGGCCCGTTGGGATCACAACTTCGACTACTCCGGCAAGAGGATCGCGGTTATTGGAAACGGATCTTCAGGCATCCAGATTGTTCCGCAGATGCAAAAGCTGCCCGGCACAGACGTGATGAACTTCATCCGTGGTCCATCTTGGGTCTACTATCGCGCACCACCGTCCAAACATCTTGGCAGAGATGATCCAGACCCCAACCCGCGCTACACAGATTCAGAGAGAGAACAGTTTCAGGACCCTCAACTCCATCTTGAACACAGGAAAGGAATCATCTCACGAACCAATAAGTCTTTCTACATCTTCATGAAGGGCGCAAACAACCAGGAAGGCATGAAGCTGGCATCTGCACAGATGGCCGAAAAGCTGGGAAACGACCCTAGGTTATGTGAGATGCTGATTCCTAAATGGGAGTTGGGTTGCCGCAGGATTACCCCGGGGCCTGGGTACCTCGAATCTTTCCTGCAGCCAAACTGCAACGTCACCAACAGCCCCATCACCAGCGTTTCCAAGAAGGGCGTCCACACGGCCGATGGCAACTTCTACGAATGTGACGTCGGTCAGTAATGTCTATTCCAGAAGTTCTCTTTACACTGCTAATGAATTCTAGTCGTTTGTGCCACCGGATTTGATGTGTCTCATCGTCCAAGGTACCCGATTGTTGGAAAAGATGGGATTGATCTAGCCACCCGCTGGGCCGAGGATCCCGACTCCTATGTCTCGGTTGCTGTGCCTTCATATCCTTCGCTATTCTACATGATGGGTCCGAATTGCCTGGGTGGGCATGGCTCTTTGGTCGAGTCCCTGAACTGGACTGGCGACTACTTTGTCAAGTGGATCAAGAAAATGTCCACGGAAGACATCAAGTATGTTGAGCCCAAACAAGAAGTTGTCGATGCCTTCATCAAGTATAGCGACCAGGTCCACAAAACCCTCGTCTGGAGTGGTGGGTGCAAGAGCTGGTACAAGAGGAACCGCGTTGACGGTAGAGTTACGGCTTTGTTTGGGGGCAGCGCTCATCTCTTCAACCGAATGTTGAGCGAGATCAGAGCGGAAGACTTTAACATTTGTTACCGTACTTCAAACCCTTTTAGGTTCATGGGGAATGGCTTTACTGAGTGGGAGATGGATCCCAAGAGCGATCTGTCTTGGTACGTGGAGAAGGCGGAAGTGCTTGGTGATGAAGTTGCGTGAGTACTGGAGACTACGTAGACGCTTGCCTTCTTATGTTCATTACAATGTCAGATAGAAAAGACATCAATAATTGAATTTGGCTTCCTGGCAGTGATGGACCGTCCATACACAGGCAAATCCGCCGCACGTACAACAAAGGACCCAAAATTTTAACAACTTCGGAATGCTTCTTACTGCGATGATCTGCTAATGTGATATGGCCTTGTTCTAGTAGAGCTCAAGTCTTCTTCCATGTTGCATTCTCATCAGTGATTTAAGATCTATTTTGGTCGTCCCAGCTCCAATTGTGCGTAGTGATCATTCTCTTCGACGTCCTCGTCGTCATCATCATCCCGGAACCATGAAGTCCAAGCGATAATCGATGAACGGCTCAAAGAGGTCCTCAAACTGATTTACCAGAGTCTCATGGAACAAGGCATTGTCAGGAGATGGGAAGCCTCTTGTTGCAGTTCCTTGTTCTTTCCCTGTGAGGAGGCTATCGGCGATGCCGCCCGTGTTTTGCGTAGCAAAGGGAAACAAAGCCGTCCAGTCGAAGTCTTCCGCGCTTCTTTTAGACAAAGATGGCGCATCAGTTGCAAGACTGTGTGTCATGGAAATATGTTCAGTGCCGTCAAAGACTGCCCCCGAGGGTTGAGTAGGCCCTGAAGTTTCGTTCGAGGTAGTCCTCAACCTCTCAAACCCTTGTCTGATAACGTTCGCAGAACCCCACATGATTTGAAGCTGATCTACCGCCCGCGAAAGGATGTCAAGACAGCTATTTGCATCTTTTGCTAAATGCGGAACACGAGAAGCCTGAAGTAGAGGTATGAAGGCTGTACCGCAATACCAACAGGTAATAGCCATTAAAAAACGGGTGTTGCCTCGAGAAAGAATGTCCCGGAGAATCCTAGCAATGCAGGAAGCAGCCAAGATCGCCGGTGGAAGTGCTTCGGGCAGGGTGTTGGCAGATCGTTTGAGGTGTAAGATAATTATTGTCGTAAGATACGGTAGGTGAAGTTGATGTACGTCTCGGTCAAAGTTCTGAGTGCGTGATGAGCCGATGGGAAGTTGCAAATGTGGTGGAAGGGAGTTGACCCAATCGACTAGCTCTTGTCGATGTTGATCGGGCGCTGAGATGGTAGCAGTTGTGATGGTCGAACGAGACAAGGTCTTGGCGATTTTGCCAATGATGGCACATAAACGGACCCAGTATATGAAGATTTCTCCTTTACGTTGGGAGCGTGGATCGCTTGGAAAGTCGGCGAGTGAAAGTTCTTGAATATTGCAGTCGTCTGGATCTATTATCACCGGCTTGCTCTGACACAAGGCAGTCAATCGTTCCCTCGCCTACAAACACCAGTCAGAAGATTTAAGTCAGTGGACTCTAGGCTCTTACAAACGCTGTCCACCATATTCTACGCCGAAGGCTCATGTTCATACTCCCGTGTATCAGACGGCTCGAAATCGGTTCACGATGAAGATTCATCTGTTGAGCATGGCGGATGAGGACTGATGTCCACCACCATGATGAATGCCGATGGACAGTGCTCGGAGGCCGTGGCGCCCACCAGTAAAATAGTGACATAGCCATCAATGTGGTCAGGCCATCGGATTCTTCGTCTTCATAGAAAATGGTGCGCGCCTTTTTGTAGTATTCAGCTGGCCCTTCATGAGGAATAAGCGGAGGCTGAATATGGCTCGCGGCGGTGGCGAGCGCGTTTGCTAGAAGTGGAGATCGAGCAATGTCGGTAGCAAGAGTATCAGGGTCAAGGACAGGACACCAAGCGTAGCAGTAGTCCCAGTAAGTTTCTGCAAAGCTCTCTTGCAGATCTTGTTCGTGGGGGTCAGAGAAATTGTATTTGTGCTCCAGACATGCTTCCAGGGCTTGCTTCTCAGCATCGGATTGATTCTCTGGAGCATAAACCTGAAGGAATCCAGTATCGATGTCCCCGGTATGACTTTCTGCCACCCCTTCGGTGCGAGCATCACTGCTCTGCGATCGCTGCGATGGTGATGGTGCGGGTTGGCCGTCCTGGGATCTCACAGCACTAGTCGAGGCGTGAGCACGCGGGGATGGCATGGCTTGATGATGTGCCGCGTTGCTGAGTCTAGCTCGCGGAGGCGGCGGTGCGACAAACTCATCGAAATCGGCCGACATGACTTGGATGCTGTCTATGATCTCTTCTGTGTGAGAGTTGGAGGCCTCATCGCCGGACGCTGATGTTGTAGGAGGTGTGAGAACTCGCCCTCCCTGCTCAGTTGTGGCGAAACGTCGGCGTTTGGTACGCTTCGATGGGCGCAGATGGCAGTCCTTCTCCGAGGCATCACAATTCGTACAGCTTTGATGACCTTCCGACGTCCTAGCCTGTGTGCTCAAGTCAGACATTTGCTCTTGGATTCCTTGCGTTACTGATGCTGACCTGAAGATCACATTTCACCTTCTTTCCGTGACAGGTGACGCATACAAGTTCTGCACGTCGTCGCTTGGGTTGTGTGGCATCAAAAGGGAGCCACTCGCTGATGGTATCTGGCATTATTGGGCAAGTCGCGTCCGAGACATCGGGCGAAACACCAGATGTAGTAGAGCCGAGACAGACAAATTGTGTGAATAGTAGCAGAACCAAGGTCAAGAATCCAGGAGTCGAGGTTCTTGCATTCGGATTTGAGAGCTGCTAGATGATGGCTGGAGGCCCTGAAGGCGGAACGACGTTGCAGCGCAATGGGAGAAGGGAGAGAGTCTGGATGGGGGCCGGGGACCGGGGCATGGAGAAATGCGGGGTAGATTGGGGCTGGGGATGTGGGGGGTATCCCGGCTGTCCGGGAATTCGAGGATCCTGCGTTATTAGGAATGGGTAATAGAGGTATTCTAATAAGTGGAATCTGGATAAACTTGATTAGAGCTGAGAAAATAAGAGCCTGACAACATCAGTCGGAATGACACGCTGGTATTGGCTTTACAAACGTAGGTGATGTGACCCCATCGATTGTTGCAAGAGTGCACATGGTGTTATTTGTTCTCGGTAATTAACAGTAAACTCATCCCGATTATTACAGTGGCAATGAGGATTTCAACACGGACTTGGAAGATTGCGAATTGGCTGTTAAAGTGTCATGTCATAAGGAAGTGAGGGCTACCAGTACGCCTGATTACCACTGGATCACTTGACGCCAGAGCCAGAGTTTGAGCTTCTCTTTCTGTCCGCCTCCACTTAGAATGCTGCGTCTATCATGACTGCCATTGCTGCAGTCATAGACATCAACCATCCTTACAACAAGACTCAGAGTTGCAAGTGATTTCCAGGTTACATGATATTACTATCATACTTGAGTGATAACTACCAAACACAATCTCAACCGTAATCCCTTCACTTTCCACATGTCAGAGAATGTACCGGAACTGTGGGTTCTGCAGAATAGTTAGCCAAACGTGAACATCATGATGACTACAAGAAGCTGATTGGACTGACCTTCATATCCGTCAGGTCATCTTCGTATGCGTGATCGAAGCCCTCCATGATCCCCGCATTGTCTCGTTTCTTGTTGTGCCAGACACAGACGAACCGATATGCCAGGCCAAGAACGCCAGCTGCGAGGGAGGTAATCACGACAATAATGAAACCGAAAGCGTAGTCCGGTGCATCTTGTTTTCGAAAAACAAGGGGACCAACGAAGTTTCCTAGGGAATATCGTAAGCCAAATATTCTTCAAGAATGAAAAAGGAATATTTACCAAGACAATAACCAATGTAAAGACCAGATGAGGCAATAGAACGCTTGGTGTAGCCGGCCGTATTGGCAATTTGAAGACCCATCAAGACGGCATACCCGCCACCGACAGATGGGAGAATGTATGCAGCGAATAGGAGACCTCCTTTGGCGGATCTAGGAAGAAGCCAAAGTAGTAGTGCGGCCAATGTAGTTCCCAGCTGCGCCCCAAAGACAATCCAAGTTCGACAGTTTTTGAATTTGTATGCAAGGTATGGCATGATCAGCTGCACTGTTCCCCCGTAGGCTCCGGCAGGCATTGTGAGGAGAAGCGAGTTCAGAGTGCTGAATCCAAAACCGTTGATAATGATCGGGACGAAGGTTGAAATTGGCCCGTTGGCAATCATGCAAAGGAAAGCGATGGCAAAAACAAGCCAGAATTTGATATCCAAAGCAAGCTCGCCGACTTGCTCCATCTTGTAGTGGGTGTTGCGGACGCCGGAATTGTTGCTCCTCAGACGAGCTACCAGAATATATCGCTCTCTCTCGTTGAACCCTTTAGCTCTGATGGGGTCAGGAGGAAGAACGAAGTAAAGAAGAATGCCCCAAGCGATGGTCAAGGACCCGGCAAAATAGAACATGTACCTCCACGACGAGATACCACCGTTGAGCTTGCCGAAGCCGTAGTTGATAAGCGGAGAGAAGATAGATACGTAGCCAGTACAGCTATACCAGATGCTATTGCTAGTGTGAGCACGGTTGAACCAACGTCAACTAAACCTCAAGAATCAACTCACCCCATACGCATGGCCTGCTCGTTCTTCCTGTACCAGCTTCCAACGATCAACATGAACATGGGACTGATGCCACTTTCCAGAAGTCCAAGACAAAACCTCTGAGCATAGAGTCCGCGATAATCTGAACAGACTGTAGTAAGGATGAGGCAAAGGCCCCAGAGGGTAACAATGACTGAAGCAACCTTCTCGACCGGGAACTTTTGAGCAAGAATCATGGCCGGGTAGGCACCGACAATGAAACCAAGATAGAATATAGAGGCCGACCAGGAGTATCGATCGCCGACGGTAAGCCCCAAGTCGGTTCGGAGCCCGAACAGAGCCTACACCAGTATGCATTAGCACAGACAACGTCAAATCGGGGCACGAAACAACATACAGCTTGGGAAAGCATAGCCTTATCGTAATACTGCAATCCATAGGTCATGCAGAGGACCGGCATCAGCTTCCAGTCGATGGATCGTCGAACCTTGGCTTCTTCTTGATCTGTCCATGTGCTGTCTCCTGTGTAACCTTCGAGAACTTTGAGTGCTTCATCTTGGTGGGTAGTGTCGACAGCAGGAGTGGACTTGATCTCGGGGGCTTCCTCTGGTCGTTCCACTTGCTGAACGCTCTCGGCGGATTTCGCGGCGTCGGACATGATCGATAACTTTTGAGATTTGGATCGAGAAATCCAAAGTCCCCGTCAATACTTGGTTGGGGATTCCAGGCCATGGTTATAAAAGCAGCCACACCCCTTTAGTGTGCTAGATTTCCTGGGGAAACCGGGCTGCCAACATTTCCCCATGGGCAGAGAACACCGGGAGATTGGACTGGTCAATCGGGAGCAAGGGAACACGTCCACGCGTGGGGAATCAGTTCCAGGGTTCTGGGACTGGGGCTTCTTAGCGTCAAAGATGACTGCCGTTTAACCCGCATTGGGATAACCGACTTGCCGGTATCATGCCTGACCCCGCAACAAGAAAGGTCCGCTGGCGTTGACAACCACATCATTCGATAGGTTGCCCTTAAGCTCACACGCAGCATCTTCTGAACGCACTGACTTCTGAGTGGTTTGCGAATAATACTCCGTTTCAAAGCAAGCAAGTCTTACACGAAGTCCATACGTCCAAGAATATTGGCGATATCCTGATTTCCACGCTTCTCCCTCCCTAAACCAAAGCAACGATGGCAGACCAATCTCCCCTCGTCCAATTGCCTGGAGGGTTAGAGACAGTGAAGGTGAAGATGATTAATCCGGTCAACTTTGGGCCAGCGATACTCAAGCGATTTATGGCACCTGATGTCCCTGGTCTCGAAACTTTCAAAACATCTCCGTCGTTATGCTTCCTTCTGGAACACCCTTCAGGCCGGAAGCTGGTGTGGGATCTTGGTATCAGAAAAGACTACACAAATTACGCACCGTCAATCGCCAGTTATTTGCCAACAACCAACTACAAAATCGATGTAAATCAAAATGTTGCAGATATCTTGCAGGAAAATGGGGTCTCCCTGCAACATATCGAAGCGGTTATTTGGAGGTTTGTTCCAACCAATGCCCATAATAGTTATGACAACTCATTTAACATTTATTACTTTGACTCAGTCACTGGCATTGGGATCACATCGGGGATCCATCAACCTTTCCAACTTCGACGGACTTGATTGTCGGCCCGGGATTCAAAGCTGCTATGCTTCCTGGGGCCCCCAAAAACCCCGATTCTCCTATCCTCGAGAAAGACTACGCGTTAGTTTTGCCTCTTCCACGACACGTGGTGAAGTCTGTCTATGATGAAACTGATTCACAGCAGAAACCGAAACTTGAGAGAGATCTCTTTTGAAGGCCCCCAGGCTCTCCGCATAGGAAAGTTTTCAGCGTTCGACTACTTTGGAGATGGATCATTTTATCTTCTGGACAGTCCCGGCCATGCAGTCGGTCACCTATGCGGCCTTGCCAGAACGAGCAAAAGCCCAGATACCTTCATTCTTCTTGGTGGCGATGTGTGCCACTATGCCGGAATCTTCAGGCCATCTACGTATCTTCCCGTCCCGGACTCAATCTCACCTCACCCTTGCAGACCTCACGGTAAGACCTCCTTATGCCCTGGGAGTGCTTGGGAGGAGCTGCAGGCTTCAAGGGGAAGGTCTTCCACCGATACTCTGTTTGACGCCACATTCGGGCTGGACCTCCCAGTTGTCAAAAAAACTATCGGATCTCTTCAAGAGCTAGACTGCGATGACAATGTGTTTGTAATCATTGCCCATGACTCAACCGTTAGGGATGCAGTACCTCAATTTCCCGAGAGCCTTAACGGATGGAAAGCTGAGGGTTGGGGGAAAGCTGTGAGGTGGGCATTCTTCAGGGACCTCGAAGCATATTGGGAGTCCAAGGGGCTGTAGTCAATTGAGTGGATGAAACTTTCACACAATGTGGACACGGAGTTGAGTGTCCCGGACTGTTGCGGAAGTTTGTTCTCGTGACTGGCAACGGACCGACTGGCTTACTTCCTTGATGACCGAACAATTCAGGAGAAGGGGCTAGATTTAATAATAGCTTATTTGTTTCGAAAAGACTGTTGATATTCAAATCATCAGGTGTTACGCATATGTTCTGCAGCTTTTGATCATGAGCCATAATTCAGGGAGAAAGTACGACTAGTACATGTATCATCCCCTCTACTCAGCAGAGAGTCATTAGTGAGTAATCATTAATTGGAGAGAACGAAGCCTTCTGAGCCTCATACTTTTGTTCTCTCTCGACGAGAATACCCAAGTTCATCTGTTGCTGGACGATTCAAGGCAGTAAATCTGCTATGAAAGGATTTGCCAAGTCAAATAGTCGACAATAATTACCGACCTCCCTAGTCTGTTACTGTCAGTCGCTCCAGCCGGGTAATTGCGACTTTGCGGCAAACACTGTTTTGGGGTAGCCGAAGCCGAAACGGTTTACCGGTGTTTCGTATTTCCCGGCCAGTGGAAGAATCGGCAACCAACCGACAGCACCCCATGAATCCCCTCACTTTTCCCCCGCGATATGGAATGCCCCGCAGCCCAGAGATATCGGCAATTTCGGCGACCAAATCGAATGCACGAGACCCAGTCCGCTAGCCTTTCTGTTGCCAATATTCTGCAACTATAATCTCCAAGGGTCCTGCTCCAAATCAGCCTCAGACCCTCATGATACTACCTTGATTCATACATCTGTGATCGTCAATCAGTTCTCCACTTCAACTTGCAACGTCACTGAAATGGCCAATGTTCATGATGTTCAAGTCAATGGCTCTGGGCCGTCAGACTTTAAGGCGGCTAACGAGGGTCTCGACTACGACGTTTTGATTGTTGGCGGCGGTCTCAGCGGCATCTTTTCTTTGCATCGAATACGGGAACTTGGCCTCAGGACAAGGGTTTTGGAGGCTGGATCAGCGGAGGGCGGCACATGGTTCTGGTAATTACTTATTTTCAAAACATAGAGAGAATCAAAACACTAACCTATCACAAGGAATCGCTATCCCGGCGCTCGATTTGACTCTGAGAGCTACTCTTACATCTTCTCGTTTTCCCAAGAAGTCCTTGACGAATGGGACTGGACCGAGCACTTCTCTCCCCAGACGGAAACGCTGCGGTACATCCAGTATCTGACAAAGAAATTCGATCTTAAGAAGGACATGCAATTCAACACTCGTATCAAATCCGCACACTTCCAGGAAGACTCCAAATCATGGCTCTTGACGGATACGAATGGCCGTACTTACAGCTGTCGTTACCTCGTCACTGCGATGGGTATTCTAAACGAGCCAACTTTGCCCGACATCCCCGGGGTCAACGATTACAAGGGGGAAGCATGGCACACTGCTCGATGGCCTGGAGAGGGTTCTACTCTTGAGGGCAAGCGGGTGGCTATCATCGGCACCGGTGCGACCGCCATTCAGACAATCCAGGAAATCGTTAAGACAGTGGGTTCGCTCACGGTATTCCAACGTACACCAAACTGGACTGCTCCCCTGAGAAATACGAAAATCAGCCCGGATGAGATGAAAGATATCCGACGCCGATACCCCGAGATCTTTCGTCAATGTCTCGACTCCTACTCTTGCTTCATTCATGTAGGAGACACGAAAAGTGTTTTTGACATGACTGAAGAGGAGAGAATGAAGCATTGGGAAGAGTTGTATGCTCTTCCAGGCTTCGCCAAAGTCCTGGGAGTGTCCGGGGACATTTACACCGACCGAGAAGCCAACAAACTTTACAGCGATTTCATGGCCAACAAAATTCGTCAGCGCATTAATGACCCGAAAGTTGCCGAGAAGCTGATTCCCAAAAATCATGGGTTTGGTACTCGCAGGGTGCCCTTAGAGAGCGGTTACTATGAGGCTTTCAACCAACCAAACGTTCGTCTCGTGGACCTGACCGAAGACCCAATCGAGAGAATTACGGAGAAGGGAATCAAAACACGCGAGGAGGACTTCGAGTTCGATGTCATCATTTACGCTACCGGATTCGATGCCGTCACGGGCTCTTTCAGAGCAGTCGATTTCCAGGGTATTGGTGGCACTCAACTTCATGATGTTTGGAGCGAGGGGATTCAAACCTTTCTGGGTCTGACAGTCAAAGACTTCCCGTCATTATTCATGATTATGGGTCCACATCAGATGTTTGGAAACATTCCACGAAGTATCGAGTATGCTGTGGAGTGGGTTGCGGACTTTATCAAATATGCTCGCGACCACAATATCACTTATGTGGAAGCTACGGACGACAGCATGCGAATGTGGACCGAGCATGTCTGGAAATGCGGCCAGGGCTTGCTAGCGAATGAGGTGGATTCATGGATGACGGGAGTAAACAAGAATCTCAAGCACAAACAGAAGAGGTCTATGACTCGGTACAACGGGCCAGCTCCGGGGTACAGGAGGAGATGCGATGAAGTCAAGGCAAGACAGTATTCCGATTTTGTACTGGGGTAGTAGAATGGAGGCATCTGTCAGATGGAATTTCGATGTATAAACAGAGGGGAGACTTATCATAGCTTGTTGGCAGTTCGAAATGATTCTGTTCGTGTCGTATCACCTTCTAATACGCATCTGTCGTAGCATTGGTCCCGTACGGCCCCATACGGCCGAGTGCCGCTCTGATGACCCATTATTTCAGCGGCCGTTGCTCCGTAGATTCGCAATTACAACCGACACGCTCAAAACTTTCAAGATCTTCGAGAGAAGTAATAATAGTTTCAAGTAGAATTCAGGCAACTTGTTGGCCCATCGGCCATGCTGAAGTTCCTGTTAATTCGCGTACTTTTTCGCAGATGTCTTGGCCTCAACTGGGTCCGCTGTGATAGATCTTTCGGCAACAGACAGCCATGTCCACCTGTCATTGAAGATCCGTACAAAAACGCACCGATATCATATTTCATTCGAGACAAACAACCTGGTTTTTGGTGAATGGACATTTGTTGTTTTCTCATCTATGGGAAACCGTCGGGGAGAGCATAAGTACTCAAGCAGCTTCCCGGATGACGAACTCCCCTGTCGCGGCCGGCTTTGTCAACGCCCACTTGATCCCGTTATCTACAACGTCGTCCCAGTGCTTCGACTCTGATAATTTATCCCCAAACCGCCGAAAACCATGAGGTACACCCTTGAAGATGTGTACGTCGGTGGGGACCCTGCGCAAGTTTATCAGTAGCTGATCTTTCGGCTGCACAAAAAACATAACTCACCCAGCCTCAGTGAGATGCTTCGCATACAGCAAGCCCTCGTCTCGCAAGGGGTCCAGACCAGCAATACCAAGCGCTGTGGGAGGAAGGCCCTTGACTTGGTCCGAGGTGGCATTGCCAGGGTTGAGTCTGAGATCGTTGGAGTCCGGTTTCTCGATCTTGAGTAAGCCAATGAACAGGTCTATCATGCTTCTTGGCAGAATCGGGGCGTTTTCGTTCTCTTTGTAGGATGATACAGACGGGTCTTTGAGCCTTTTCAAGTGGCCGTCCCAACAGTCTGGATGAGCCAAGCAGGGTATGATCAAGACCTGGCCAGCAATTGGCGGTAAGCCTTGACCAGTTTTGCCCAAATGCTGCGCGAGCACTAAAGATGCCGTCAGTTGCCCGCCAGCGGAGATACCTCCGACGACGACCTTGTTCGGGTCGCCGCCGATCTCCTTGATGTTCGCATGGAGCCAAACAAATCCATCCTCTACATCATCCCATGCTGTGGGATAAGTGAACTCAGGCGTGTGTCGGTAGTTGACGTTCACAACGAGGACATTGGTGCTGATGGCGATGCGGGCGCAAGCGGCATCTTCGGAGTTAACGGTACCAAAGAGAAATCCCCCGCCGTGAAGGTACAGATAAACAGGCAACGCTCCATCCCCTGCGGCCTTGGACCGGTAGCTTCGACCTTCGATGGTCGAACCGTCACGTGTTGGAATGGTCCAGTCGCGCACTTTGACTTTGTCTGCCATCAATTTCATGGCCTCAACAGACTGCTCCTCGCGCACATTGTTCGTCGTCTTCTGGCGGTCCAGCACCGGTAAGTCAGTTGGCGCCGGGGGCAGGCCCGCCTCTACTGCCAACCATTCATCGCTTGGGCCGCCGTACTTAGAGAAGTCGGCCATTGTAACGTGTGCGGCAATGAGTTTGGGATTCGAATTGAAGTTTTTGTTTCAATTGAGGATCAAGGGTACGGTCTTGGAGGAAAGATGACGCTGATGCTAAGCTTAGGAGGGGTAGAAGCACGTCAGGAGTGATCCAGAATGGGTGCTCGAGTTGCAGCGGGGAAAGCCCAACATCAACAATGCTGATGTAAGATGCCAGACAACCTATGGAAGAGCGCTGGTCAATGATAGGATTTCAAGATGGCTGCGATCAAGTCACCGAATCCTCTGCCAACAATAAGATCAGAGAGATCCATCCATCGCTGCCACCTTAGCCTCCAATTACTAACGGAGAGGGGTAAGTTGCTCGGAGTCGGTGCGCTGTACCTGCGGGCTTAGTGAGCTCCGCGCCAGTAAACCTCGGCTCAGGGGGGCCATAGCCGGGCTTGTCACAGGCCAGTGGCTGCCCCAAAATGGTAAACCGCACTGCCGATTGAATCATCGACCAAAGCCACAAGCTGGAGTTGCGCAGAGCACCGTTGGGATGAAGAACGTTATTGAAAAAGAGTGTCTTATCTTACGTTCCAGTTCCAGAAGATGTCCAATAATGTAAATTACACAAATACTCTATTCTTACCTCGTTGTGAACATCACGAACTATGTCAGAGATTCCCGTCGACCCTCCTTCCAGGTCTCTCAGAGGCAAAGTTGCAATCGTAACAGGTGCAGGCTGTGCCGGAGATGGCATTGGAAATGGACGCGCAATCTCCATATTGCTAGCCGATGACGGCTGCGATGTGGTTTGTATCGATCGAGATCTCTCTTGGGCGACCAAAACATGCGAAATGGCGAATTCTAAGTCCGGCCGTGGCAAGGCAGTACCTGTTCAAGGAGACGTCACATCTGCCAAAGATTGCGAGAATGCCGTTCAACTGGCGCTTACAAAGTTTGACCGGCTTGATATTCTCGTCAACAATGTGGGAGTTGCAGGTGCCCCCGGGACCGCCGTCGATGTGGACATGGAGCAATGGGCTAAGAGCCTCGAGGTGAATGTCTCCAGCATGGTTTTGATGGCCAAATATGCAATTCCTGCCATGCAGAAGAACGAAGGCGAGACAAAAGGCTCGATTGTCAACATGGGCAGTGTTGCAGGACTGAAAGGAGGGACGCCTCATCTGCTGTATCCAACAAGCAAGGGAGCAATTGTCAACATGACGCGCGCGATGGCTGCGCACCATGCAGCAGACGGCATCCGTGTCAACTGTGTCTGCCCTGGAGTAAGTTACCCTTTAGAAGCTTATTGCGGCTTGCTAATCGTCTCTAGATGTTGTACACACCTATGATGTACGCCGGAGGTATGAGCGAAGAGGCGCGGGCTGCAAGGAAATCGAGAAGTCTTTTGGGAACGGAGGGCAACGGCTGGGATGCTGCTTGTGCTGTTGTGTTTCTTGCTGGAAATCATGCTAGATGGATGACCGGCGTGATTTTACCGGTTGATGCTGGAACCACGGCGGCTGTTGGAATCGGCATGACCAAAGCCGCTAGTGTAAACGCTTGATGAATTATATGATCAAGTTCTGATACCAAGTACAGTCTTGGGAAGCCTCAAATCACTTCAGAAAACCCACACTGATACATGTATAACTACTGTAAAGGAATGTAGCTGTTGAGACTGCACCTTTACGGTCTTCAGTCGTGGAGCAAGGCAACACGCGACTTGATTTCCCCCCTTTCTAGCCGACTGAGAACATCTGGAAAATCCTCCAGTCTTGCCTCCTCAACGCGAGGCTTGATCTTGTTGTCAGCGATCAGTTGCAGAACCGCCTCTAAGTCTTTGACTTGTCCTCCATATGAGAAGATGTAGCTCAGGCGCTTTCTTGTCCCAATTTTCATGTGAATGGTGTTCTCAGTATCAAGACTGCCCACACATAATAGCTTACCCCCTCGTCGAACTAAGTCAATTGATCAGCATGTCTCTCTAGCTCAGAAAGCTTCATGAGTGTAAGTATCTACTCACCAATCTGCTGAGCATCCTCGAATGTTTGATGTGTTCCGACAAAGTCCAATACTGTGTCGATTTTGCCAGCCAATCCACGTTCAATGACGAATTCTTGAACAGACTTGCCCACGGGGACCAAGTCTACTTGGGGTACCCCGATAGCAGCAGCTTCTGGATGAAGCTGCTGTCTGATGTCCGACACAACGACTCTCGCTCCAATATTGAGCACAATCTGCAGGGCGTTGAAGCCCAGTCCACCAAGTCCGAAAAGAAAGACTGTTTCTTTCCGTGTTACCTCTGCTCGGCGGTGAACAGCATGATAAGCTGTTGTTACAGCATCGGTAGCCACTGCGGCCTCGGCTGGGGTAACACCATTTGGTACATGGGCCAGACCACGAACATCAATAGCAGCGTAAGGCGCATAGAAGCCATCTTGTCCGATGCCGGAATGATGCCCAACTTCGCAAAGCTGTTGCAAGTCTCGGGAGCATTCTGCACATTCAGTTGAGCCACAACCAGGAACAGCATTCAGCGCAACAATGTCTCCCTGTGTGGAAGCCTCATTAGTGATAGTGACAAGACTTTGAGCTAGAAAACAACACTCACGATCTTGAACATCGAGTCAGTAACATGGTCGCCTACTCGTACGATCTGTCCACAACCTTCGTGACCCTGTTCTCAGGTAAGACGACTTGGCTTCGCGTAGCTTTGCGAAAATTTGCTTTTATTTACCAGAACAAACTTGTCTTGGAACCACTGGGGCTGCTTCTCAATGGTGAGGAGAGAGTGATCGCTGCGACAAACTAAGAATGATTGTTATGTGTAAGCAGCGGTTAATAAGCACACATCTGAAAACGAAAGACTCACCACCTGAAGCAAGCATCTTGCACAGAACCCCGGTTGGAGGCGTCTTCGGGACTGGGATCTCTTCCCAAACCTATTCGTACCCTCAGCTTAGTTCTAATTCGCCCGTGAAACGGTAAATGTTACTGGTATTGGGTTGCCTCTGTGCTTTCTCCAAGCAAACATCGTCTCTGGAATCTGAAAAGACATGTTGATATGAAATGACGGCTTCAATTGCTTCTTTAGTTAGATTGTGGCCAAGCCCTTCTTGTTGGTTATGTTGTCTTTATGTTATCATCTTATGTGCGTCATACCAATTTTTAAGCTTGACTTCATCCAATCTATACCGGCATACCCATTCAAGTAAGCCCGAGAGTTGCCGGCTTCGGGTTCAACCCACCTAAAACTGTGAACAGCGGTGTTAGGAGGCGTCACAATTGCAAGTTATAATCTCAATGATTTAGTTTTGAATGTTTATTATTGCATGAGCAGTAAGGCGTTGAGATCTACGTCTGATATACACTAATGAGTTACAGTTTCGATGCACGGCGCTGTTTCTCACGATCCCGCAGAACTCTTCTCAGGATCTTGCCAGACGCAGATTTGGGAATGGCCTCCACGAACTCAACGCCGCCCTTGATCCACTTATGAGGTGCTTTCCTTGACTGGATGTAAGCCTGAACATCATCTGCCGAGACTTCCCCGCTCTTGACAACAAAAGCCTTCGGGACTTCTCCAGACCGATGATCGGGAATCGGGATCACGGCGCAATCTGCAACGTTTGGATGCCCGAGAAGGCAAGCCTCTAGCTCTGCTGGAGCGACTTGATGACCCTGAGTTTCCAAATATTAGTAAGTGAATAACAAGAGAGTTGTTGAATGACTTACCTTCACTTTGATAAGCTCTTTGATTCGATCCACTATCCAAAGATGCTCGTTACCGCTGGGCTCTTTTCTCATCTCCCCAATATCGCCTGTCTTGATGAATCTGCCTTCAGGGAGCTCGACGAATGTTTCCTGATTGGCAGCGTCATTCTTGAGATACCCAAGAACCACGGAGGGCGATCTCACCCAGACCTCGCCTGATTCGTTGCATCTCGATATCCTGTTTCCTTCTGCGTCGACGAGCATGATTTCAAAACCCGGTAGGATCCATCCTGAGCTGCCAACAACAATGTCTCGTGGCGTACCAGAGGTGACAACCACACATGTTTCTGTCATACCGTACCCAAGTGTGACTTTCCACGAAGGATAGTTTGCCAGAAGAGTATTGGTCGCTTCTAGTCCCAGAGGAGCTGCGCCGACCCAGACTCGGTTGACTGAACTCAGGTCGTAACGACTCAAGGTCTCCAAATTGTTGATCATGGTAATGATTATGGGAGGGACCAGATACAAGGTATTGATCTTGTACGTCTGAATCGTTCTCAAGTAAGTCTCAAGGTCGAACTTAGGTAACACGATAACAGAGTCGCCTCGATAGGTAGACGCGTGACAGATGATGATCAAGCTGTATATATGAGACTGCGGTAAAAGCCCCAATCCAACATCGCGGTGCCGAGGAGCTAAGTTGTCTCGATCTTCTTGGTCGAAGAGAGAGAGTTGAATGATGTTTGCGATGACATTTCTATGCGAAATCATCACTGCTTTCTGCGCACCACTTTTAGTCCTCTGTTTCAGTTGCCCCCAACAGATGGTTGGAAACTTACCGGCAAGCCGGATGTGCCACTCGAGTAGCAAAGAAAGGCAGTTTGCTTCTGACCTTGACCATTTGACCACTTGATTGGCTCCAATGGTGGGAGCGACTGACCAAGGTCAACCAAGTCAGTGAGACTCTTGAAAGCAGGCTTTCGCTCCCCGTACGGTTCCCAAGGCGTATCGCAGAGATAAACTTTGTCCAAAGGAATTCCGGCGGCTTCGGCAGCTTTAAATGCGACTGGGAGGAGTTGATGAACCGTGAACAAGGCCTTGCAACGCGATGTCAACAACTGATGCGTCAACTCCTCCACATTATACATCGCGTTTGCTGGCGAAGAAATACCGTTAATGCGATGAATCGCCCAAGAGAGGCCCATAACATCAATCTTCCAGAAGTGATCAGTGAGAACCTACAAAAACACGGCTCTGGGCCTGCGGGAGCCTTTGAGTTGATCTACTTACAGTATTGAGAGCGAAAATGCCAACAACCTTGTCAAATTCGTTCCCCTCGTTGACACGCCATTGAAGCTCATGAGCCAGTGATCTTGCCAACAACTCAACGCGGACTCTCTGCTCTTCCGCAGAAATGCTCAGTCCAGTGATTCCACAGGTGTACGCGTTCAATGACTCGCTGTACGAACATCGGCCATAGCGCTCATCAAACATGAAGTCGCAGAGCGGTACTGTGTCTGGTATGCTCGGCAACAACGGCAGCAATTTGTTAGGCAAGAACGACATATTTTCTGCTTAGTTTCTCTGATAAAGAATTGAAACTGTAGTATAAAATGACTCTTCATCCAATTTTTTCGCGACGCTCCAGCAATTTTGGGCTGATTTGACGTTTTCTAACGAGTAGTTGGAGGGAAGCCGACGGAAGGCGCTAATCCCAATTAGGTTTACCGACAACTGCTAATACTCAACATGTCGTGCAATACCTGCCGGAGGTTCTCAGGGGAGACATAAATGAAGATGTACGAGATTCATTTTGCTTCATTTATATTAAACTTATGTGCACAGGGAGGATCTTGTACAATATCAATATCTGCATCAGGAGCCTCATAACCCTTCACAATCAATCCGAACGCTCTTGAATTGGGTAGGTTTGCATTTCTGAATGAGGCAAACGATGCTAGCCTTTCAAGACGATGGGTCGCATTCACGAAGGCATACTACAAAAGGCATAGCCAGTCAAAGGCAGTATTCACATCTAAAATGTAGAAGTAATGTGGTCAACGTAGAGGGTTCAGGAAATAGACGATCCCTATCACTGACATTGGACAGACTTTGACGACAGTGCTATCCGAACAGCACCACTGCGTCAGTATGATTGCTTGACTGAGGTCGCGGGTTAGCAGGAAGCTGTATGGATAACTCATGATCAACAACAATTCCATCTTTTCGTTTGAACTTAGTCAAGCCTTCTGGCTACCTCAAAGATTTTATATGCAGGCGCACGTCAGTGAAAAAGTTAAAACTACGACTACGACCTTCAAATCTCCTTAGTATGACTTGACAGCAATATCAGATATTTTAACAGAACGAACTAAGTACAAAATATTCAGTAGAGGTCGGGGTGTCTAAATGTTCACATATCCGGCTGGTAAACGCAATGACGGCTTCGGAAACTTGACTTCCAACAAAGCCAAACTACCGATTTCGCTTGTTTCACCGCTTGTACGGAAAAGCAGGTAATACTAGGCCTTCTGATGTGTCTGTAGAACAGCCTTGCGGAGGTCTAGTTCGATCGAGATGCGAAGGCGGCAGGCCGGCCCGCTATCTAATGTCCGGCGGTCCGTAGCGGATGTTCACCCGCCAGACACGCCAAGCTCATATGCCAAGTTTGACTTCATTTCTGTTCACCATACAGTTGCAGCGCGATGGCCAAAACATCAGTGTATCCTTGTCTCCGCCTTGGCGCACTTTCCGTCGGCGTCACACACTCTGTTGCATCACCGAGCCGAACCGCTGACTCAGCGGAAGTCTGTCTTCTTCTTCGACGAGCTTGTTGTGTTGATATCTTAAGTTGCCAGTATATATTGGAAGTTCAGCCTCCTGTAAGAGGATCCCACTCAACGGCTTCTTATGCGCATTCCGCTGACTTTCGGGAAGATGGGCGCCTCCAGAATTGTTAACCTTACGACCCGGCACTTCGAGCCAACAACAGTGCTTCTCATTGTGGCACTGAGCGGACTTTTATATGTTGCATGTCTAGCCATCTACAGTTTCTTCATTTCTCCTCTTCGAAAAGTCCCAGGGCCACTCATCACCCGATTCACGCCATGGTGCGAGGTGTATCACGCTTATCGAGGCGACTATGAGAAACGCTTAATAGAGCTTCATCGCAAATATGGTAGGCAAGAAAGTCACTCAACGTTGAGAATGTATCTGACTAAACAGGTCCTGTTGTGAGGCTGGCTCCCAATCTGTTCAGCTTCAACCGAGGAGAGGACATGCGCAAAATCTACCGCGTTGGTGGCAAGTGGAATAAGCCAGACTGGTACGACCCCTTTGGATCGGACCCAAACCATCCAACACTCATCTGCGTCAAAGAGGAGGCGGAACATGCGTTACGCAAGCGGCAGATCTCTTCTCTTTACTCAATGTCTACTTTGGTTCATTACGAGCCTGCCGTCGACCGAGCAGTTGAGGTTTGTATCAACAGGCTGCAGGACTTGTCAGTCAGTCACCGGGATGAACGTGGTGCACCATTTGACTTGCCCGAATTCTTGCAATGCTTAGCCTTTGACATTATTTCCCAGATTACCGTAAGTCGATGGCTAAGTCTCTTCCTGTCTTGTTTTCACCCGCTGTGGTTTCGCGGAGATCAAGTTGTTTTCTCAGCGCCTACTGACAGAATTCAACGTTAACGATTGATTCCAGTTTGATGAAAGTTTGGACCTGATGACGCGAGGGCCCAAAACTGACGGGCTTCTTGGAGCCATCCGGAGTGTCTTCTACGTGGCTGCAATCATGGCTCCAGTTCCTGCCTTATACAATTTTGTTCAGCGTCTGGTCAGTTTCGTCGGCCGCTTTTACTCCAACGCATACAGTCCTCTTCAGAAACTTTTGGCCCTGGTATCAGCGAAAGCAGAGCACTACCAACGAATGACCGGTGTCAGAAAGTCTGTGAGCGATAAAGGTGAGCCGTTCGTTGCCAAGGTCGTCGGTCTTGTTACCGGAGGGAAACTCCACCCTAGGGGCATACTCGATACTTGCGGCTCCAACTACGTGGCCGGGTCAGACACCACGGGCATCGCGATATCGGCGATTATATGGCACATCTACCATCACCCCGAGAAGCTGACCAGGCTACGTGCTGAGATCGAGGCTTCGGGACCTGGACCGATACGTTTCGCGCAGGCGCAGGCGCTGCCATATCTGAATGCTGTGATAAGCGAGGCGATGCGGCTGCACCCGTCCATTGTCTCGATATCCCCAAGAGAGGTGCCCGAAGGGGGAGAGTATCTCGCAGGTCATTACTTCCCTGCCAAGGTTCGTTCGGTTCCGTGCTTGTATGCCACATTCAGTCAACTTACAATTTGATAGACGCAGGTGGGAGTGAGCGCTTGGTCGATTCACAGAAATCCGGAGGTCAGTGGACCTGACGCAGATGTCTTCCGACCTGAGAGATGGCTTGAGAATAACGGGAACGCTTTGGGGAGTGAGAAGAAGGCGGAAATGTCATTTGCTGTGAGTAAACGTGGTTCCCGCTCATTCGTCTGTTCTCCCCATGAAGTCGTGCTAACCAGACCCCACGGACAGTTCGCCGGCGGCACTCGTTCTTGTCTCGGAAAGAACATAGCCCTATTGGAGATTACAAAGGCTGTACCGGAAATCGTGCGACGAGTCGATCTCGTCTTTGCCGAACAGTCGTACACAAATGTGACTTGCGGCTTAGTGTGGCCGCAGTATCACGTGTGGATCAAGCAAAGTGGTTAAGCCCATAGAAGGGGACCGCGCCGTGGTGTAGGTCCATATCTTAGAACAGCTGATAGAAATCCAATCTCCACTCTCATGTATACCGACTTATGAGCCACCCCAAGGACTCGCCACAAAAAGGTCGATTCGGACTTTCCGTGTCCTCGGTTGTTGGCCGAAAACTTGTGTTACAGCTGGCAGCTAGCTGGCGCGAGCGACGGGTTGTTATCAATGTTTGACCTCGGGATTTGACTCAAAGAATCGAACTGCGCATCAACTCCGCGGACAAAAGCGGAAGCACAGCCTCTGTACGAATATGCTGTGTCCGGCCCGGCTCAGTATTGGTATTGGAGTTGTTGAACAGGCCGGAGGGAGGCCCGGGAGGGCACATGACCAGTGTCGCTGTTTGATGCTGAAACCAGTTAGCTTTGTGGCCAAGCTTTGTGATAATCCCTGACAGGCTAAGCCTGGTCGGGCTAGATTAATGGCCAAGACATTTAGCGAAAATGTCAGGCTTGGCGTCTGGGGTCATCCCGAGATCTCCGCATGAGATGACGCCCGAGGCGACGGGGAAAGACCCGGTCTAGTGAACCTTTATCACCCCGATAAGTGCATGATGGAGATAATCACAGCCATCTTGAGGCGTCTCAATGATATTACACACCCAAAATAGGGAGTGCGTGACATGCACAGCCCTTGGCCTACGAGATACAGGGACCGGGAAGACCGGAGAAATGTCATCTGTTATTCAAAGTTCCGAAATACGTCGACTGAACTTGGCTATGCTATGGAGATAAGTCTCTAGATTAGGGTATCCATACAAGAGACATGAAAAAATGTAACTGAATATGACGTGACTGCTGGGAAATCATTTCTTGGTGGGCAGCTCGATAGGTCTGGCCGGCTCTGTCATCGTTCCGTATCCGTAGATGACTCGTTCTGCGACTTCCTCCACCTGCAAGTAGGTCTGGCGACCTTTCGTGAACCAGAAGCCGACGCTGAAAATGAGAATGATGCTAAACACAACAATAGCGTAGTTCATGTCTGCCGGCGCAGGGTTCGGTTCGGAAGGGAAGAAGAAGAAAACCGTCGTGACGGCGCAATAGACCAGAGATATGCCGTTGACCACCGGTCCAATGCGGCCAAGTTGGAACGGCCCGGGCGGCAACTTATCGCGGCCGACAATGAGGAGTGTCGCAATCGGCATCGCATATGATACGGTGAGGGCGATGGTGCTAACGCCAACAACCGCCTCGAGAACCGAAGAAGCGAAGGTGTACAGAACACCAACCAAGCCAATGACGGCCCCCTGCATCCACAGAGCTCGTACGGGCGCTTTCCAGTTCTCGTCAATGTGAGAAAAGTAGACACTGAAAGGAAGGCCGCCGTCGCGAGCGAATCCCCATGTCAAGCGAGATGCCGTGGTGATGACGGTGACGCCTTGTCCGAGCCCGTTGAAGATGAAGAACGAGAGCAGGACTGCTGACCCTTCGAGGCCGACCGTGCTTTTGATGAGGTCCATGAATGGAAGTCCGGTGGAGGGGTCGAGGACTTGTTCCAGATCTTGAATGCAGAAGAGGCAAATCATCATGAAGATGAAACCCGTAACGGCGCCGCACAAGATGGAAAGCCAGATGACTTTGGGGATATTTTTTCTGGGGGATGGAATCTCTTCCACCAAGTGTATTGCTGCATCGAACGCCGTCAGTCCATAGGCAGCCTGAACAAGCCCCATGAACCAGACAATGCCGTCACCCCATCCCGTTTTGTTGATCCAGCCGCCGAAAACGAAAGATGCAGGTTGAAACTCGAGACCGTTCTTGATGCCGACTGAGATGAGCAAGGCCAAAATGAGCACGAAGAAAAGGCCGACGAATGTGATGCCCATGAAATTGTTGAATGCGGGGAGAATCTGATCTCGTCGACACGAGACCACATTGATTGCCGTGAGAAAGAGCGTGATGGCGATGTACACGAGGAATTGGACCCAGCCATTGGATGCGGGTGACCACGTCTCGTCAAACAGTAAGTTCATCCCAAGTACAAACTCAGTCATGAAGGCTACCGTCGAGGCGGAAAGCGTCCACCAGCCGAAAGTGTTGATCCATGCGCACATGTACGAGACGAACCGGCCGGCAGGGGTCGGCCACAGACGCGACACCCAATACGCCTGGCCGAGTGCCGTGGGCATGCTACTGCACAATTCTCCAAGGGAGACACCGATACAGATATTGCAGACTGTGACTAGACACAGGCCCCAGAGAATAGCAATCGGGCCGCCATTCATGAGTCCGCTTGCAAGACTCTGCGCAAACACCGACCATGTACCCAAAACCACAAAGGCTAAAGAGAGCATGCTCCATGTGTCGAATTTGCGACTTAGCACTTGGGAGTGGCCCAACTCCTCGAGATCGCGCTCATCTTGGGCTGCTGTATCGTTTGTGGCCGAGTGTTTTAGCGTAGATCCGGCCTCGGGGTCCATGTTGGTAAAAGGTGCCGAATCTGGCGTTGTTGACTCGGTTATGGTGGCAGCTGTAAAGTGAATCTCTCGTTGCGTCGTTGGCGTTGTATCATTCTCAGCTGGCGGTTTGATGATGGACGGTCAGTAGTCTACTTGATCACGGCAGGGCTGCTCTTATACTTATATCCTTCACCCCTTGTCCCCCTGATCACGGATGGTCTTCTTCCTTGATAACGTCACACGGAGAATGATAAGGCTTGGTACATAATGGGAAAAGCCCACGAGGGCAAAGATACGCACAACGCGGGTAAATTCATATACAGAGTAGAGGGCTGACCCGTTAATGCGGTAGCGGCCGGAGTTTAAGCCCCGCAGGCCGGTCCCGGTCCACCGGCTTATCGTCGAAGAATGGACCGTTGATCCTTGCGCCGGTCTTCCCCGCGTCAGAGATCTTGGGTCTCTGATCAGATCGAGCAAAGCTTATGAAGAGAGGCTGGCCGACGAAATTCCGAGCGGGACACTGGATGGTTCGATGTTTTACGTAAATGGCATTCCATGAATCAAACGTCCAAGAGTATATAAATAAGCATGAGGCTCCATGTCCCCAAAATCCCCCTTTAGATAACGGAAAGCCGCCAGCCACGTTCATCCCTTTTCACATGCCACTGTGCCACGCTGTCGTGAACCACGTGCCCCTTCCTTGATCGGCTTTATGCAACACAACAATCATGATTGAAGACACATCGTTTCCCGGATACACCGTCTTCCAGGAGGAAGCGACCGATGCGACCCCTGATTTGTCGAAGCAACCTGCTAGACACCCTCTTGGTATGTCACTTGACCATAAGTGGTCCGCCTGCCGCTGCAGGTTGAGAGAAAATGAGCTAATGCAGGCGGACCAGACCCGCTAACGATCGACGAGATTCGCGTTGCGAGCAAGCTCCTTCGAGGTCAAGCCAAGTTCAACACCCTGAAGTTCAACTGCCTCACGCTTCGAGAGCCGAAGAAGGGCGAATATGCTGCGTTTCGAGCGAACAAGGGGCCGCGACCCGATCGTCGGGCATTCGCGATCGTGTTGGAGAAGGGAACGAGCAAGGTCGCGGAAGTCATTGCCAATTTGACCAAGCTGCAGGTCGAATCGTGGAAGCCCGTTGCTGAAGTCGCTCCGACTTTGACGCTCGAGGATCTCGACATCACGGAGAAGATTGCTCGAGAGGATCCCAGGATCATCGAGCTGTGTCGCGAGATCGGTATTACGGATATGTCCAAAGTCTTCTTTGATGCTTGGGCGATCGGGTTCGACCATCGATGGGGATTCGAACGTCGACTCCAGCAAGGGTTACCGTACTACCGTAAGTCCGAGTTGGACAACCAGTACGCGCATCCTCTGGACTTTTCCGTGGTTGTCGACACGGAGACGGAGGAGATTCTCGCCATCGATGTTCGTCACGTCAACGGGGAACGAACGCAGGTACCCATGGAGGAACACAACTACCTCCCCGAGTTTATCAAGGACTCGTACGACCACACTAGATTGAAGCCGATTGATATCACGCAACCCCAGGGAGTTTCCTTCCAGATGCGTGGCAACGAGCTGGCGTGGGCAGGCTTCAAGATGCACATTGGCTTCAACTACCGAGAGGGCATCGTCATCTCCGACGTGCGGGTGCATGACCAGCAGCAGCAACGCGAACGTACGCTGTTCAACCGAATCAGTGTGGTTGAGATGGTTGTCCCTTACGGCAATCCAAACCCTCCCCATCACAAGAAGCATGCTTTTGATGTGGGAGAATACGGGACCGGCTTGATGACGAATTCGCTCAAACTTGGCTGTGATTGCAAGGGCGCGATTCACTACCTGGATGCCGTTATGACGACTTCCAAGGGCGAGCCGGCGATGGTCAAGAACGCGGTGTGCATCCACGAGGAGGACAACGGTCTACTTTATAAGCACACCGACTTCCGCGACGGAAAGGTGATTTCCGCCCGCGACAGGAAGCTCATTATCTCGCAGATCATCACTGCAGCCAACTACGAGTATGCGTTTTACCACATCTTCACGTTGGACGGCACGTACAAGTTGGAAATCAAGTTGACGGGGATGCTCAACACGTACTGCATGCACCCGAGCGAGTCTGCAGCGCCGTACGGCACCGAGGTGGCGCCCAGGCTGGACGCTCATAACCATCAACATATCTTCTCGCTGAGGGTCGATCCCGAAATCGACGGGCCAAGGAATTCGGTCCTGCAGAGCGACGCGGTGCCATCGGATGAGCCGGTTGGATCGCCACAGAATCCGCATGGAAACGGGTTCTACTGCAAGAAGACGCCCCTGCGTACGTCCCAGGAGGGAGCCGCGGTGTACTGCCACGAGACCAGTCGAGCGTGGGATATCATCAACCCGAGTATCATGAACCCGTCCGCCAAGAAGCCGGTCGGATACAAGATCATCAACCCGAATTGTCCGGCTCTGCTTGCGAAACCGGGCAGTATGGTGTACAAGAGAGCGGCGTTCGCTCGGAAGAGTCTCTGGGTGCTGCCCTACAAGGACTACGAGCTGTTCCCGGCCGGCGACTATGTCTGCCAATCGACTGGACAAGAAGCGCATCCGCATAACCAGACGATCCTGGACTGGGTTGGGCGGAACGAATCGATCGAGAACACGGATATTGTGTGCTACATTCAATTCGGGCTCACCCATTTCCCGCGGACGGAGGACTTCCCGATCATGCCGGCGGAGCCGGTGAGCGTGATGCTGCGCGCATCAAACTTTTTCCAGAAGAACCCCGGTCTCTGGGTCCCACCGTCCTCGGTCTCTCCTGATAGGACGTCGAAGGACGCCTTCTGCGCGGAAGGCCAACGTGGATGCTCGAAATTGTAGAGTGCGGTGGATGACGATATATGTACGTGTTCGTAGATGCGAGCAATCAAGATCTGTGGGAAATGGCGCACATGATGCCCAATCTTGTGTCTCATTACAACTGTCCCGGTTTTATTGGATGATGATGGTGTCTTACCGAACAGAGCTGGCTTGCTGGCGTCCACCGGACGGTGACGGACGGGGAGATTTGGATTGGTGAGACCAGGCCTCAACTGGGATGGCAAAAGGTGGCCAAAGGAAATGACGCCCGAGCTTTTTTGAATTGACTCATTGTTGTCATTCACCACACCATTGTCGTCGTCGTTAGTTCATGCTCCAGTCAGAGGGGACCGACGTGGCAGAAATGACGAAAATGCGAGATATCGGTCAAGACACGGTGAGACGGTGAAGAAAGGTGAGCCACTTTTGGTGCCTGAATGCCTTGGTCCTGGGTCCCCAGCTTCGACCCCTCTGCTGCCCCTCGATGACTCCTTCCTCGAGCATGGAAGTCAATTGCATTTTCCCCCTCTTCGCTTCCCCTCCCCCTCCCCCTCCTGGTCACATGTCCAGCTCCCGTTCCCGTTCTTGCCTGGGCGTGGTCTGTTATCGTTTTGTTTTGCCGCCGTAAAAATTGTTTGCGCCCAACCCATTGCAACGGCCGTCCAAACAGAAGGAACGACCATTGAGAGCTCCCCACGTCTATCGCGCCTGCCTTCCCCGTCAGGTCCCCTTGAGAGCCTGAATGGCACCCTCAGGCCAACAGGTATCTTTTCAGTGGTGCGGCCAGCAAAACAGTACTTTGAGCTCCAATTGAGCCTTACCTCATTGGTGCCACGAGGTGGGCCTAACTGTCGAACCAGTGGATCCCGCGATAATGATTGGCGGGGCCGGTGCAGGGGTTCGTCCACTCAAAAAACAGTTCGCTCATTTTATCACCGAGTGAACATGATGCTGCCCCACGATGCGAAGCAAAGAGAAGAAAAAAAAATATCCCGGTCGCTAGAGATCTGCCTGACCGCCTTTCTCAGGCTTGTTGTTTACCGTTTTTTTCCCTCTTCTCGCTGGCCTTGCTCTGATGTCGTGACCGTTCCCGTTCTTCATGGGTCTTGCCTGCATAGCATAGCGCCGCCTCTCAATTCTTCAACTTCTCACCGCGCATCTTGAGCCCGAGCCTGAGCTGCGTCCTGAATCAACAAGAAGACTCCATCGGATCGAAATCATGGGCAACGTTTTTTCCTCTCCCCAGACCGACGGTGACCGAGCCGACCTCGAGCAAAAGATTGCCGACCAGAAGGAGACCATCACCGCCCTCGAGGAGGACCTCTCCAAGAAGGAGAAGGAGCACACCGTCCTCTCCAAGGAGGCCGAAGACCTCCGCCAAAAGGTCAACGAGCTCAGCAACAACCTGACCTCTACCCAGAAGGAGACCGAGGCCAAGATCCACCACCTTCAATCCGAGCTTGCCTCCACCAACGACAAGGCCGCCCAGCAGTCTCTCGCCGACAATGACGCTACTGCCGCCGCCACCACCGACCTCGAGGCTACCAGGAAGGAGCTGAGCGCCCTCCAGGACCAGCTCGACAAGGTCCAGCAGGAGAAGAAGGCTCTCGAGGATGACCTCACCGCCATCAAGGAGCAGCTGGCCGAGGCCAAGAAGGAGCGCGAGGCCCTCGAGACCTCCCTCCGCGAGGAGCTCGCCGCCCTCAAGACCCAATTGACCGACGCCGAGGCCGCCCAGACCACCCTTCAGCAGACCCTCGATAAGATCAAGGCCGATGCCGAAGCCGCCTCCAAGACCCTCACCGAGAAGACCGAGGCCCTCTCCACCCTCGAGGGCAAGTTCACCACCCTCGAGGGTGAGCACACCAAGCTCAAGACCGACACCGCCGCCGAGATTGCTGCCGCTGCCGACAAGTACACCGCTTTGCAGGAGGTCCTCGACAAGCTCAAGGCCGACACCGACTCTGAGCTCGCCGCCGCCAAGAAGGAGTTCGCCGAGGCACAGGACAAGTTCACCGCCCTCCAGTCCGCCCACGAGAGCCTGAAGAACGCCTCCGACGGCGACGTCGCTGCCGCCCAGAAGGAGCTTATCGACACCCAGGAGAAGCTCACCACCCTTCAACAGACCCTCGACAAGCTCAACGCCGACTCCGCTGCCGAGTTGGAGGCCGCGAAGAAGGAACTTGCCGACTCCCAGTCCAAGTTTACTGAGCTTCAGGACTCTCACGACAAGCTCAAGACCGGCTCCGAGCAAGACGTCGCCGCCGCCAAGAAGGAGCTTGCTACCGCCGAGGAGAAGCTTGTCGTTCTTCAGAAGACCATCGACGAGCTCAAGGCTTCCTCTGAGGCTGACGTCTCCTCCGCCAAGAAGGAGCTTGCCGACACACAAGAGAAGCTTGCCGCCGCCCAACAGAGCAGCGACAAGATGAAGGCCGACTCTGAAGCCGAGCTCGCCGCCGCCAAGCAGAGCCTCGCCGAGTCTGAGGAGAAGCAGAAGTCCCTGCAACAAGCACACGAGTCCGAGATCGAGGCGCTCAAGAAGAGCATCGCCGAGGCCGAGGAGAAGTACACCCAGCTCCAGCAGGCCCAGGAGAGCTCAAGCAGCGAAGTCGAGGCCGCCAAGAAGAGCCTTGCTGAGGCCGAGGCCAAGTACGCCGAGCTGCAGCAGTCCAAGGACTCCCTGAGCACCGAGCTCGAGACTGCGAAGAAGACCGCATCAGAGTGGGAGGAGAAGTACAACATCCTGCAGAAGACTCAGGAGACGTCTGTTGCCGAGCTCGAGGCCGCCAAGAAGAGCGCCGCCGAGTGGGAGGAGAAGTACACCGCCGCCCAGCAGGCCCAGGAGAAGGCTCAATCTGATGCCGCCACCGAGCTGGAGGCCGCCAAGAAGAGTGTTGCTGAGTTGGAGGAGAAGAACAAGGCCCTTCAGGAGTCTCACGAGAAGGCCCAGTCTGATTCCACCACCGAGCTTGCCGCCGCTAAGCAGAGCCTGGCTGATGCCGAGGAGAAGTCCAGCGGTCTGCAAAAGGACAGCGAGAAGGCCCAGTCTGATGCTGAGGCGGCCAAGAAGTCTCTTGCTGAGCTGGAGGAGAAGCACACTGCCCTTCAACAAACCCACGACAAGGCTCAGGCCGATGCGACCGAGGAGTCTTCTCGCTTGAGCAAGGAGCTGACTGAGCTTCAGGCCAAGTTTGCCGACCTGGAGAAGTCCTCTGAGTCTGCCAAGGAGGCCTCCTCTTCTGAGCTTGAGACGGCGAAGAAGGATGCTGCTGCCGCTGAGGAGCGCGCAAAGGCTCTTGAGGCTGAGCTTGAGAAGCTTCGCGCGGAGTCCACCACAACCACCAATGGCAACGGCAATGGCAACGGCAAGAAGAAGAATGGCAAGAAGGCCAATGGCGTCAAGGCGGAGTCGCCCAAGGAGGAGACGCCCAAGGAGGAGGTTGTTGCCGCTTAAAAAGCACCTTTTGAGATACCAGATACCAGTGTACAAAGGGGGGGAATGAGCTGGGGGATCAGCCGACGCGGTGTTCCTCGCGCACACCTGACGAGGTCGGCACAAAGCTGTACTTAATAGAATAATCCCCCGATGAAGTAGTCATGAACGTAACGACACACGAGATTTACCACAAGACCATGATCCTCTGAAGTCCTGGGTAGGCTGCCTATGGCAGCCTACTAACATTTGTGTTCTGCATGAAGCTGGTTATGAGTCTCAGGGGTTAAACTAACCTTGAGCCACATAACCTCATTGAGAGGCTTTGAAAGGATATGGAATAGTCTGGCTGGTTTATTAAAAAGAGCAACAGTGCTAATGCAGGGACAAAAGGTTGGGGTCTTTGAATGAGAACAAATAATCCCTATGAAAGAAATCCAGCTGCTCGAGTAGGGCATCGCGAAGAGCCTCATCTTCAAGATGCTTAAGACGTCGGGTTGCATCTAGAGAGTTGAAACGAGCGTACTTAGCGGGACAACGGCGGTGAGGTCTAGGATACCCATTGCTATAGTTGGCTCAAACTCAAACGCCTTCGATGGGCATCAGATGCTGCTAAGCATGATCGGGGTTAGGAGCTAACCTCGCATCTCAAAAAGTGAGAGGAGGAAGAGCTAGAGTCCAAGCCAGAGGGACCAAAAGCCCACCATCGGCGCGTCTAATTCATAAACCAGTACAGAGGACACACTAGAATGAGTCTGTTCTCGACGGCGCTATCAAGGTGGCAGAAGCGCAGGACGGGCCAGATGAGTCAGCGACGCTTGAGGCCGGCGCTCGTCATTGATAACCTAACTTACCGTGCTGGTTGACCGCACGATAAGAATCGTCTCATCTCCGCATCATGCAGCGCGACCAAGCACCCATAAAGTGCCCGTTACCCCAAATCATCCGACCATCGCCGACCGGAAATTTCATCCTGCAACCCGCCGCATTCTGGGTCCACGGCTCAAAGTATGGCGAGTTCGAAGACGTTCTCGGGATCGCCGCCCGACCCGTTGTCGGGTGAAGAAGCCTCCGAAATCCTCGGGAGCATCAGCATGGCTGCATTTCTGTGTCTCCTGGTGAGTGGCTCACTCGATAACCGAAGAGCGATCTTCTGACAGTCAGCAGTTACCCCAGCTCTACGCCAACTACAAGCTGCAAAGCGCCGACAGCCTGTCCATGGCGTTCCTCTTCATCTGGCTCGTCGGAGACATTTCGAATCTGCTGGGTATGACGCAGGTTTCAGTTCAACGAGCTTCCAAGCGGTTGCTGTTGAATTTCGGGTTGATATGAGCGACTCTAACATTCATAGGGGGCATAATCAACCACATCGCGCCAGCAAGTCTCGCAGTATCGGCTTATCTTTGCTTCTCGGATTCGACGCTCATCTGTCAGTGTCTTTACTACAATGCTATCAGAAGAAAAGACTTGCGCTCCGCGACAACAGGAACGACAGCATCGCAAACCCGAGAACAACAACCGCTCTTGGCTGCTCATAACGCATCAGCGACCCGGACTTCTTCGGATGCTCAGATTGAGTTGGCTAGGGACCCGTCCAGAGAAACCAAACGCACGAGCGATGCGGTACACAACATCCATGACTGGCGCACAAATTTTGCGTGCATTATAGGGGTGCATTTCCTTGGAGTCATGGACTGGGTCGTCTTGAACAAAACCGGGGTGTTGGGGTCCGAACGAGGTCTCGATGGTGTCAGTGTCGGCATGACAATTGGTTTGAGTGAAGTAGGCACAGGACTAGGGTATTTCGGAGCGCTCTGCTATCTGTTGTGAGTGGACTTCAGATTTACATGCGCTTGAGAACGAGCTGACAAGAGTAGCGCCCGCGTGCCCCAGATCATCAAAAACTATAGACAGCGGTCTTGTGAAGGTCAGTTTCTCTTTGACTTCCGAGGGATTCCCATGGCTCACTTTGAAGCAGGACTGGCACCGCTGTTTCTCCTTCTTTCTATCACCGGAAATCTCATGTATGGTTTGAGCGTCATTGCATACAATCAGGATAGAGATTACCTTCTCACCAGCCTACCGTGGCTGCTTGGTTCGCTGGGAACGATCTTAGAGGACTGTTTCATCTTGTTACAAGTCAAGTTGTATCAGAAGAGGGCTGGAGGAGAAGCGGATGAAGATAGATGAAGCGTCATTGAGTCTGGACAAACAGGCGTCATAGAATCAACGTCAAATTGAGACCGAGGGATCACAACAACAATCAAGAGGCTTCGAGCGTGAAATCATCTTCGGTCATATCACTTTTGTTCTTTAAGAAATGTTCATCGCGTATCGCGATGTTCATGATGCGAAATAGTAGTAGGCGGTCCAACAGCGTTTGATAATTATTAAGCAGTATTAAGCACGACACATCCGTCCGTTGGGCGCGACATTCCAAGCCTCGCTACCAACGCCCTTGAGGACGTAGAAGCTAGACTCGGGATCCCACTTCTTCTTGATCTGAAGCAGCTTGCTGTAGTTCTCGCCGAAAAAGGCATCTTGCCAGTTCGGTTGTCTGAAGTCCGCCTCGTTCATGTACGAAGCACTTCCAGGGGTCACGGACTCGATGAGAGGCATGAACTCTTCAGTCATCCGTCTCTGGGCAGCTTCCATGTCGGCCCAGGGAGCAGCGTTATCCCAGTTCGTGATCAGCTGGAGTTGCATAACCGCCTTGCGCCATGCTGGGTGGACAGAGTTGCTGGCGGCGCCGGCAGGCTTGTCGTAGTGTCCCACGCTTCCTGCCAAGAGGACACCATTGGAAGTCAGGTTGTTGACGACCTTCTGGTACTCGGCATTGTTTGTCTCGATGGCTTCCCGTGGAATCAGGCGTCCACCAAACTGGTATCGCGTGACTTCGAGGTTGCCTTGAGGAAGAGGACCCATGTAGCGGTCGTAGTGGTCGCGGTATGAGAGCTCACTGTAGGCGACCGCCAGTGTGACTCCAATCTCCTCAAGGGCCTTGGTGAATGGCGCCAGAACAACATCCTTGACATGGGCGGCGGTTGAGTTCCAAACCGTCAATGGCCGAAGGACGAGGAACTGGGAGTTGTGAAGGAAGACGGCGAAGGCACCGGCATCCGTCATGTTGGGCAGTAACTCGTGGAACTTGGAAACCGCGGCATTGAACTTCTCCGGAGTGGTAGTCGCAGCAAGAAGTTGGAACGCAGCTCCTCCAACCGTCTCAGCCTTGTAGGCACGCACGGTAAGACCAGTGACGACGCCGAAAGTACCGGCGCCGCCGCCGCTGAGAGCCCAGTACAGGTCGGCATTCTGAGAAGGCGACGCGATGACGGTTTTGCCATCAGCCGTAACAACTTGGAATGCGAGTGTTTGATCAGAGCCGAGGCCAAATTGAGTGCTCAACGCAGAGTGCCCACCACCTTGGATGAAGCCGCCAGCCAGGCCGACGGTGGCACACTCGCCGGAGACAACAGCGAGTCCCTGAGCGTGGGCGGCCTCGAGCACTTCATATCCGAGAACACCAGCTCCGACGTTGACGGCTGGGCCGGAGTAGTATTCGTCAGACCACGTCGTGAAGTCAATGGTCTTCAAGTGGTTGGTCCAGATGGCAAGGGCACCAGCACCAGTCGACCGCCCGAGGAAACTGCAAGATGATGGAGTCAGTCATTGTCACGAAACGACACTTCGTAGTAGTAGGACATCTCTGAGAAGCAACTCACTCATGACCTGTGTTCCGAACGACAACGCGCAAATTGTTGGCCTTCGCGAACTTGAGAGCGTTGGAGACATCCGCGGTGCAGCGAACATCGACAGCGTAGCTCACGTAGTTGCCAAGAGTGCAAGGCGTAGCTCTGTCGGTGAAGGGATCACAGGATTGGTTGGCAAAGTAAGACTGCATGACAGAAGACGAAGAAGGAATGCTGTAACCGCATTAGTATCAAGGTGACTCGATGCGAAGGTGTGAGACGAACTGGGTCAAAGGATTCGTCCACTGTGCCTGGAGTGCTGCACAAGCTTCCTCATTGTATGTGGGATCATGGCATGGCGAACCAATGGGCTTGGTAGCCACCAGACGCCCACCAACTGTCGCATTCAGACTCTGCCAGGTGGATGTTGCCGGCCAACACTGATCTCCAGGTAAGCAGTAACACTGCTGTTTCGGAGCTGCGGCAGCCGAAGTCAGGGTAGCCAAGGTGGTGGCTACGGCCAGGTAAGAGATCCTCATCTTGATGACTTGAGTTGGGCAAGTAGTCAAAGGAGGTAAGGAGAGGAGGGGTGATAAGCAAGACGCAACCTGCAGAGATGTGACAGCCTCTGGTGCTCATATATCTCGCGCATTCGTGACCTTGCTCCTGCGCAAGTCCCGCCCTGCCTGGGATTATGAAGGCGGTACCTCGGCACCATGTTCGATCAAGAGTCGCTTCCATTCGTATTTCGTCGTAACCATGCGAAATACCACCGCGCAGTTGGTGCCAACAGTAGGTAGCAATCTTCGACTTCAATAGACTGGCGGCGGGATACCCGAAACAGGGCCGACCGGAGTACGTGGAGCTGGTGGTACCCATGTTGGCCGATGCGAAGTTATCGGACCCTGCCACTGAACTTCCTATTGTAGGGTCTGACATCCGATGGCCCCATAGATTCCATGCATCGCACCCTGAGTCTGGCACGCCCGGGGAGGACGGATGAGACACCAGCTGGCCCGGGCAAGCCTGGTGTCAATCGTCGTGGGGGCCGACCGATTGATTCCCCAGCCAAGCCCACAGATCAAAGTTAAGTTGGGGAGAGACTAATTCGACAACGTGTAAGAAGAAACGTAGAGCGATTGTGCAGATTGTTCTTCAACCGGCTCCTGCAGCTGTTAATCTCGACGCCACCGGGAGTTAAGCGGCGTTTCGATGCCAAGTGCAGAATAATTCTCCAACGGCTGCTGCGCGAGATGCGGCCGGGTGATAATTTCCGGAGTATGGGATTCTCAGCTGCTGTGCCGCAGGCGACTAAGAATCTTTGATGCATAGTCCTGCAGGGGCTCTTGGCTAGAACGTAAAAGCCGGGGTTGGTTTCCGTTTGAGGGAGCCAAGAAGCGTTCAAGCGAGAAATTCGCAACTTTCATCGCCTCGGTGAGGGCCTATCTGGCTGGAAGAGGTGCTAGATTCAATAGAGCGCTCGTAATACCCCCGAATATGCATGGCGATGGGTGCAGGAGTCGTTCGGAGACAGGCACAGCGTGTCATCGGCCGAAACAAGGGAGAACTAGTTCATCCCTAGAATTCCTGGCCGGCTGACCAACAACGTGGGAAACAGCGGCCACGGTCTAACCCTGTTTTGCCACATGGAAGACTGGGAACTTTGTAAAGGAGAGGAGCCTGATCTCATTTATCAAGGGACGATCATCCCGATATCCGTAGGCAGAGAGAGGGAATCGGCGTGAGAAACATGGCGTGGATTCGACGGCTTTTGTTGGTGTTTGCCCTTGGCGTTCTCCCCGCCGTGTTGGCGCAGGAGAACCCTTCCAGCAAACCGACCTTTCCTGTTTGCGCGGTATGTGAACGAGAGATCTTTCCCGAAAAGCTGGGCAGAATGAGTGATGTGAACGAAATAGCTGACATCGTCCTCACAGACAAAATGCATAGCAAGCGCTTTTGCCGGCGGCTTTTGTGCTCCCACGAACCAAACCTGCATTTGCACCAACGCCGACTTTCAACTCAACGTGACACTCTGCGTATCTGCAAGTTGCACAGTACCGGAAGCGTTGGGTACGATGCAAATACCTCAACCTGAGTTCAAGATCTGACCGTGTCGCGAAATACAGCTACCAAAAATGCGAGCCTCACAAACTGCGGCGCCCCCGTACACGACCGATCCCAGGAATATGTCATCCTGTCAAACACAATGGCTATCATGGCTGCCGTGTTTGTCCTGGCTCGATTTGGCTACAAGATCTTCTTCGCCGGCCTCGATATCGGATGGGATGACTGGTTCGTCATGGCGACGTTGATCGCCGCCATGCCGAGCGCTATCATCACAGTCCACGGAACAACAAAGAACGGATTAGGACGAGACATCTGGACTCTGGAGCCGCAGAGTATCACCAACGTTCTCTTCTACTTCTACATCATGGCTTGGCTGTATTTCCTGCAGGTGACGCTGGTCAAGCTGGCCATCATCTTCTTCTACATGCGAATCTTCCCAGCGAGAGAAGTGCAGCGTGTTCTGTGGGCCACGACGATCTTCATCATCATCTGGGGGTTCGCATTTGTCGTAACATCCATCTTCCAGTGCAGACCAATCCACTACTTTTGGACTAAGTGGGACATGTTGCACGAGGGAAGCTGCGCAAACGCGAATGCGATCAGCTGGTCCAACGCCGCAATCAGCATCGCTCTCGATCTTTGGACCCTGGCCATTCCGCTATGGCAGTTGAGGTCCTTGAGATTGCATTGGAAGAAGAAGGTTGGCGTGGCGTTGATGTTCATCGTGGGCATGTTGTAAGTCTGATGCCGGCGTGTTTGAAATTTTCAGTAAAGCTGACTATATTCCAGTGTCACCGTCGTCAGTATCATCCGACTGCAATCCCTTGTCGACTTTGCAAAAGGCTCCAATCCTACAATGGACTTCTTGGACGTCAGCATTTGGAGCACAATCGAGATCACCGTGGGCATCATGTGCGCCTGCTTGCCATCAATCAGGATGATTCTTGTCAAGTTGTTCCCGGTTATGTCCGGCTCAACTCTTCGGAGCAAAGGACAGCGATACTATCAGTACGGAAGCGACGTGCGGTCGAAGATGACGCGTAGTCAACCACGCACTATCGGAGTCGTCACTGTGGACAGGACAAACTCTGACGAGACAGAGGACCGCCAGATAAAGTTCCAGAAAACATTTACCGTCTCTTACAGCGATAGTGACGAGTCGAATCTTGTACCTATGACTAATCTGCAAAGACCGGAGAGGGTTCACAGATAGCATTCGGGTCGGATGGTAGCAGGAGATTGAAGATTCGTCTCTAAGCCAATAGTATTGATAATTCATTCAAAGTATATACATGTATCGTGGTATCCAGAATCATGAAGTCAACATCGTAATCATAGTTCATCCAATAACGGGCTGTGACTGGGCTTTCTCTAAAGCCATTGAACCTTCATATTCCCAGCCGCAACGCCATCGTGAGCACATCTTTCCAGGCGGGTCGAGATCAGGTTCTCGCGACGAAATGGAGATACCAGGTAGGAATATCATACTGGTGATCGCCTGGCAAGCTCATCGTCATCACAACGAAGCCGATTGGTGCCACAGACCATGTCAGGTGTTACTGCTTACTGTTCAAGAGTTAGTCAATCACCAGACAAGTCATGCGGTGGAAAGAACTGACTTGAAAGCAACTCCTGCATCGCTCGAACTAATACCGTTCTGGACAAAATCGTTTGACCATTGTTTGTTGTATCTGTTACGCCACTTGTCAGTTTTGGTGAACACGAGCTTCTTTCAGCTTAACATACTGGTTGCAGATATAGTACGGATTGTAAGCACCACGATTGAATTGCAGCACTCTGTAGAGAAACACAGAAGCACACGAGCCTGCGAGTTGAGAGATGTGAGTTAGCAGTGGTCTTGCATCTTGACTTCAGACTTCCAGGGAACCACGGTCACTTACCAGTGCATTTTCCGAGGCACCACTGCTCGATGTTGGTTGTAACGCCTTCACTTGCGCTGTCAGAAGTCGCATCGTAGTCGGCACTGGCAACTCCATCCTGTTCAAAGACTTTGGTAAAACCTTGAGGGTTATCGCTCCACGTGGGCTTCGGCGGCGGAGAGGGTTGGGCTGAGGCTGACGACGACGGTGCCGCAGAAGTGACTGCCGCCGATGTGGGCACAACAGTAGCAGTCGACGCTGGCGGAGTAGAGCTGGCAATGCTCGATGGTGCTGCAGAAGTTGCCTGACAGCTTCCACCCGACGGCGCAGCCTGGCGTCTTCCATTCGAAGTCCCCCCTCCAGCAGAGCATGCGAGCCCTCTGGGGTCAATACCATTCCAAATGACTGCTGGCTCTCCTTCAACTCTGGAATATGCCAGAGACTGAACCATAGCTTTGACATTTGCGGCGACCTTTCCAGGGACCTGAAGCCTGTCCCGGTGCTCATCTTGGGAGAGCCAGACGGCGACAACACCAGCAACGGCAGGGGTGGCTGGTGTTTGGAGACATTAGGTTGTGCTATAATACGCGAAAGCGCCAGGGATAATTGTTCACTTACCAAAAGAAGTGCCATAAAGCTCCTGTGATCCACTTGATCTTCCAGATGCACAGTCGACGAAGCCAGGAGCAGAGACAGTCAACTGGCTTCCGGTACCTTGAGAGAAGAAGGCACGATACCCATCGTTTTCGACTGCCCCTACCACAATAATGTCGGTATCAGGGCCGAAAAGAGCGGGGTACTCGGTAACATCGTCGACACCGAATTGCTAAGCGTTATTGTCAGAAACAGTTGAGAGCATTGGGAAGACCGACAAAGCCTACCGCGTCGTTTCCCGAAGCGGTAACGATGATAATATCCTCGGCCATCAGCGCTACAAGGAGGAGCTTGTATGCAGTTGTGGTGGAGGACAATTTGTCCGGAATACCTGGCAATCGATCAGCAAAGCGTGTCGCGGTTGTGGACATGGTACCGAGCCGGGAACCTACGTGATCCAAGAGACATGTTGATGACAGCCTTTCCTTCTAGCTTCTTTTGGTATACATCATTACTGATTTCTACCAAGGCAGTGAAGATGGCAGAGATTGACAAATCACTAGGCAGCTTCACTGCGACCATGTCTGCGTCCTTTGCAGTGCCGTAAGCAGGCCCGCCAGCCTTGGAAGCCACGCATGAGCCGTGATTCAGAAAGTCTGTCTCTTCCTGCGTGGCACCGGGGGCATACATGAATGCCTTAGACCCAGGCATGCCAGACCATTCCTACGAGTTCCTTTTAGCAAACGACATGTTACCATGACCAGAGGAAAGAGGTCCTACAGTGTTCTGAGCGTTGGCACCCGTGTCTATCACGTAGATGGTGACGCCTTTGCCAGCTTCAGATGCATAGCCGTAGCCAGGGAGCTCAGCAAGACTTGCACCAGCAGGTTGCGAGATCGCCTTGAGCTCGTCAACGGCATCAGATTGAAGTCTTATGTCGCCTGGGTTAGGAACACTCGTCTTCGGAGAGCCTGGGGGACCAGTGGCAGACGGATGGCGTGTCGCTGAAGTTGGTGGGGCCGATGAAGAGGGTGGCTGCTCTTCCTCGAGTTTCTCGTCTGGGGTAACCCCCGCAATCTGCGTTGCTGGTCAGCACAACTACCATGATATGTAGGGAAAATGTCTTACCCCTGGCTGCTTTCCGATGGAGTCAGCCTGGCTAGAGCTTATCGCTGCCTTGAAGAAGACCACAAGACCAGTGCGATCACTGGTAACCTCGGACAAAGAGTTGGGAGTGGCATCCTTAGCGAGCGTGCTGTTCACGTTCTGAATTTCTTCCTTTGTGGCATTTTGCGAGGTAAGAATGATGTATGGCGTTGGTGACTCCGTAGATGACGGTGTTGCCGATGATGATGTCGGGGACCCCGAAGATGTGGGGGTTGGACTAAATGGTGCAGAAGACGACGCGGGCCGGGAAACCGGATCCGAGGTTCTCGGGTTCTGTGTGGGGTTCGGGTTTGAGACCGTTTCAATCTCCGGGGTATCGCCGTTAGTACCCCCGGCAGTGATGGTCACGATGGTCCCTGCGGCGAGAGTGTGCGGTGTACCGCCGACCATCAAAGTTGCACCGCCCGCACCGGCTACGTATGTCGCACCTATCACAGCAACGACGGTTTCGCCGCCGGAGAGTGTAGAGGTTGCCGGGGCCGAGCTCGATGTTCCAATGGTTGTGAATGTCGACGAGATACGAGTGGATGACCGAGGATCAGGTGTAATGGGTGGCTGCGTTGACGATGCTGGTCTCGTGGTGTTTGACAGAGGTTGCTGTCTGGCTATCAGATGGCGCTTGCCATGCGCGTACTCGTTCCACCCGTCATGGTAAGGATGAGACAGAGCTCCGGTGCTCAGAGAGAGCACCCCGAGCCATCCCAAGAGACTCTCAATGTGCATGTTGAAGAGAAAATGGAAAACAAAATGCTAAATGATTGTATGTAAGAAATGAATGTGGCCGAACAAACGAAAGTCAGAACCATGATCATCAAGTGGCCACATGAAGGGCCGTGGAACACTTTTAAGATGGAAGAGCATCGCGCGGGTGTAATCAGCTTAGCAGGGCTTTGGTCACCGGTTCCAGCATCGCGATAAAAAGGGAACCTTTAGACTTCCCGCAATACCCGAAATACTGCAAAACACCGTCACTCAAGTAAACAACAATATGTGCCATCTAGACGAACGATGCCTGCTAAGATCTACATTTAATAGTTCGTGTTCAATTGGCGTCATTAGGATGTTTATTCTTAGCATTTGACCCAGGCTCCGAAGCGAGCTGTCAATCATCAATCTCATACCAGGGGAAACCTAATTAGACATAATGCCCAGCGGTAACAACTCACACTGGCTGTTCAGTCTCGGCATAGTTCAGGCACAGCCGCTAGATGGGACGACTGACTCGACGACGCAGGGATATATGCTCGTCACTTAAGGCTGAGACTGCTTGGCCCAACGATTGACAACCGCAAGCGAAAGAAACGCAAGCGAAATAATAGCTCTAAGAAGATCGGTGACTAGGGGCAGTGCATTGCTCTTTTGGTGCTGGGGATCTCATGTTGGCCCCCCAACTACGCGCCTCTCCGGCAGCCATCCACTCACCAATATCGCAGCATCAGGGCTCTAGGTACGCGTGCGTGAATCAGGACTACCAAAGGCCGTGAAAAGGTTATGTGTCTCCAGTAGTTGAAACCATACAGAAATCGATACTTCTTAGCTACAAATTGGGGCACTTGCAAATTGGAAGAATTCTAAGATTTACTAATGATATTTGATGACTTCTCGCTACCGAAAAGTTACGATGATAAAAGACCTGCTTGCGCCTGAAGTAGAAAAAAGTCTGATTGCTGCCATCGCTTATGAAGTGCTGCGGCGACCTTTATGAGCTGGGGCTATTTTCAGAGGATTTACCTCTTGTAATAGCGCAGGACCCAAGCGACGCGAGCCAAGTGACGAAATCAGCAACCTCTTTTGCTTGGGACTGCTTGGCTTGCGGAAGGGTTGACCCCGAGAGAGAGATGATCTTATTCGCAGCTGACGTGAGAAGTTCAAGGTCGAGATGTCCGTACGGAGTCTGCGGGTGTATGATCATATCGAGAAAGAGGGAGATGGCCGCGTTCGTGGCATAAAATACAATCGACCTGGTACCACAGTCAGAAGATTCATCCTTGCCAGATTATGCTGCATCTCACATATGCTGACTTACCAGAAGCCTTCAATTCCAGCAGCGGCAAAGAAATCTTTGAGAGAACAGAGAGTTGACCTCCCTGCCTCAAGAGATAAGTCGTAGCTTGAATGGATGACGCGATGCAGATCATGGGTCCCATTGCTGGGAGACGCATTTGCATCGTACTTTCTCACTGTGGTATGTACAAATGCCACGAGATAATGATATTCCAACTGCAGAAAGTTACGTCTTATCTGTTTTGGGGATCTGACTGCGGATGTTGTCGATGCAATCTGCGGCACAGCTGAAAGCGCTGGGCGAAAGTCGGAAGGAATTGATAATCGCCAGCTTTCAATCTGCTCATCTAGTTGACGGATATGGGTAAGCAGGTTCTTCTCCTGCTCCAGCACTGCTCGAGGAGAGTAAAGAAGGCGGTAGACTGTCTCTTTGATTTGACTCAAGACTGGATCACCCAAGAAACTCGGATTGCAATGATCGATGTCTATACTCTGATGGCTAGAACCATCGTCCCACCCTCTCAGGACGGCATAGTGTTCGAAGTAACCCTCAGGAAGTGACAGATCGCAGTATATGTCAGTGAGCCTAGGCGGTTGTCCCACTTTGAGCGACATATCCTTGTCCGATATGTAGCACATCCAGAATAAGTTTCGAATGTGGCGTGTTTTGCGATCAGAAGGAGACAGGTTACCCCGAAACTCACAATTCTTGTTCGGCTTATTGATGTGGCCCCTCAGCGTGCATACAATATTACATGCGATGGGCAAAAAGAAGGCGGCATCCTGCCACTGACCCTCTTGTAACCGTTGCAGATGCTGGTAAAGGAACGTTAGTTGAATAGTGAAACTCATGATTCAGTCCCGCAGGAATCTCACCAGGAGAAGGGCAACTTCTAGAGTCCGGATACTTGGATGACCAGAGAGCCTCATAAGAAGCCACTGTGCCTGGGCGCCGAAACCTTCTCGTTCGATGTCCGCGTTTGGGCGTGAATAATTGTCTCCGAGTAGAAAGCCCAGCAGAGACAGCGATGCAAGAACACAAGCCCTGGCCGCAATTACGTCTGGGCCCAAAGAAGTATCGGCGGTGTCCGCGTAAGCGACCCCAATCGTTTGTTCGAAAAGGGCGGAGTCGAGCACGGGAAAGGCAACTCGAATTGGCGACCTTTGGTAAATATGAAAAGTGTCTAGAATGACGGTCTTGGGAGGCAAGGGAGATATGATGTTGTGTTGATGGAGGTAGTGATTATCCCGTATGGGCGAAACATTGCCAGAGAAAATGGGAAGGTTCGATAGATCAATTGGTAGGCCTGTCCGCGTTGCTATTAACTGACGACCCTCTCCAGAGAAAATGTGTATGCCACGGAAGAACCAGTTCGGTCCCACATAAGCGCTCGTGAGCAGGAGATCGTCTGGTGAAGAGTGAATCAATCGACTTTGGTCCCAAGATGCGCCATGATAGTTCAGCAATTGATGATCCGGGGCGCCAGTCGCGAGATCCGATGAGAGCGCCGGCCTGTGGAATGAGGATGGTTCTGCAGACAGTGTTTCCACAGGAGCACCGGATGGGCTCTGTATCTGAGACAAGGCCTGGGATAAGGAGCTCTCGAGGTGATCGATTCTCTGATACAAGTCCTGTACGTCACTGATCTTCAACCTGTATCATCTCAAGAGGATGGATTATATTAGAACACCTCTTATAGAATAGAAACTTTTGAACTGACTTGCTACTTTGCTTCCGACGGGGATGATGGCGATTGAAAGTGCATTCGGAGTCATGGTGACTGCACCAGTCGCAGGCAACGCCAGGAGCGGGAATGATGCATTGAATCTATTGCGATTAGGATCAGACGGGGTCAAGCGAAACGTATCAGAAATGCTTTCATCAGGGCCCCAAATTGAGGAGAACCTACTTTTCTTCGGTAGCATACATCACAAGCCCTCTTGGGCGGCATTGTTGCCAGTTGCTTGTAAGGAGGTAGAATGTTGTGTTGTGTGGGAAAACAAATTAGCACAGGAGCCTAAAGTGAATAGTACTCGAAGTATCTGAGGCGCTGTACTGCTTAATTACATAAAAGAAGCGCGAGGGGCCTGTTTATTGCATGGCCTAGCCTGCATCTGCCCCGTAGCAAAAAAGCGGTAGCCGTTGCAATTTACCGCAATTTAATGTAGCAATCCTTTCCTTCTCTCTGTTTGAAATCTGGTCATATTCCGCGACATATCTTGACTTCCATCACGCAGAAACGTGGACTACTATGATTGAAACACATCCCTCTTTCTGGTCATGTGTTCCGGCCATTGCGTGAGAGAGCTACTTATGTTGGATTGCAGCATGAATCAACTGACGAAACGTGTGGTTCAATTTGTTCAAATACAAGTTGACGACGATGTACTCTAACCTTTACCATTTGCGTGCACCGTTCGTCTTTCGCTGAGAGCCAGCAGCAGTGGCCTGAGCATGACCATCAATGTCCGTATCATCAACCCAGTTGCCATGAATTCCCATCCTGAGACGAATTGGAAGCCTACAGATAGCCACGTGATTCGAAAGGTCTTTGGTATCCAAGATGACCAGCTCGCTAATCATCTCATCATAATTCATTATCAGACCAATCAGATAGCCGTCCCCCTCGGGGGCGTCAAGATGACGAGGAACGAAAACCGGCTCCTGGTAGAGACGGTAGTTTCCGTTCCAGTAGGTCTGAACCTTTCCAGTCTCGAGGTTCACTTTGTAGACGCTGTTGAAGGGAGGGAAGCCACCTGTGGCATAGAAGGTCAGCCCTGTTATCGTTCATTGCCGTGTAACTTTTCAAAAAGTCTCTCACCTCCGACTCTCATGGAAACCAGGCTCCAGTCTGTTTTGCCCTCCGTGGGATCCTGCATGGCCCCAAAGATGTATTTGTTCTTGTAGCACATATATCGGTCGTCAACTCGGATCATCTCATTGTCCTTCTCGATGACAATTTCTGGCTCGACCTCAAGATTTTCTGACTTCGGATCGATCGTCCAGTGTGCCAGCATGGCCGCGTTGGTTCCGAGAGGCGGTGAGTTGCCGTCCTTGTCGGGGAAAAAGCCGAAGACGTTGCCCTTGGAGTGGCTCATGTACAGGTGAATCTTTCCACCCTCTTCCCAAGCGTTTGCCACATGCCCGTTGTACGCGTTGTCACCGTAGAACCACTGGCTCGTATTTTAGAAACCTTTCAGAAATGAGCACTGCGCGCATGTTTTCATACCTTTACGTCGCTGGCCTTGCCACCCGTCTCGGAAGTACACCAATGTAATACGGCCTCTCTGGGTACCATTGCCAATGGTTCCCGCCGGCTTTGAGATGGTCGATGCTGTCGAGGTGCATTGGATGGATGGGGAACAAGACCTATTTGGTTGTGAGACAACACCATCTTATCCATCCATCTCTATGATCAACCTACCCAGTTCTCAGTAGCGGCCATTTCATGCTGAAACCCGCAGACCGGTGCTTCAAACCAAACCTTCTCCGTCATGATGCCGTGCTGGTTGAAGCATCCATACAGCACGTCTTTAGTGCCAACACCCCTGGCCTCGTAGCCAAAGCATAGCAATTCTCTGGTGACTGCATCATACTTCGGGTGGGCGGTGAATGTCTCGCTATCCCATTGACCTTCGAAATCGTACACTCCGAAAGTTCCCAGAGTCTTTGGGTCCATGGCATACGGGGGGCCATCTTCTTTGAGAGCAAGAAGCTTATCGCGCCATGGGAAGATCGTGGTGTTTGCAACGGTTCGTACCCGATAATCCGTAGCGTCAGTAAAGGGATTGCGATATTTTCCTTCAATAATTAGTCATCGAATCAAGATGAGAACTGTCAAATGTACATACCAAGAAAGGTCCGTCGATGCTCCCTTTCCAACTTCAATTTCTCGGTTTCGACGTAGCGCTGCTTGAAATCAATGTGTCCATCCTTGATACGGAATGAAGACACAACACCGTCGCCATTGATCCACTTTGTATATCAAAATTAGCCCAATGATACTTTTCAAAGGACTTCCGACGTGTTAGACATACAATGTCATCTTTGATAAAGGGTGGGAACGCCGGATCTGGCATGATCCTGTAGAAGGTTCCCGAGATCCCCTTCGGGATTTCTCCCTCAACTTCAAGGTTGAAAATCTCTCCCTGAATGCGGACGGGCCTTTGAAAGCCGGATAAGGCAGGTCCTACATCTTCAGGATTGAAGGCGGAGGGGACTGGAGGATACTTGGGCTTTCCATCGTGTCCAATGCCATTGAGAATCGAAAGAGCTTCCATTGCGATTTGGATCCAGGAGGTATAACTGAGCGATATTGTGCTGTTGGTAACTGGATGTTGATAAGTAGTAGACAAGTTGAATGGTGGAGTAGATATGAAGTAAATACGCCCCTAGGCCAGTTGTAACTACCCTGCGCTCTCTCAGTTTGAACCAGATATCAGTTGTTTCGAACCGAATTCTTTTGCTCCGTTCCATCCGGTAGCCCTACATCAAGCTAGCAATACAATCTCTTGTCTGTGTGTATGCGGCGAGGTCCGAAGTCCGCGGGCGTCGTATTTGCGACGGCGGAAGCTTCCGAGGAAGTGTTTCTGCGGAACAGACTTTTCCGTGGAGGGTTCGGACTGCCAACGGGCCGGCGTCGATCGACTCGGCAAGTTGTTAAGCCCCGTCAAACAATGCGATTACCTACCGATGCGTGAGGATGTGAAATGCCAGGACCCCAGCTCTAGTCCGCGGATGCGGCGGGGGATGGTCTTCAATTATTGTGACCTTGGACCAAGGAAACAGCTGCAAGCGGCTTTCATTCACCTTCCGATCACCACGCAATACATAATAACGCCGATGTATATTAGGGATTGGGATCAAAAGAATGTCTGAGTCCACCAAGTAACGTCCATCTTGGTCTCTTGGGCTCCTGGTAGTCCCCATCAAGCAACGTATCAGAAAAACTGGACATTGTAATGGCAGGAAACTCTGCCGTCTCTGCGACCAGAAACACATCATTGGATGTTTGCGCCTTCTTGGCATTCATACAGACTGAAATTCGTAGTAGGCGAGGTGTGCCGCTCAAACTGCTTTCTGCAGGGTTGGACTCGTATTGTGGTGCTCGACCAGTCAGATGAGCTTTGTCGGGATATAAGCACGACTCCAGAGGGAGACAAGTATCTTTTACCAGAGGCACCACCACATATGCACACCTAAGTGATACACATACGCTCAGATCCATGGACACCATGCACTAGACCGCTGCGGGTATCCCTGCGGAACTGCTTTGCGGGGTGCATGTCGGAGGCCCGGCCTTGACCTTGTATCATCCATTTCTACCCGTCATCCTTCCTTCTTACTGAGTGACAACACATCTAACCAGATCTATGGTATAAGAAAATGCCTCGCGAGAAGAGAACTCCAGTGGTCGAAGCAGAAACGGCCGAGACTCGTACTGGACGAAAGCGGGAGAAGTATACTCGCATTGCTTGGTGAGCTTCGGAGTCGCGCAAGACGCCTTTCAATGGATGCTGATAATTACACAGCGAAACTTGCAAGACGAGAAAGGTAAAATGCAGCGGTCAGGTCCCATGCAGCCGCTGTGTCGAGCTCAACGCCCAATGCCGCTATCAAGAGTATCCGCTGCCGCTGTATGAAGTGGCGAGCGATCGTTCGCCTTCTTCCAGCCAAACCGCAAAGCGACGACGAATGTCCAATATGAGCAATCCGGAACTGGGACAGCTGATTAGCACCATGAAGAAAGTGTGCGAAGATATTGAGTCATCCGCATCAAACTACAGCCTCGCGTCTATTCCCGCCACCTCCCTCAAGAGGACACGACGATACTCCGTAGCCACCCGTCCGACAAGCCTGAACCCGAGACTAGACTACGCTCATACACTGGAGATGGCGCGCGAGGTTCTGGAGACAAAGGGACTTCATCGGAGTCGAAACGAGAAGAATCCCTCGAGCAGAAACACACTACTCGACAACACCACCTCTACCAGCGCTGTAACCGACACACTCCTTGCTGCCAAGCCAATTCTGTCGATAGGTCGTGATAAGGTCCTGCTATACTTGTCTACCTTCAAGGAACACGTCTATCCAGCATATCCTTGCATCAATTTAGCAGTTGCGAGAGGAAGGGTAGAGGCGCTATTCAGTACCCACACTCCGCAAAGTAGCATGTTATCACCGGACATTGGTTTGGAACTGATTGATGTCGAGATCATGAAGGTCACCTGCGCTATCTCGATGCTTCTGAGAGGGGAAGAGGAAAGCCCGCTGTGTCAAGACTTAACAGGCCATCTTCTATGGAATACGGACGCTGCGATAAACGAAGAGCTTCAAATTGAAGACATCATCATCTCAACAATGGTGGTAAGAAATTCCAATCGCAATGTCGAAGACTCTCACTGAACATACTGATTGGCATCTAGACAATATACTTGATAATCCGCAAGAAAGAAGTTCAATCTTGGCGCATGATTGGCTTTTCGGCCAGAGCATGCCTTGAGTTAGGGCTTCACAGAGAGAAGCCTGCTGAAGAACCGTCACAACTTGGCTCCCAGTTTAGGAGGCTGCTGTTCTCGTGTGTCTACGACTTGGACAAGAGGTGTAGCTTCGTTGCTAATCTTCCTTGGACACTACAAGAAAATGATATTGATGATGAGGTGTTATCCGTGGTACGATACCATCTGTCCTTTCGGCAAGTAATAATGTGTTGACACTGCCCTCAGGATAACCAATTTCCATTCCTATCTGCAATGCTAGCGCTTAATCGCGTTCACACCGAGATAGTCAGATTCAATACGACATCCCCAATTAGCGGAAACCGAGAGACACGAGAAAAAACCGAGATATTCGATTATCGTATACAAAAGCTTGCGGATGTCATTTCGGCCAGGGGTGTATTCCCCGTCGCCGCCGCCGGGCCACCTCCAATCCACGTACAGACAGTTATGTCGTCAATCCTGCAACTTCGCGCAAAACACGTTAGGATGTTGGCGTATATGCGATATCTTAATGGATCCAATGAATCGGCTAGAAGGAGCCAGCCGATCGATGCCCTTGTTTCTTTGGCAATATCTTCGGTTGACGTCTGTCTAGGACTGTCAAACGCGAGTCCTCTGTGGAGACCGTTCGTCGACAGATTGTTGATGGCGACGCTGTCATATCTGTTCTTGACAGTGTCGCAAAACCCAGCAAAATACGGGTCATTGTGTCGCAAAGCCTATCATTCGGCGATAGACTGCTTGAGCCAAGCTTCGTATGAGCTATCTGTGGCTGAGGTGGAAGTCTGGGGCTCCCTCGACGAACTGCGGAAGTTGGGAGAGAAGACCAAAATGCCATCGATCGACGAGTCAACATCAGGGACAGAGACTACCCCGAGCTTGGAGACTGTCGCCATCCTGGAAGGAGACCACCAGTTCTCTGTACCAGACCTTGCACAGTTGTACGATGGCACAAGTCAGGATCCAATCTCGGCACTTTGGAATATTGACACACTGTGGGATAATCCGCTTGCTGAGTTTTCTGTTTAATGATGAAGGGATCTTGGCGTCTATTCTGTTGCTGTTTTGAGTATCCAGGCAACTCGGCTTTCACTAAAGCCAGGCCCATTGAGGCTCATTAGCGACGATCGCTTGGCGGAAGGAGGACATCGGCATAGACTTTAGTCAGTGAACTTGGCGTGGAAGACTCGTCAGTCGGACCAAGATGTGTAGTTGGAGAGTTTTGCAGATACTTCATGCCGAAAAGGTCTACAATGGATGTCGGAGGCTTAACTGCTCCGGACAGGTTTAATGACGACAGAAAGCTTTCGGCTTTCGACATGCAAATAACATGCGCGCCAAAACTATCAAGAGTGCAAAGATTCCCCAAAAGCGTCCAAATGAGGCTACTTTTCTGTCATTCACGGCGATTGATAGGCACATCGTGTCGTGATCGGGGGACAGAGTTCACAATCTGCGGATACAACGATGAAGTACAGACCCAGCAGTTGTTCGTGATGGTATGCGGGCAACAAAGCCTTTCATTCCAACGTTGAAGCAGAAAGCTATATATCCGTTGTCCACCGCCTTCAAGGCATGTCCCCATCAGAAATGGGAGCCTGAGGGAATGATTCCAACGAGATAACGTAATTCATACTCTCAGTGTGCTTCTACGAATACCAATCTCCTAAGTGATTATAGAAATAAAGCCTATCGTCACATGAATGTGACTCAGTGGGACAGGAGCTCTTGTAAAAATCAGTTCTCTGGCGGTATGTCGAGTAAATCTGCTGCCCAATCTGGGCCAGAAAGAAAAAGGGGTATTCAAAAACATCATAAGTTCAACTCGGCAGGCGTGGTGATTTAGACAGTCAGCGAAATCCTGTGAAAGAACTAGATGATTTGCTTTTGATATTAATTACCAAACATCGCGAAACAGCGGAATAAATTTCAATGGAAGCATCAATGCACGACATCTAGAAGGCACAATCAATCTCAAGTCAATCAGCAAGCAACATGAACACCACAGTTTCATTTTCTAGTAATCCCCATCGCCCAGTAAAAACACAAAGATCCGTTAACTTCTCAACTTGAGCTTGATCTGCATGTTGTAGATTTCGGCAAACCATAACGACCGAACGTCGAGAGCCTTGTCAGGGTCCACAAGCTCTACATCGTATCGGATCAAAAGCTGTGCGATGAACTTGAAGAGTTCCAAAGTAGCGAGGTTGCGACCAATACATGTTCGTGAGGCAAAGCCGAACTGTGAAACTTTCAGCTACAAGACAGCATGTGGCCAGGGAATAGCTCGAGGGCTCTTACTGTGGCCAGGTTCTTATCCATCTCTTTGATTCTGTCAATCGTGTTTCCTTCTCCCTCGATCCAACGTTCGGGTCGCCACTTGTCGGCATCCTCGCCGAATATGGCTTGGCACCGATTGTAAGCCACCGCACTCGTTCCAACCGTAGCGGTGGAGTCAATAAAATAGCCATCGATGTCGAAACCCTCAGCTGGTGCCTTTCGAGGCAACTGATAAACGAGACTTGGGTGCAGTCGAGTGCCCTCTTTGATACATGCACCCAAGAATGCAAGGTCTTTGATATCATTAAAAGTCAAAACATGGTTTTCGCCCTTCTCAGATGCCGCTGTCGCTCTCGCACAGTCAATTTCGTTTTGCAGCCTGTGATACCGTGCGGGATGCTTCAGGATAGGGGCCAGCACCGCCTTCACGGCAACCGAAGTTGTGTCTGCACCAGCCGCAAGCAGATTGCCGACCTCAGCTATAATTTCCGTGACTGTCGCAGGCTCTCCTGATGGCCCCCGCATGTCTATGAAATGATCCAGCATGTCTCGATTGCCATTAGAGACCTTGCCGCGGTTAGACCGAGCCTGTTGGATTCGAGGGATAACCTTCTCCGTCGCAAGGCGGGAGAAAGCGGCTGCTTCTTTGGCGATCTGAAGTCCAAGCGGCCGCGTGATGGCAGTCGTGTTTGCCATCCAGCAACTCTTCCAGGGAAGGTTGCCAAGATTGGCGATCCAGTAGAAAGCCCCATGAACGTTGGAGATATAATCATTCTTGTCGCAGCCGTCTTCGATGAAGCCCATTGGGTCGCTCAAACACAGAGTTCCAACCACGTCATAGGTGAAATAAGACGCCCAAATGCTCAAGTTGATGGGTTGGTTGGATATAGCGAATTCGTCGAATTTATTCCAGAGTGAGTCCAGAACGACTTGTATCTTTGGTTCCATTGAGACGATCGAAGACATAGTGTAGGTTGTAGACACCCGCTTTCTTAGGAAACCGTGATGTTTGGGGTCCGTGGCACCGAAAAACTGGTGGACGTCGTCATCAGCTCCCATACTCTATAAGAAAGTTGCAAAAAATTTACCGATACCGCGGTTTCCTTCTTCGATACCTTGCCTCCCAAGGCTCTCCAGCTATCATACCAATCTGTCTACACCGCCTTTGAGTTGCCTTGCTCATTTAAAAACTCGAATATTTGACTCACCTTGGGAGTTCCTTGTATGTAACTGTAAATTGTCTTGGTCAGATCAGGGCTTACGATGCTGACTTCGTTGGGTGCTATTCTGACAACAGGGCCATATGTTCTGTGAATTTCCAGAATATCGGTATGCCATTGGCCTCGGAAGTAAAGCCTGGTTCTCCAAAGCTCGGTGAGCTTTGCAAGACGAGGACCGGGAATCTTTCGCAAGGGATGGAAGTACGAAGAATACAACGCCCAAAGGCCCCCTGAAATGAAAATAATCAATGCGACACAACCCAGAATCTTCTGAGGGCCAGAATAAGAAGGTGTGTTTTGAATGAAGCCGAGATACGTGTAAAAAGCCATAGCTGAAGATGCTACTGTTGAATTGACGTGTATGTTGAAGTTGAGCTGTGTAGACAAAGTTGAATAATTTGCAAGTGATTGGTAGTTGACGTTCAAGTGCAAAAGCGCATTAATTACAAACAGATATCAAGCCACAGACGAGGGAGACGCTATCTTGCCTGAGAAAGTCGCCACAGCTCTGTTACAATTGTCGTATGTGTGGCAGACATAACCAAGGCGGCCTCCATGTCAGCACCCAATCGTCTAATATTTCCGCGGTTTCCTCCGCGGCACGTCCTCTAAGCCCCTGGAATTTTCACACATCGATGTGCATGAAATACACACAGGTCAATTGAGGTGGAGTCGTGGAATCATTCGTCAGTTCGGATGTGTTGAATTTTGATTGCAGTACTCTGAGACACTTAGAGAGCGCTGGCTATTCAGAAACCAGGCTTCAAGTCCACGCCACGATCGCCCCGATCGAGTGATTTATTTATGCCCGTTAGTAAGCATCCCACCTAAAGCAGAGTTCCTACGTTTTGGATGCTGTGCTGTGGATGCTTCGTTCAGCATCTGCATCTTGACCCTAGCCTAGCCATCATCTATGAAGGCCGAGTATGCAGGTTGGACTTTGCAAGAATGTACACCTCACGGGTTTGTGAGACTCCCGCATGTTCGAACAACGATCAATGACAACTTTTATTGAACTGGATGGTGATGATTTATTTTTTTCCCTTTTCCCCCCTTTGTTTTCAACAAGCAGTGCAAACCCCTAAAAACAAATGCTGGTCAAGATACGTGTACAATAGGAACAACTAAGTGCGAGTCGTAGTTCCCACCAACATGGACTATGTGATCGCCCTTGTTGAGGTTCTCCGGCTTGCTGTCGATGTGGTCGATGAACTCAACCATCTGATCCAAGTGACCCTGGATTCTCAAAACGAGAGCCTCACCGGCTGCAAAGTGAATACCGGTAGGCCAAATCCCAATTTCAACGGGGACAATTGCTCCCTCAGCGACCTTTTGCTCCTTAGTATGGGGATGAAAAGGAATAATGTCGGTGGAGTGAACGGGGTCCTGCTCTCGATGGGAAGCTCGGAGAACGCCAGTTGGACCCAGATACTGGTTTTTCAAAGTCAGCGATGCTTTTTTCAATTATCGAAGTTCTTACCTTGATAGTGTTGGAGTTTGGAACGTCTTCCTGCGTGTGAACGTTGGCAGGGAGAGCTTCCCAGGGAACATTTATGTGCTCCAGAAGCTTTCCGTTCACGTCGACCTTCCTCAGAGAGAGAAAAATATCCAGGTCGTCAGTGTCCTGGCATGAGACCCAGAGTTTGGCTTTGGCATAGCCCATCACCGTCGTTGGCATGTCAAAGACGTGCAAAAGCTCAAGCGGCGCTGCGTTGATGTTGTCCGACTGGTACGATAGCAACCCCGACCCGGAAGGTGACTTGGCCAGAGTGTTGGATTGTGTGAGATAGAGCTTTCTGTAGTCTGTGGTCTTCGGCGGGTATTCTGTGAAAGGCAAATTCACCATCGGTTTCTTGCGCCTTGCTTAGTCGTCGTCAGTGGAGACGGAACATGTAGCTGACGTACCGGCCCATCTCGATCACCGAATGTCAAGATTGACACTCGGACACGGGGTGTCTTTTCCCAGCCATTATCCACGCCCTTTAAATAGCGATCGAAGAACTTTTGGAGGTCGCCGGATGCTTCTTTGCTGTAGAGATCGAACCACTCCTGCGTCGAATGGATGCGAAGCCACTTGTCTTTCGATGTAGCCGAGTTGAAACCGCGAATGCTGCCAGGTACGTGGATTCCAGAGCAGTAACTTCCGAGTGCGTAAATGGGAATCTCTATCATGCTTGTGTCGAGGGCCTTATCCTCCCAGAAGGCGTTCATGAGAGGCCAGTCGTCTAGTGCCTTGGCTAGGTCCTCTCGCCTTTGCCGACCTCGGATAGTCTGGTTGAAGATGAATGAGACAAAGTCTCGCTTCGGTATTCCACCTCGACAGACAACATCGCGGTACTTATCAGTGAAACCCTCCCAGGGAGCAATGCACTTAAGAGACGGCGGCTTTTGAATCGCAGTGCTCCACTGAGTCGTAGCAAGCCACGAGTTGCCTGCCATGGTTACGCCTCCAGTGCACCAGTCCAAGGCAGCGATGAACTCACAAATATCGTACCCATCGACGCCTGGATGGTCAGCTTCACTTTTGCATGCTTTCTAGGTTGACATACCTGGCTGAGTGCCCTCGATGTAAAGATCTCCCTCGGATTCCCACGATCCGCGGACATCAACATTTACCACAGCGTACCCTCGGGGGCCCCATTCCGCAGGATCGACACTAGCATACCTCAGCTGAGATGAACCTCTCATAGTGGTGACTATACGTACCCTTCGAACTTCTCCAGCCCAGATGTTGCTTCTTCCGAGATGCCGAGTCGAAAAGGACAATTGTCGTAAATATAGAATCCTGTCTTTCGTCTCAGCTTGTGTCCAAGTCGAACACACAAATTCGAGTTTGTTTGCGTACCATGCCCTGACTTTCCATACGGACTCAGAGAAATGATGGCAGGAACCTTTTCCTTAATGTTCGGGCGTATTATGTCACAGTAAATCTTCCAAACCGTGTCAGTTGTGATTGCACCTGGATAAACGGACATCGCCTCTTGCCTTGACTCCATCGCGGAGCGAAATAGCCATATTTTGGTCAAAAACAACCTCGCAAGGGAGAGCTCGCTTGTTATCCGCCATCTTCCACCCTTTGGGCAGTACACCAGTCTTCCGAGATTGCTTTTGGTACGGTGCCATGCAGGTCGTGTTCTCAGGCCGAACAGTGTCAACCCAGGGGATCTCGAGACCGCCGATAGTGAGGGGAGCCATGATTTCAGTGACTGATGGTCGAATTCTTTGTGGTATCGATGTGAGGCGATGACAAAATTGTCTTAAACCCCAATGTTAGCTGTACAAAACACATGTAGATTTTCCCCATTTTCCTTTTGAGATGTGGCAATCCTTAGTACGGTCCGATCAATCATAGTTCGCAATAACTGAGCTTCCCACACAAGAGATGCACCTAGGTCGCCGCGGAACTGCCCGCGTAAGTTCAACATCTGAGGCGCTACTCGCTTGGGCCTTCGGAAATGCTTCGGACGGCAATCACGGCGCCGCCGGACTTGACATAACTCACCCTTTCGACAGGAATGAGACATGATTGGCTACATATGCCAGAAGGAAAGCTCTGCGGTGGCTTCTGCGTGTTTCCTCGAGACGGGTCTAGCATGATCTCACTCCCAAAATACCTAGTCTGACTTAATGGCATGCCACACCTACTTCCACTTCTAATATTCCGGCGCGCCAAAGCTGTAGAGTCACCTTCTTTCTGCGAAAAGAATCGATCTACATAAGACTAACTCAGCCAGAGACTGGGGGAATGTGGACATCAATGATCTTTACCTCAGCATCACCGTTCTTGCGGACGGCGCGAACGAAACGACACCGTCAAATTTGATCCGATGTGTGGGCATCTGGGACAATTCGTCGCGATGCAGATCAACATAGATCTGCAATACAAGAAGGTTGCATTATTCCGCGAATCGGCGAAGGTCTAAATGCGACATGGACCGCATCGTAATCGACCGACGTGGGTTCTTGGCGGCCTTGGAGATTCCCTTTTAAGCAAAATACTTCTCGGTCTATGTTCTGCGGAGCATGTCATGCGGAGTGCATTTTACTGGGCAGCGGCGAAACCGTTCTTTGCTTCCAATTCAAATCCCGGGAAACAATATGGCAATTCTACCTCCGTATAATAATATAAAGTCATGTCAACACAAAAGAGATTAAAGCTCGTGATAATCCAGGAGTCACGACTTCATGACCTATTTGACGGTGTAAACAAGCACGATTCTACCATGCTGCCAAAGACGCTCTCCTCTTTCAGTTCCATCCTATTTGCGGCAACCTCCCAAGCCACTCAGCTTGATGTGCCATCGCGACCAGCAAAAGGCCATCAGGTCGTCAGTCCTAACTACCATGCGTTCTCGATTGAATTCAGTTCTTTCGTTGACTATACTGGAAACTCCACGTCCGTGGTTCTCTTTACCGCTTGATCTTTATGCGCTTTACTCTGACAAGACAAAGATATTCAAACCAACTCAACATCAACCTACCGAAACTTCTGCGCGAGGTAGGCGGCGTACCTCTACATGTCCGTGTCGGTGGCGGATCACAGAATCGAGTAACATGGACCGAGAATCAAGAGGAGGGACTCATACCATTCTACCAGCCAGGCACGGACAAGGCTTACAACACCACGGTCGGCCCCAAGTTCGCTAAATCCTTTGACGTCTGGCCTATGGATACCAAATGGGCTCTCGGCCTTCCTTTCGAAATGACAGAACAGAATTTTAGCTTCTTGGAGACCGGCCGGCGCCTCGCAAAAGTCTCATTCGAGCACTTGGGCGGAAGACTGTCGCTACTCGAGATTGGCAATGAGTGGGGAGGCGGTGCCCAGCTGCATCCTGAAAGAACATACTCTCCCGCGGAATACATTGAACATTGGTCCGCGTATGCTCATGCAATCGCAAAGTATGCGTTTGGTAACCCCGATGCTCAGATCTGGCAGGTTGGCAGCTTTCACTCGCCCTCGTACGACTGCCAGGGGGCCTTATCGTGCTGGACAACAGACACACTGCTACAACTTGGCATCAATCATAGACAAGTGGCCAAAGTGGCGAACACTCACCAGGTATGACTTCCACACTCCTCGAACATTTTTTCAAGGCGCAGGGCTTACTCCTAACACCATTTCAGTATATGGAAGACGCCTGGAGCCGTCCGTATGTCACTGACCAGTTCCTGATGAATCATAATAATACACAGGGAACTGTAGACTGGCACCGTGATCTCGCTGCCAATGCTTCGACGTATGGGCTTACTTATGAGCTTGGGGAAACTAATTCACTCTCAGTAAGTATAGAACAGCGCAATCCTGCTCCGATCATCAAAATAGTGAAAATTGACAGTCGAGAACGCAGGGTCATGGCAAAATAGGCGTATCAGACACGTATGCTGCCACACTTTGGATGATCGACTACGTTCTGTACTCAGCACAGACAGACATTTCGCGGCTTTACATGCACCAAGGCACAGGCTGGAAATATTCAGCCTGGAATCCCGTCACGGCCTTTGGCTACAGTTCCGGCATCCTTGGCACTTACTACTCTTACTTGTTCACCTACACCCTCTTGTCAGGCGGCAACAAGCAGGTCGAGCTTCTAGTTGGCGACAAGACATTCGTCGCATACGCGATCTACGATGCAGAGCCAGACAGGTCTTACCCGTCAGCAATTGTGGCAATAAATCTAGAGGCCTGGAAAGCAAACGCTGCCCCTGGGCAGAAGCCATACGTAGAATTGGAGTTGCCCACGTCTCTCCGGCATAGAAATGCGACTGTTCGTCGTCTTACAGCGCCTGGAACAAACGTCAACTGGGGAATAACTTTTGCGGGCCAGAGTATGGACGGGCAGGGCAAGATAAACGGAACGATGGTCAGAGAGGTGATAGGTAGTAACGGTAAGCTGAGTCTCGCAGCTGCAGAAGCAGTTCTTATTACGTTCTAGATATAATTAGTAAGATCACACTTGCCCTACCGATAGATTCATTAATTCATGGGTGGGGTACCAGGAGGTCTCCGGTCGAATCGGAGTACTCCTTGACGGGCTGGAAGCTTGGCACCCACTCACGGAGTTCTCCGATCTAAGGACTCCAACCGCGAGAGATTAACCACCTAGGCAGGGAAATCGTACCCTTTGAGCTTTGCCCGTTAATTTGTAACATACGCGGAACTTCCGCCATGAAGTCGCAAGTCGTGGCCCGAGGAGTGGGTTTTTCAACACTTGCTTCGTTCTTGGAAGCCAACCCTTCCAGCTATTTAAACCCCGTTGGAAGCAGGAAAGGATTCATGTTTCCCACATAGCAACGACAACGACAACAACGACACTCAAACCCAAACCGCTCTTATCTAAGTCGACCCCATGTCTTCTGACACTTTTCAAGGATGGCTGGGCCACAACTCGGATTCAGCTAAGGGCAAGATGGTCTGGGGTGAATTTGCGCCCAAGAAGTGGGAAGAGGACGATGTCGATATCGAAGTCACCCACTGCGGTATGTGCGGCACGGATCTTCACGTCCTCCATAACGGCTGGGAAAACACGCCGTACCGTAAGTTTATCTAGGTGTCGTTACAAAATCGATCTCTAACCGCGATTTAGCATGCTGTGTTGGCCACGAGATTGTTGGCAAAGCGGTCCGGGTCGGCAAGAATGTGACGCACATCCAGGTCGGTGATCGCGTGGGTGTGGGAGCTCAGGCACTCAGCTGTTCCAGAGATGACTGCCCCGAGTGCGCCGCCGGCCTGCCCAACTATTGCGCCAAAAGACTGCTGACGTACGCCTCGATTTATCCTGACGACAAGGGCAAGTCGTTTGGTGGCTACGCCGACCACAACCGTTCCAACTCGAAGTTTGTCGTCAAGATTCCCGAAGGCTTGCCATCTGAAGCTGCAGCCCCGATGCTTTGCGCTGGAGTTACCATGTTTGCCCCTCTCCGGCGACTCGGATGCGGCCCGGGCAAGTCAGTCGGCATTGTTGGCGTTGGCGGGCTTGGTCACTTTGGCATTCTTTTTGCGAAGGCTCTTGGTGCAGATCGAGTGGTTGGAATGTCCCGAAAGGGGAATAAGCGCGATGACGCCTTGAGTCTTGGTGCAGACCACTACATCGCCACAGATGAAGACACTGACTGGACAAAGTCAAATGCTCGGTCTCTGGATATCATCATCTGCACCATTTCAAGCGCAAAGATGCCGTTGACGGACTATCTCTCAATGCTGAAGGTTGGTGGCCATTTCGTCCAAGTTGGAGCTCCGGACGACGGCAATTTGCCGGCCATCAACGCGTGGACTCTCTTCAATGGGGTCAGCGTTACCGGTAGCTTCATTGGGTCTCCCGGCGATATCGGGGACATGTTCGAGTTCGCCGCGGAGAAGCAAATCAAGCCCTGGATTCAGACGTGGTCCATGGCCGATGCCAATCAGGCAATTGTCGACCTCGAAGAAGGCAAACCTCGGTACCGTTATGTTTTGGTGAACGAGAAGCATCTGTGAGGATAATCACAGATGCAGGGCCTGGGATTTTGCATAAATAGAGAGACAATACATTCTTTGCCCCTAACATACCTTCCACAACGGACTCTAGTAGAGTCCATTGAAAACCACACGTTAAGAAAAGTGGAGTCAATAAAGACATAGGGTAGAGTCCATTAAAATAACAGGGGGTAGAGTCCGTTGAGGTTTTCTACAGTAAAATCAGTTAAACCAGCATATAATAAAAGCTAAGAGTTAGGCTAATTTAGATATCTATTTATCTTCTCTATACCACCTCATTTCAGCATTATCTACTCATAATTGTTTTTACACCTAGTTCTCATAAGGCTGGTCTAAGCGTAGAAATAGCTAATTAGTAGATAGACATATTAACCTCACAGCTTAGCTAATTAGATATTCCTTTTAATATTATATTATATTATTACTTCTTTCTATTTACTCACTTTCCTCCCTTATCCCTATAGCCCTCTTCTACCTAGAAGATAGAGCCATTTACTTTTAATACCTAGTATTCTCTTTATATATATATAATATATAAGTTTACTATTATTACTAATAAAGTAGCAACCTATTTATAGACTTAATACCTAGCTATTATAGCCCAGGAGCGGGCTCAAATCATCAGCACTATCTTAAATCTCCCAGGAGTTACTCACAGCCAGGTCGAGCTATCACAGATCCAGTTCCCAAGCCCAGCATCTACTCCAATTGAGCATCTAGCTAAGCCACAGACAGATAGCATTTAGTACCACAGCTACTACTATATCTGCCAGCAAGTCTGGAGAATCTAAGAGCACTACCGGAAGGAGCATAGCTAGAAGAATAACTAAGTAAAAAGTAGCAATATAAAACAAAAGATAGAGCAGCTTTAGGAGGTACCGTGGACGACAGGCGTTCTCTACCAGTGGTTCTTCCCATCCCAAATAGGCAGCCACTAGTTTAAGGTTAGGTAAGGACTACTAGCTATAGATATATCACCCAAACAGATAGCAGCTCAACAGGCCGCCAGCCGCATCAATTAGCTCCAGGGAGCCCAAAAGCAGCATATAAAGACCAGCCACAAGGAGCTTATCCAGGTAACATCCAAACGGCTTAAACCCAACCCATAGCTGCACCATATCAGCTAGGCAGACCATCTACAAGGACTCAACATAGGTCAGCTATAAGCAACAGCAGGCCCAATTCAGGAGGACGAGGAGGTGCTAGGGGCCATGTGGAAGGCCATCAACATAGTGCTGGATACGGCATGGGCCGTGTTGAGCCCGAATAGGGTTGGACACACTATACTCTTTAAGGCGCAGCGCAAAGAAGCCCACATAAAGCCAGTAAGGCCATTTAACAACCATATAGAGGACAACATATAGGCGAGGTATAAGGACGTATAGTAGGTCTTACTATATATCTAGCACCAAACGCAGGAGATAGACAACAACAAGAGACCGCTATATAAGCTTACAACTAAGCAGGGCGAGCTATAGGACAGCTTCAAGCAGACAGCACAAACAGCCATAACAACGCCGTCACAAGAGGACAAACTAGAGCGCACCAGCTTAGACATGCTCGTCAGCATGCTAGACCACCAGCTCAAGGGAGGCCAGTATAAGAACGCGCTTATTAGCGCTCTAGCTATAATAGGCATCACAGAGGATAGAAGTTAGATCCAGATCACAGACTACACAATAAAGTACTCAGCCATTATTAAGGTAGTAAGGATGCTCATTATATCCCAAGCCGTCATAGAGCAGCGCAATAAGATATTAGGACTAGAGGAGGAGATAGGGAAGGATAAGGCCGCAGAAAAGGCCACAAGCTTATTCCAGCACATATAGTCTAAGGTGCAGCAGTTTATAACGCAGACGTCAGGCAATAAAGATGCAGAGCCAACACCAATAGATTGGATTTTCAACACGCAGACATACGGGATACATATCCAGTATAACACGCCAGCAGCAGGCGTCATCAACTAGGTAGGCAACCAGGTCTCATTCCGCCATATGCAATTCACTATAGGCCAACTGTCGGACGCGCTGCACAAGCTCGCCAGGGAAGGCAGGGAACTGCTGGACGAGCTGGCGATGCTGCAGCAGCCAGACGGTCTTAAAAGAGGCCATCTTCCAGCCATCCCATGGTCGTCTATTAAGGACAATCATAGTGAGACTAAGGTTAGGTACTTATTTCTCTTAGACAACCATAACAAATAGGTATAGAAGGGAGATAAATAGGTCTTCTACTAGTTAATAGAGTCAGTAGAGACACAGCAACGGTAGGGGCTCAACTTAGAGTCGGCAGCAGCAAGGCTTAACAAGCAAGCGGTATGGGACTACAGCCACACAGCCAAGCAGTTCAGGGAGCGTCTATGGATATTATTGCATACGCTAGGAGGATAGCCCAGGCAGGCAATGGAGATTAGGGGGCTATAGATAGTGAATACAGCTAACAGCGGGGTGTACAACATTTTCGCCCACAACAAGATAATATGCTTTATAACAGCGTACCATAAAGGGTACTAGACGACGGGCTAGGCTAAGGTAATCCACTAGTATCTACTAAGAGAGGTAGGCAAGCTGCTAGTGTGGTATCTATGGCTTATACTCCCGTTCTAGCAGGAGGTGCAGGGGATCAGTTGGGAGGCCGGCCGGTATAGTGCGTTCTTATGGGTGGATGAGATGGTGCAAGGGGCCATCTCGAGGTCCCGTGGTGGAGGGGATGATAATAATGATGGAGAGGAAGATGAGGATAGTGAGATGGGTGAGTGGACGTGGAAGGAAGAGTAGGTATGGACGACGGACCGGGCATAGCGGATCATGCAACGGCATAGCACTAGGGTGTTGGGAAACTAAGTCAACGTTAGTATGTGGCGGCATATTGCTATTAGTATTGCTAATAGGTACTTAAATAAAGCGTTTAGGAAGCAAGCTAAAGAGAGCTAGGCAGTTAATAATGAGGATAATGAGGTTAAGGACAATATATAGGACTTATAGGCTGGGCATAGGACGTGGCTGGTGGGAATGGTATACGCGCGCAAGCTGATGCAGTTCGGCTTGGGGCTCGCGGCCAAGCGGCAGAGGTTCCACAAGGTCAGCCAGCAATAGCATTAGTTTCTGGGCTTTAGGGTAGAGGACTCAGCAGTAGTAACAATAAAGCAGAAGGCAGAGCCACACAACAACTTATAGCTCTAGGCATAGCTGAGACGGTTCAAAAAGCTGCAGCTCATCAATATAGCCGGGCAGCTCAGACAGATAACGGGAGACAATAGAGCCAAGTTCCACAGCAACCAGGAGCAGGTACTCCAGGCTATCGTCAACAGCCACAGCCCCATCGTCTAGGTCATGGGCACGGGCGGGGGCAAAAGCTTGTTGTTCATGCTCCCGGCGTACTGCTCGCTAGATAGGGTAACGGTAGTAGTAACGCTGCTCGTGGCGCTATATATGGACATGGCCGCGAGGTGCACCCGGGCGGGGATCCCGTTATACGTATAGTAGAGCCATAAGAATAACTAGGCGGCGTTAGTGGTATTTATGACGCCTAAATCCACTATAAGTAAGGGTTTCTGAGACTTTATGGCGCGGCTGGAAGCGAGGCAGGCGCTAGATAGGGTTATTATGGATAAGTGTCATGTAGTGCTAGAGGGAACGTGGACGTTCCGGCCGCAGCTGAGAGAGCTTAGGGCGGCGGTCAGCAAGTTTGGGGTATAGCTGGTCTATCTAATAGCAACGTTAGCACTAGCGGATAAGGCGGCGTTCTTTGGGCTCATAGGCATCAATAGGGTCAGGGTTCAGATGTTTCGTGTAGTGTCTACACGGAAGAACATCACATATAAGGTCCAGGCAGTTATAAGCAAGGGAGTAGGGCAGCCAGAAGAGGTAGACGTAATTAAGGAAGAAGTATATAAGGTAATTAGAGAGTAGTTAGATAGAAAAGCGAGAGGGAAGGCAATTATGTACGTAACTTCTATTAGATGAGTAGAACAGCTAGGGATGATGCTGGTATGTCCGGTGTTTTATAGCGACGTCAACACAGCGCAGGGCAAAGCTGAATGACTTGAGATATAGCGGAGAGGAGATGGAGCGGATAGGGGTATTGTGGTGGCAACTAACGCACTTGGTCTCGGGATCGATATACTGGACGTGCGGCTTATGGTGCATGCGGACATGCCGCAGGAGCTACGCAGATTCGTACAGGAGAGCGGGCGTGGCGGGCGGGACGGGCTCAGCAGCCGGTCGGTCGTGGTCGTGCAGGGAGAAGGGCAGCGGGAGACGGCTTGCTTGGCGTTTCTCCACAGCAAGGAGTATTGCTGGGTGGTGCTTGACCGGGTGATAGACGGGCAGACGGACCGGTTCAGCTACAAGGTGGATAAGGAGACGTATAATATCTATTTAGCATCAGGGTTAGGGTTAGAGGTAGAGATAGAGAGGTTAGGCTTAGAGGCGGGGTTAGAGGCAATAGGAGCAGTAGCATTTAAAGCAGCATAGAGGGGCAATATCATCCAGCGGTGGCAGCTTGAGAGGCAGTAGATAATGGAGGCGGGAGAGGTTAAGGGCTTCTTACGTCTTTTACAGCAGAGCCACAGACGGTGCGTGCTTTGTCTCAGACGGGGCGGTAGGGAGGCAGAGCACAAGTTTAAGGGGTGCCCAGAGCGTAAGAGCGGTAGCGAGTGGGAGATAGTCCATTATGGCATAGAGCAGACGACGCACGAGATGTTCCATCTGAGGCGGTTAGAGGACTTCTCAGCATGCTTTTACTGCGGACTACCACAAGAGGTATACAAGCAGTGGGAGGCAGAGGCAGAAGATAGGGGCTGGTTCAGGGCCCGGGAGGGAGTATAGTGCCAGTATAGTAGAGGGCTTATAGAGCTATACGCCATAGGGCTTATACAGTATAGGGCACAGCAAGTAGAGGAGGTTTTAATAAGCTTAGGCAAAGCAGACGGGCAGGCCGGCCGAGGGGGCGTATTAGAGGATATAAAGGGATAGTATATATGGCTTAGTGAGCGGATTCAA